TTTCCAGGTGGCTTCCCATCTGCTGCGCGGGCCGAGGAAGTGGGCTTCTTCTTTGCATTGCTGGGCTTCTTCTTCGGCGTCGAGGGTGCGGGGAAGGAAGTTGTTGAAGGGGGCGAGGGCTTCGTTGAGGGACATGTGGGCTAGAACAAAGAGGATGGCGAAGAGGACCATTATTATTAGGGGGCCAATTGCGCCTTTAATGGCGAAGAGGCCGATCATGCAGACGGCTGCGAGGTAGATGCCTGTTAGGAGGTGTTGGAGGGCTCGGGGGTAGACGAGGCCCTTGGTGTCGATGCGGAGGTCGTAGACGAAGAGGAAGTTGTAGCGGTAGGCTTGGTAGACGAGGTAGAGGCCGACGAAGGCGAAGCGAGAATGAGCGGTGCGATGCAGGAGTAGGTCAGGGCTGGGGAGTTGTTAGTCTTGCCTTGTTTTACTGAGTGTAGGGAATGGATGCAGTGTGTGAACGTACCGATCACGCCCATGTTTGTGAACACAGGGAAGATGTTACCCCAGCTGATACCGCTGAGGGCGGACCATCTTTCATACAAACGTCGGGGAGAGCGATCGAAGAAGGTGGTGATGAATTTGAAGAATAAGGCTCCAGCAACCTGAACCAAAGCCATAGAGCTCATAGTCAATCCTTGGAGCAGAAAGTAAGAGATATAGAAATTGGTTGCCTTAGGGAGGTTCTCCGCAAGAAGATCCTTCGCGGACAAAGGGTCTTTGATGATTTGTGTAGTTGCAGCGGACGCTGCTGAAGTCAACGTCGTGACCAGGAAGACCTGGACCACCTGGAAGCAAAAATGGGCACTCTGCGTGAATAGTTCCACGCGAGAAGAAGATGGCACACCGGATCGTCGGGCACAGACTATATGAGGCAAAGGTTAGAGCTGTAGTACGCGAAGGGGGTATGCATAACCAGGACATACTTCGACAAATAATTGGCACCAAGGACATCAGCATAACTAGTGCCGCCGATGGCAACAGTCCTGCAATTACACCCTTTATTGTCTCTGGCAGTAAGTCGATCCAATGCAGAAATGGAATCATGTCGGAAAGGTATGTGATGTTTGAAATAGTACCCACAAGGGCAGACGGGATCGACCAGAAAATGACAAGCGCAGCAATACCACCCTTAACCGCGAACTTTCGCACAATGCGTTGCCACCAGCTGAGATTCAATGCAGACCAGACAACTTCTCTTGGGGAAATACCAATGAATCGAGGGGTCATATGGAGTGGTTGGTGATGAGACAAAGTCTGCAATGCAATCTGGGCGGCGGACTGGGTGTCAAATTCGATGAAGACTGCAGAAAGAGTCTTCATCTCCCCATCTTTATACTTTTGTTGTAGATGATTAACCTCCTGCGAAACCTCTACAAGCTGCTCCCGCAACCACTTGATCGTATCAACCTTTTTCCCAAACCACTTGAGGCGATGAGTTGGTCGCCGGATGCCATGAAACATCGGCGAAGTGCCTGATTCACTTTCAAGAGACGAATCAGATGGGATGCGGCCCTGTCTCAATGACTTCAGGCGCACCGAATTCGCTGATCGGATTATTCTTGTCTCTGCGCTCTCCAAGCGGAAGGCCAACTTGTCCCTCTTGCGTACCAACTTGTCCAACTCTTTACAGTCGGTAGTGATCCATATCCGGTGAATGGAGTCACCAAACACTTGGCGCAGCTTCTTCTCATTCTTATATTCATCAGGGACTGACATGAATAAAACTGTCCTGGAGGAGATCCGGTTTACATAGGCGGAGGAGTTGAGATACGCTTGACGAAGATTGGCATAAAATATACTCTCACGCGTTACCACGTAGAAGACGAACGCTGTTGAGAGGGGTTAATTACTCTCACTTTCATAACATCAGCGTTTACTTACTGAAAAAGACGATCGCCATCACGACATGAGCATAATAGCGCTTTGGGTTTTTCACGTTGCTAAAACTCAATGCATCTAGCTGAGTGTTACCTGCACCGCCAGTTGCATGGATAGGAAGCAAGACGGGCCATGTAATCAAGCATCCCGTGAAACATGTAGCACACAGTACTCTCAGGAATCGAAGGAAAAGATAACCGTCCATAGACGAGGAATGAAGGACGTGTGCATCAGATATTTTAAAAAAGTGCCCGAACCAATTAATGAAACCTGAGGGCAACTGTGGACTCCGTTCACTGCAGAATCGGTTAGTATCGATGCGCAGACAGCGGGTGGTCCATATTGACTTACTGCTTATGCCAATTGGGCAAGTGTGTCCTAGGCGCGTACCACCGAAGTTGAGTTCGCCGACAGATCAAGAACAGACCGAACCAAAAGACTGCGATTATCAAAGCAGGAACTAATGTAGTGACAAGTGCGGAAAGAGATGTTGAATCTTTGACACCAAGATTTTCCATAGCCTCGGAAGTCGTTGAGGAGGCATTACCCCTGGAAGACCCTATGTTTGGGTCATTATCAGGGTTCTGTTAGTAGCAGGATTAGCCTCATTCGTATCTCAGTTTTGCTTTCTGTGCTCCTCACGTACAAGGAGGTCTGACCGCTTGACAAGCAGGTCGAATAATGTCGCTTCAACCATGATCGCTATCAAGAAGCTAGCTCATGGCCAGCTGGATCAATTCTTGGTCAAGACTTGGAGTTTTGATTCTACGACAACATTGCACAAGCGTCGGTTCAGGAACAGCATGGAGCTAATCGCGTCAACATATATGCTCTGACGGACCGACCCACGCTCATGACTAAAATATGCAACCCAGCTTGTCGAACCTGTCAGTCAAAATGGGGGGAAGGCACCCGAGGCTAAAGTATGTCGACTTGCAGGTTGACAGGAGTGCTATTGGCGGACCGGCCGAAACTAAACATCAATGGGAATGTGTGTGAAAGGATAAAAATGTTGATTCTCTCCAGGTACGACCTTTCTGATTGGTGGGTCACAAACAACAAGAGGGCATCAAACCCACAGTGACATGTTCGTGTGGGCTGCAGCTCGCTCCGCGTGGTAAAAGAGCCGGCCTGGAGTCCTAGACTAACTGGAAAGGTTCAAAATTTTCGGTGGAACAGGCATTAGGGATCAGCTACTGGGAACACGGACCCAGAAAGACCATCGTGATTTAGTAGTCGATAGTTTCCCATAAGCTTGAGGGTGGTTTGTCCAATCACCATAGGGCATTAGTATAGTGATCGCCGATCCCTAAAACTCTGCTAAAAGTACCGCGAAGGAAGGAATGTCTGCCACTGGGTTTCGAGTGAGCTTCTGAAATTCCCTGCCACACCACCTCGCATTGTTTGGACGTCTTATCGACATTAGCCTACTTTTCCACCTTGCGTCGTCATGAATTTTTTTCCTTCTTGCCGGCCACAAGAGTTCTCCACGTCGTGAATTATGGGTTGGATGCGCTAATCAGATGCAAATCGCCACAGGGGTCAAGAAGGAACGCGAGTCCTCTTAGCGTAATCTCTATCCATCGCGATTATTTCTTGAGATTAGCTGTGCCTGGCGCATATCATTGGCCATGACATGTACCAAGTGGGCTCTAGCACTAAAAAGGCATGTAGACGAAAGAAGATCCGTTCCATGGGTCGAGCGACAACGGATCCGATCCAATCAGTTTAGCAGCACTGGTGTCAACAAGTCTGGACGTGAGCCGTCGGTGGAGACGTAAACGCAAGGGACATGTACTTTTTTTGGCATCTGAACAAGGAGCAAAATACAACTCCTCTAACTCGTGGTGGCTCGCTTAGATGGTAACGGCGGACAATGGAGTTGTGGTCTTGCATGAAAGGTAAAACAAGAAAACAAGAAACCATGGTTGGGCTCAGAACTTCACATGGCTGGAACCATATTCCGGCCGACTATTAAATTAACATCTGAGACATGCTGGCTCTAATATTGAGGTTCCGAATCAACTGCGAAAAGAGGGGAATGAGAAAAAAAGCAAAGTGAGGGCCGAAGCCCACCTTGGCTGATTTCCTTTTTGCGCCTAGACTCTCTGGCGTCGTGACATGCAGAATTTATTACTACATACTATCCCCACTCAATATAATAGTTCATCAGGTTGGTAGGCAACCATACAGGAAGAGAACACCGTGTGTGCAGGGTATGACATTCCTAATGTTCGGCTAGAATGAAGCACTCAGCTCGAATGCTTGTAAATGCGAGGCTTCCCAGGAGCAGTCGAAGCAGGGAACATTCTTAGGCATCATTCCACCCGTGCCCATCCCACTTGAAATATGATTTGTCAAATAGCCTCAACTCAGGTTGTCTTTCATTTTGCGGTAAGGCCCAAGAGAGACAGACGTACGGAGTTGAGAAGCAAGACACGTCCGCGTTCCGGACTCGTCCGTCTAGATCAGACATATCAGCCCGTTAAAGTTTATATAGTTTCTTGATGCAGCCGATAACAGGTATTCATCACCTTCATAGAACCTGATCCTTACATGGCATAGTAACCAAATAGCTCAAGAATTGCGGTGTCTGCAAACTATCAGAGTTCATGCATCCCCTGAAACGAACGTTGGACATTGTTTCACCTCAACTGACTTCGAGGCGACCTGAGTCCCTAGCATACATGATGGCATGTTCCCTTCGCTTGCAATGTAGATGCGATAGGCTCCCGTATTTCATTCTTCTCGGGTGCATGTCCATCTGACAACTGTCTGACAATTGTTCCGAAAATGTTGACAACTTGACAATGGACCTTGGCTCCTTGAGAGCCTTTCCATAACAAATTTGTACATTACGTGGTGAAAAGCGCTGTCAACACAAGCCCATTCTGACGTAGATATTCGTATGCAGATATACCAGTACTCCTTCGTTTCTTTTGGCTCGTGTATAGTGTAGTAATTTCCAGCCTCCCTGCGATGCTAGGCAAGGTATAATCTAGATCCAAATCCTGAGTACGCCGAGGAGTATTAGGCGGTGAAACACGGCAGTATACAATGACCGACAGCAACTTGATGTTGCCCATGGCTCAACTTAACAAAAGTCATTCGGAGAGATGTCCTTTACTAACAAAGAGCAACGGATGAGCACGGATAGTATAAACGATGACTCTGGCTCCCACACCATACTGCCTCCATTTGAATCAAAGCAACCGTTTCCCCCTCTCTCAGCAGATGATCTAGCAATCACCTCTCAAGATGCGCCAGATACCAGCTTTACGGAAGACGATCCAGACATAACGTCACCAGACATTGAGGAGGACGATTACGATGCGAACTTTCAATCACAATATTCTCTAGACGATCAATTGTTGTCTGATGCGTCTACAGACGAATCGGACGGACAATCGCCGGAAGACGATGGCATCGAGATACACCCATTTCGTCATTCTTCAAGTTCACTTCACGGTCCCAATGCATTCGCTCCCCCTTTCTACAATAGGCCACCGACGCCTCTGCCGCCCTCTCCTTCTCTGACCTCTCTTCTGCGACCTCCTTTCTCCACAACCACTTCCCGGCCAACTACCCCTGACAGTTCTGATGTCGAAACACCGAACGATACAGAAGCAGCGGTTGCGAAGTCCGCACGTCGCGCGACGACTGTTCCTCGAGCAAGTCCGAAGGTCCCCACATATGAGTATTACGGTTTCGTTCTCTATCTTGCCTCTTCATTGGCATTTTGTAAGTGCAAAACAGTGGCTGCTGTACATGGGATTTATATAGAAAGTGCTGACAACTCCTCGCAAGTGTTATACATTCTCTGGTCCTATCTCCCAAAACCATTTTTACACCAACTTGGAATAACCTACTATCCGACTCGATGGTGGTCACTAGCGATTCCCGCGTGGCTCGTCATGACCATTGTCTACATCTACATTGCGCTCGCCTCGTATAATACCGGATACATGACGCTACCGATGAACAGCGTTGAGAACATTGTGGATGAAGTGGCGAATGTTGCTGTGATAGATGGTAAGGGTAGAAGACGACCTGGCGGTGCAGCCAAGATGAAGCCGGGTGCAACTTCATACCAAATCATGGGCCCGCAGAATAGAAAAGTTAACTGGAGGGAAATCTGGAGTGAGGGCACTGATGCCGTCTTGGATGTCCCTGTGGGAGGGGTATGCGAAGTGCTATACGGCCAAGGACGAGATGATGATGAGGTATGCGAGGAATATGACTTCATTAGTTGAAGATAGTGTTGAGTAGTATATATAGCGATTTAGCATAGCACATTAATGTTGATACCCCTTATTTGTTTGTGCCCCTGTGATTGGAGGTTCTTTTTGCGTCAACTTGATTGTAACAGATGTAGAAGAGCCTTCACTCACTAGACAGCACAACGTGTACAAATTAAACGAAAACGTTATGTCTCTATACTCAGATGGCTGGTTATATAAATTATGCTTTTGCAATTGCGATGTTGATCGCCTCCACCCTGTTTGGACTTTCCAAAATATATATCGGCAATCTTGCCCTCGATAGACATTGGTCATCTGATGGCAACCTCGTTGCGAAATGATGATACTCATACAGATTGCATAATTGATTGCACACTTACTCTCACTTACCACATGCTGTTATGCAATTAATGCGCCTTCTATCGTGGATAATCCATCATTCTTCTTTTCATCTGGACGGCATACTATATCCCACCAATCAACACTTCCTTCAGGTTTCGTTATCATCACGTGAAGTGGCGATACGAGCCACTATCGATAACGCGCCCTTGAAAGACTCACCTTGACAGTCACCACTACTTACATTCCTGAGGCGCGGCAAGAGCTCTAGAAAAGTTCGTCGTCCAAGATGGCAGACCGTTCGACTCCGCCGCTGCAAACAGGCGGCTCAAAACCCGGTGAGCTCCCGCGCGCACCGCTGACGCCGGAGCAGTTGCGGAAAATTGTATATGCCCCCGACGCGATCTACTGATACCTGGCTGACATCGGCCGATGTATAGGAAATAAACCGCATGAAAGCAAAAGCCATACGGGAGCAACGGGAGGCGGAGGCTCGGACATCGGCTGAGGTTAGTGGTGCCGCGCAATCTACGAAAGGAGGGGTTAAGCGGTCCTATTCCTCCATGACGGCTGAGACGCCTGCTACGGTTCGAGATGCGACTTCGGCGGCCCGTCCGCTTGATTCAATCAAGCCTGCGCGGAGCTTTACGAAATATGTTGAGTATGACTTTAGTAAGATGACGGATACGAAGGGAGGGTTTTTGACGGAGGAGGATGATCCCTTTAATAAGGCGCTGCATGTGAAAGATGGAAAGGAGGAACAAAAACCGGCCAATATGACGCAGAAGGAATGGGAGAGACAGCAGTTGCTCGACTCTCTTCGTCGAAATCGGACTGGTCCTTTTGAACCAGCCCTCAGCGTGTTGGATGACAAAAACAAGCAGAAGAAATGTCGTGAGTGTGGAAGTCTGGAGATTGATTGGAAGTGGGAGCAGGATCTTCGGTGTTGCGTATGCCACGCCTGTAAGGAGAAGTTCCCGGAAAAGTACAGTCTTCTCACGAAGACGGAAGCAAAGGAGGATTATCTTTTGACAGATCGTGAGTTTATCGGCGGCTATATGCGTGGATGCGCACTGAATACTGACTTAATATTAAGCCGAACTCAAAGACGAAGAGCTTCTGCCCCATCTTGAAAAACCCAACCCTCATAAGTCAACCTGGAACAACATGATGCTTTACCTTCGCTATCAGGTTGAGGAATATGCCTTTTCGGCGAAGAAGTGGGGCTCTGCTGAAGCACTAGATGCCGAGTTTGAGCGACGCGAGAATGAGAAGAAGCGACGGCGAGAGGCCAAGTTCAAGTCAAAACTACAAGATTTGAAGAAGCGCACCCGCGTCGATGCCTATCGCCGTAACCGTCAGGGAGCGGCTGGGGGAAGCTTCGGTGATGACCTGGGCAATGGTGGAAGACATGTGCACCAATGGGGTCGGTCAATTGAGAATCCAGACACTGGAATCGGAGTCAAGAAGTGTGTGGATTGTGGGATGGAAGTGGAGGAGTTAGAGTTCTAGCTGAAGCAATTGTCCTGTATAATGTAGAGTAGTAGTATCTAATGAGTCACGACCTTATGAGAATTATATGAGTGGATACATTTGGTTCACTGACAACGGTGCAAATTAAAAATAGTGACACGTTGTGATCGCGATAGTTTATTGGGAGAACTTTTGAACAGGTCAAAAACCAACGGTGCTAAGGATCAGTTGGGCGCGGTGATTGGCGGTCTGAACAGGTCAGGTCCAGTTCCAGCTGTACTTCAGATCATGTCCTGTCAGTCCACTTCCCCTGAGGGAAGTACTTCACTTTAAACGTGCATTTAATGAGGAAGTATTGACTTGGGGATGTTTATGGCCAGTTCATCCTTTTCTCAACCCCTGACCACCACTTGATGAGGCTGGGAAAATAAACAACCCACCAGCGCTAAAGGCGGTTAAGCCGCGTGGGCGTCTAAGGAGCCAACGAGAACACCGCAGCATTTCCCCGACCTCAGCAGCGCAGGAGAACGCGCACCAGTCCAAGGCCACCTCTCGGCTCGACTTCTTTTGACGTCTACTCGAATTCCGACGAACGAATTTCTCCGCCTTTTCGATTTTACCCATTGTTTTCGCTTCCACCGGTGTTGACACGGCCCGGGGAACGCTGTTTCCTGCCGCTGTCGCCCGTCCCGACTTTTGTTGGTATTACACCAAGAAAGTTTATCGCTGTGGGCACAACTTCACCGAGCTATCCACACCTCAAATTCAACCCTACGACCTGGAAACTACCTTCCATTGATAATTCACGGCCTCCGCAACCCTGATCGTTGATTTCGCATGGCTTGGCAATCGCCCTCGGCCATGGTCGGGGCTGGAGGCTATGGCGGACCCGGGGACGGGTCCTCCAACGGCGGGCAACCTCAGGGGACGGAGTATACATTACAAGGTGTGTCTTTTATTTGAAGCTTTTTAGAGTCACAATCTCGCAATGATATTGACACTAATCGATTTTGGGGTATGGCAGGCGTTATGCGCTTCCTGCAGACAGAGTGGCATAGACACGAGCGAGACCGCAATGCATGGGAAATCGAGCGCGCAGAAATGAAGTCCCGCATAGGCAAGCTGGAAGGTGACGTGCGCACAAGCAAGCGTATGCAAGAGTCCCTGGGTAAACACGTTAGGCTACTCGAGGCCGCGCTGAAGAAGGAGCGCGAGAAGGTCAAGAAGCTTAGCAACAACGAGAAGGTTGAGGACACCAGGGATCCCAAAGATATCGCTCGTGAGAGTATAAGTGCCTTGAAATGTATGATGATGGCCATTGCTGTTGACGCGCTATGTACTGACCGAGTTCCTAGCTCAACGTCCCAAGCCGCCCATAGAGCTCAACGAAGCCGAGCTGAACGACAATCAACCCGATTTCCGGCAAGAAAATGAGCGGGAGAAATCGCGCCTTTACTTGTCTAAATGCTCCCAAGAAGTGACCTACCACGTTATCCCTGCATCGCATCCTCCCCCCGAGCTTAGCGATCCGGAACTCCCAAACCATATCTACGGAAACCAACAGCTGTCGCAGCAGGCCCTGGAGGAAGCATACCACATTCAGCAGCAACGTCAAAAGCAACAGCAACAGCAGCAGGCAAATCACATGATGGGACGGGAGGTATCTCTTCAGAACCACCAGCCCATTGTGGCTCAGTACTCTGAGAGTTCAGGAATCGCTCGCCAGCCAAATCAGTTTGGCCTGCCTCCCGGTTCTAGAGAAGCCTTGGAAAGGAAACCTTTGGAACCGCAGCAGACCCCAGCCACTGCGGTTGACAGTAGAAAGCACGTTCCCGAACATACAATTGTGGATGAGCGCACTGGTGCTGAGAAGCAAGTATACGATGTGTACGGTGCACAAGGAGGGGTTAAAGAGGAGATACAGCCACAACAAGCAGAACAACAACAACAAGAGGACTCAGATGGCTGGAACTTTGACGAACCGTCCGAAAAAGAGCCCCCAACTGAACCGATGCCGCCTCATCGGCCAGACGTGGATGCTTTTCCTAACGCCAACTTTGTTCGATCGAAATCTCCTCCACACCCTGGATCGCTCTCCCATAGACGGAAAAGCTCGGGGGCTAGGAGTAAGAGCGAGGCATCGAGCGACAGCATCGGAGGAGCGGCCCAGAAACCGGACACTAACTTCAAAGTTAGATTTGCTCTGCGCGGGCACCTGGATGTCGTCCGCTCTGTGATTTTCACCGGTGGTGGTAGTCCCTCAGAGCCAGAAATCTGTACTTGTAGCGATGATGGCACGATCAAGCGATGGATTATTCCGGCAACATACGGCAATTTTGGCTCTCATAATGCCAATTCGAGCAATGATCTGGATATAACTAGCTATTTCACACACAGAGGGCATGTTGGTGCCGTCACAGCGTTAGCCGCTTGCTCTCCTTCTCGAGATTTCTCTAATGGTGGCCGCGCTTTGGGTGACGGCTGGGTATTCTCCGGTGGCCAAGATGCCAGTGTGCGTGTCTGGGAACGAGGAAGGATTGACCCTAAAGCCACACTCGATGGTCATACAGATGCTGTATGGGGTCTTTGTGTCCTTCCCGGAACTACTGGGTCTGTGTTTGGAGACTCTTGTGGTCATTACGGGGGCCCTGATCGGATATTGTTGGCCTCTGGGGCTGCGGACGGTCAAATACTGATATGGGCAGTTAGCGCCCCCCCTCAACTCTCCTCGCCGCAAGCAGGGAATAGACGAGCTGGAGGAAGCCGGAGGGCAAACTCGATTTCGTCCGGTTCAAACTTCCCATCCTCGCCGCAACCTAGTATGGCTACTTTAACACCGTTCCACTACACTCTTATTCACAAGATCACACGGGAGGGTTCCCCCTCGCCGACCTGTATTAGTCCGTTGTCACTTGCCGGTGTAAACTTTGTGGTGTCCTTTTCGGACGCTTCGATCGTTGTCTATGACACGAGGACCGGTGAGGAAATTGTGGGCATGGCGAGTCTGGAGACGTACGATGGCACTCCTTCCACAGGTGTCAACTCCGTTGTAGCAAGTACGGTTGGATTCGACGGGTCTGCTGGCCTTGATCCCAGCCGCATCTCGGGCGAAGAAGAGGTGGTTCACGGCGCCACTGGCTCAAGTGGTGTGGAGGGTGTCATAATAAGTGGCTATGAAGACCGGTACATCCGTCTTTTCGACGCTAATAGTGGTACGTACTATATCTTTCGAGATGGGAAACAAAGCTTGGTTACTAATGAATGGAATAGGGCAATGCACTTATACTATGCTGGCGCACCCGTCCGCTATTGCGTCACTTTCCCTATCTCCAGATGGACGCGAACTGGTGTCGGCCGGCCATGATGCCAGTCTGCGGTTCTGGAACCTCGAGAAACGCAGCTGCACCCAAGAAATCACCAGTCACCGGTTGATGCGTGGTGAAGGCGTGTGTTCCGCCGTCTGGAGCCGCGATGGCCGATGGGTCGTTAGCGGCGGCGGCGATGGTCTGGTTAAGGTCTTCTCGAGGTAATCTTCGAGATAACGAGGGCTTCTACTGTCGATGTATGATTTTATTCTTATATTCGAGCTGATATTCTTCTTATGCCGTATTTCTTGGACGCATGAATGGATGAGCGCTTGGCGAATTCTTGAGCATTTCCAGTGATCTCTTACCTGGCATATGTTCCTTTCTACACGTGTGGTTATAGTTTCTTTTTATCTTCATAATCCTCTATCCCTTTCCAATTTCCCTAAACATATCCCCCCTGCATTGCTGTTACTATTACTACCCCGGCTTATATGAAATGACGAAGGGTGTCTTTTGTGCGTTAGAGTTTTCATTATCTTCTTGTTCCCACAACTGGTTACATTTGCGATTCATGTACCCCTGTGACCCGTTATTTTGAGGTGCTTTGGCATCATGTGTGATGGCTACAACGGCGTACCTTAAGCCGCCGCTCCCCTAACCCTTGTTAGCAGTCTTAAACCATGATGGTCCGCAGTTTGGCCTCTTCACCCATGCCCTGTAATATAGTTTTTCTTTCTTTCCCGTTCTGAGGGTCTTCCACTGATCCCAACATGGATTCCTTTCACTGTCGCCGATATACCGTTGGGAATGATGCTAGACACTACAGCAATAGGGCAACCGGGATTCGATTCTAATCTACTCAGCTAGCCATAGAATACCACAATTTATGTCATTATAAGGAATTCTACAACACGCTTATTGATTTCATGAGTAGGAATATCCGACATCGTATCGGGATCTTATGTTCTCATAAGAAAAGGTATCATAACACAACACCCACGTCATACAAACCAAATCACCGACTCGAACTCCAAGCCTCCTTAAACAAGTTCCGCAACCTCTCCGCCTCTTCATTATCCTTAATCCTCTGCGCCAGGAATCCCTCCAGATCCTCCCAGAAATCCTCCGTCTCCAGGACACTCTCCCCACTAGGTCCAAGAGCAGCCTTCGGCGACGCACCACGATCCACCATCTCCTGATCCTCATCGACAACCTTCGCACCGCCCATAATCATAACCCCAAACTCAACCTCCTTCCCACCAGCCAGCATCTCCGGCTCATCAGCCAAGATCTCGGAGATGGTCTTCCCCGTAACCGGCTTGCGCTTATACAGGATCTTGATCTTGTCCAGCGGAATCTTGTTCGACTGAGCGTCGGCCACACGGTCCCGCACTGCATCCTTGAGGTCCTGAACGGAAGTCGTGGAGATAGGCTTGTTGGAAAGCTTGATTTCGAGGACAGGATTCCGCGCGGATTTTAAGTTCACGGTGATTGATTTGGCGGAGCCGGGGGCTTGAGCCTGTTTCACTTTCTTGGGCATTTCGGGGTGGGGGGCTGGCATGCGGGGGAGGAGGTACTGGTTTGAGACATGTTTAGCATGGACATCATACTTGGGCAGCTGGGTGTCAGATGTCTGAGATGTATACGTACAGGGACTCGCCCGACTCGCTCTGGATCAATGACATAGTCGGCGGGGAGCTTAATGGGACGGGAGTCGAGGGAGGAAAGGTATGATTTGATGAAGTTGACTTCTGCCATGGCGGCCGCAGGTCCGGAGGTATACATCGTAAGTCGATTGTATAAAGATGGGGAAGGCAACCGAGCGATTTGATGCTGTGTCACTTTCAGTTAGACATCCCGCATTTTGCCCGATTGGGTTGGTGGTGAAGCTGACTTGCGCTATCGGGTTTCTGCCTGAGGCACAACACAAAGCTGGTTCCCGTTTACACCGCCTGCCAGGAACTATCTGCCGATGTTGACCGCCCGGAGAAAAAAAGTGAAAGGTAAAAAAAAGTTTGGATTCTTTTGGAGAACATACAGTGTTATACCCTCTTTTTCTTGTTTTATTCACCCACAATACACCACTTGTCGCAATGGGTAGGGGTCGTCGTATGAAGAAGCAGGGCCCTCCGGCCCCGCTCGATGAGTCTAAGATCACTATGCTTAAGAAGCGCAAGGCTGGTGAGACTGTATCGAAGGCGGAAGCGGGCAAGAAGCGGAGAAGAGCCGAAGTTGAGGAGGAGCCTCTGAAGGAAGCGCCGAAGAAGAAGGTCAATGCGGCTGTTACTAGCAAGAGCAAGAAGGAGGCTGCTGTGCCGGAGACCAAGGGCAAGAAGAAGGCTGCGGAACAGAAGAAGCCCACCTTTATGGATTCGAGCGACGAGGAGGAAGACGAGGAGATGTCGGATCTTGACAACGAGGAAATGCTGGATGATGAGTTCGGTGATCTCGATGGCGTTAGCGATGGATCAATGGACAGCCAGGATGAGGGCGCTTCAGAGGATGATGACTCGGTTATGGATTCGGACGAGGAAGACCATCCACGCCAGGCGATGTTCTCCGATGACGAAGATCTTTCCGATGCGGAAGAGAAGTTGACGGCAGCCAATATTGAGGGACTGTCCCGGAAATTGGATCTGGAGAAGGAAGCCGAAGAGGAAGAAGCAGAACGCGAATTGCAGGAATCTGCCATGCAGACAAACATCGCTGGGGACCGTCCAGATGTGTTTGGGGACGGCGAAGGATCTGGTCCAGGCCTGGCTCCTGACCTGCAGCTCCTCCGTACAAGAATCACAGACACTATCCGTATTCTAGGTGACTTGAAGACATTGGGACAGGCCGGAAAGTCTCGCGCCGACTATGTATCGCTGCTTTTGAACGACATCTGCACTTACTACGGATATACCCCATTCCTCGCAGAGAAGCTGTTCAACCTTTTCACACCTATGGAGGCTTTCGCCTTTTTCGAAGCCAACGAAACCCCTCGTCCTGTTGTCATCCGTACCAACACACTGCGCACCAACCGTCGCTCCCTGGCTCAAGCGCTTATCAACCGTGGCGTTGTGCTCGAGCCTGTCGGCAAGTGGTCTAAGGTTGGTCTCCAAGTATTCGAGTCTGCTGTTCCTCTTGGTGCCACTCCAGAGTACCTGGCTGGCCACTACATCCTTCAAGCTGCATCGTCCTTCCTCCCTGTCATGGCATTGGCTCCTCAACCTAACGAGCGAGTCCTCGATATGGCCTCTGCGCCCGGTGGTAAGACTACATACATCTCCGCATTGATGCGCAACACAGGTTGTGTGATCGCCAACGATGCCAGCAAGCCCCGTGCCAAGGGTTTGATCGGTAACATTCACCGTCTCGGCTGCAAGAACACCGTCGTGACCCACCTCGATGCCCGCACAGCCTTCCCCAAGGCCATGGGTGGTTTCGACCGCGTCTTGCTCGATGCTCCCTGTACCGGTACTGGCGTTATCTCCAAGGATCCTGCCGTCAAGACCTCCAAGACCGAACGCGACTTCCTCGCCATCCCCCACATGCAGCGCCAGCTGCTTCTTGCCGCCATCGACTCCGTCGACCACTCCTCGAAAACAGGCGGTTACATCGTCTATTCTACCTGTAGCGTAACAGTTGAGGAGAACGAGGCCGTCGTCCAGTACGTCCTGCGCAAGCGCCCCAACGTGAAGATCGTCGACACCGGTCTGGGTGACTTCGGCAGCCCCGGTTTCAAGGAATACATGGGCAAGCACTTCGACGCCAAGATGACCATGACCCGTCGCTACTTTCCCCACCGCGAGAACGTCGACGGTTTCTACGTCTGCAAGTTGAAGAAGACCGGACCCAGCCCCACGGACAAGAAGCCCGAGGGCGAAACCGCCTCCGAGCCCAAGTCCTCTGAGGCTCGCGCCACCCCTAAGTCCGACGACGAAGACGTCATCGACAAGACCCCCATCACTGACGATGACGGCAACGTTCTGGAAGCCGAAGGTGGCTCCTTCGGTCCCTTCGAGGAAAACGATGACGCTGATCGCATCGCCCGTGCTGAGCGCAACCGTCTCCGCAGAAAGGGTATCAACCCCAAGGCCGTCCTCAACAAGCCCAGCAAAAAGTCGAAGTCCGAACCCGAATCCACGGAAGAATCCAAGGATTCCGACTCCTCTGCCCCAGAACCAAAGAAGAAGACCACCACCACTACCCCCGAGAAGGCAAAGAAAGCGCAGAAGAACACCAAGCCCAAGAGCCAAGAATCCACCACCTCCGAGAAGAAATCCGAAGCTTCCACCCCTGAAAAGAAGAAGTTCAAATCTCAAGCCTCTACGACGGACAAGAAAAAGGCTAAGAAGTCGACTAAGTAGTTATGATGTGTCTTCATTTACTATCTAATACCTGTGTATATTTCTTCTTCTGGTCCCCGGATTTCTGTCAAGATGGCTTGTTGAATGAATGAAATATAAAAGCATCTGTTTTTCTTTTCTGCTTTATCTCATTGTCGGTGTGGGTGGCGCATGTGTTCTTTGAGTGTTGATACTATATGATATGCGTTTTATTATTATACTAGATAGGTGGTGAATCCAATAGATACCATGACATATCCATGTGGCTTTGAGGGCATTCTATGTAGTGAGTACTAACTAGTTCATGTACCTCTTTCAATTTATGGTTTATACACATTCCGGATATGGGAAACTTGCAACAACGAAAGTCAATCGGTACATTCAATGATGTGACATGTCTGATCTAAAATCTCATATATCTCGTATATTGTCTTCGCAAAAATTAAACGAATGATCCAAAACTGACAGCAAATATAGATATAAATGCGGAACTGCTCCATGAACCCCCCGGGGTATGCCTTATTCTCCGATGCAACAAAAAGTAAACGATATAATTATATTCATCGACAAGGACCCGTTATGTCCTGTAGATCTTGACGACGCTGATAATGTTCTTCCGACAGATCGGGCAGATTTCCACCTGGCGTGCGCAGGTGACACAGGCACAGACGTGGCCACAGTCATAGAATAGGGCATCTTGCTCTTCGCAGTAACAGATCTGGCATAGATCCATCTCTTCGTCGGCTACTTCCCAGTAGCTAATACCCTTTCCATGACGCTTACCATCTTTGTAACCACCCACGTACTTGTTGCCTGTCTTCTTTTCGATGAAGGTGCCCTGGCCATGACACTGGTTCTCGAACCAATCTCCATCATAGGTATCGCCAATAGGATACTCCATGTATCCCTTACCGTGACGCTTTCCGAGGACGAAATCCCCATCGTAAGTAGCGGCTGAATCGGAGACATGCTTTCCTTTACCATGGTAGTATCCTTTGTTCAGATCACCGCTATAAAATTCATTGGTGAATGATGCTTCGATGGTCTTGAAACCAGTAAATGCCTTGATGGGGTGATTGCGGGATTTGGCCCACAGATACCGCACCAGCTGATCAGGGTTGGCTAGTAAACCTTGCTGGTTAAGCTTCAAACGTCTAGAAGGTAGCCAGATTAGTATACTGTTGGGTATGATATTAATGGGAAAGGCTTGACTTACTTGTCCTTGTTCATCTTGTCTCCAACGATGAAGCAAGTACCATCGGGCACGAACACATTAAATGTCTCGGCAGAGGACATAGTTGTCACCGTAGTGCCATCCACGCGCTGCCAGACCTGAAAGTCTTTGCTCACGGGCCATTGCAAGTGCTTCCGCACTGCAGCCTTGATAGTCTCTTCCTTCTGAGAGAAAAATGATCCGACAGTTCGCAAAGCCTGTGCCTCCACATCAAAAATTTGGATGAAATAATACACATGGTCCACCGGTAATGTGGGCTCCGGCTCCATTGGATGTGCAGAAGTATCATCAGTTGGAGAGGACTCTGTGCTGACTTCAACAGACTGGGGCTCGTTTGTGACATCGTTGGTTTGAGGAGTGTCTGTTGATTGCTCCGTTTCCATCTGTTGGATATCCTCAGCGATTATTGCAGCAATGACAGTATCATTTCCAGCCCCGTTAGGGATGTCATCTTCGGGGTGAGTCATCTCCAGTGATGCTGCAACACCATCTCCCAAGTTTTCGGTAACATTAATAGAGTGTTCGGAAGAGGCGTCTGCAGTCACGACTTGCACAGTGTCATCCACGCGAGAAGCGGTGCCAGATGGGCCTGCCTGTGCAGCCTCGACTTCAGCAATAGATTGCTGATCGTCAGAGGAATCAGAGTCTTCACGTTCGAAAATAGCCTCCTCAGGCTTGGTCTGTGGGACTTCCACTTCCCGCGGATCCGCCATGGCAAAATACTTTGCGTCCACTATCAAACTATTAGCATCGGGTTGGTCTAAGAGCGTGTACGTGATGACTCACCATTTGAGACCACCTGTATCCAGAAACGAGCTGTCTTCATGGGCAGATTCAATGTGGTTCTCAGGTCTGATACCCGAGAGAACGCGAGCGTAGGACCGAACCGATCGCGAGTATGCCCAATCTGCCAGAGCCGAATATGCTCTGGGCCTGCCTGATCTTGGGCGCCTGCAGAAGCCCACAGAGCAATCTTCTTGCGCAGCTCAATCAGATTCGTTGACCGGGGCACTGTCAGGTACATGACCTTATTGGCTGCCTTCGCCTGCGACATCAGATCGTATGTGTCGAACAAGCTGTCGAGCTTATCATATTGTGGAGCAGAGTAGACTTCGACTTGAATGTCCTCCGTTGTTTTCCTGTCAGGCGACTCTGCGTAGGGATAAATTCCACGTTCATAATATTCTTTCATGGCTGGAGACGCAGCCCATGGCCCTTGAGGGCCCGGTAGATACTGCGACACGAGGTCACTGCGGATATACATCGCCGCAATGGCAACATCATGGCCGGTTTTATGGTCGACCTTCTGACTTGCGTCTAGCCCTAGATGATGTCCCAAGGCTGTTTTACGTGTTAAACACTCAACACGATTATCGCTTCCGTCATCAAATGCCAGCCACTTAGTTCCAGGACCACCGGGGCGAAGAATGCTGAAGAATTTACCCGAAGTGCGTCGACCCCGATGGACGATGTAACCGTACAGGACATACTTTCCGCGCTGACCATGTAGTAGCCATGGCGAAAGGTCCAGCTCTTCGTCCAGGTCAACTCGATTGTAGATTAACCGCCATTGCCGGGCTGCTTTGTCGAGCTTTTGGCGACTTAGCTCCACATGAAGAATAGGCGGCAGTGCCCAACGGCCTGGTTTGGAACCCAGGTAATTGCTGAGGGCTTCATGTATTGTCTTTACCTGGTCGGCAGGCACACAAATACGTGAATTGAAATCCTTTGGGATAGTGTTGACCACATCTGATCCTTGAGCCTCCTGGAGAAGTAGATCAGGGGTTGGGCTATCGAACAGCGCAGCCAGGTCTTTCACCGCACTTGTACCTGCAAGTTCCAACTCGAGGGTGCGTCGCAAGCGTTCCCAGAAATCACATACATCTCCGGAATACTCATGCAGATTGCGCAGCGTAGATGTGATGATGTCCGTGTCCACATACTGAAGAGAATTTTTACGAGAGCGTAGTTGCCAGAGGAACCTCTGCAGCGCATCACAGAGCGGCTTGGGCTTGACGTCACAGTTGGCGTGATGTTCAACAATGTTGGCGTTTTGAATGATTTTGCAGAAAGGTGCAATATGTAACCATGTGGCTAGCCCCGCGACCTCGGCACTGTGGTTGATAACGGAATCTCCAAGCGGGCGGTAGCCCGTGAGCCCTAGACTATCCCAGGTAGGCTCCGAATCACTGGGATGCCACCACAACGAGTGAGTAGGGTCGTCAATGATACGGATGTAGGCATCAAACGCCAAGGTATCATTGCGGAGTAGTGCCTGACGCTGGCCCCGCTGCCGGCGGTGGATCTGATCCCACGGGCCATGGAAGCTAGTCCAGCCCCAGTCAAGATTGTGTGGATTGAATTGATGGCAAGATGACTGCATCCATCCAGTCCGTGGTTCATCTGGATTGTATAAGATGACACCAATCTGTGCCGAAACTCTCCAAGTGTTGGAAATTGTCTTTTCTTCCTTGGCAGCCGGTGGATAATGTGACTTGTAGTTCTCCAGCCAAGCTGCGGGGTCATCTGTATGGCCAAACCTGAGGTCCAGATCGGGAGCATGGCCATTAATATCTACATCAGCTGGACCCCGGAGCACTTTAAACTCGGTATCGGGTAAAGTCTTGTCAGGAGGGGGCATAGTGGGCGAGCATTCAAGATAGATGCTCAGGGAACCGACGTTGTTTCCGCGGGGGAAAAACTTGATGGACCACCAGTAGCCGCCGATGTAGGCGGCTGGAGAGCGCATGACCTTGGACCGATTGGGATGATCTTTTGTGCCTCTAACACCATTAATTTTCCATGTAAGACGAGCCTTCTCAACGGGACGATACTCGGGATCGTCCAGATCCGGGTGGAAGTTCTTCTCCCAGTAAGAGTCTACTATTATTAGTGATGTTTTCCCATGTTACCGACTATGGACTCACATTCGTAAGCGCTATAGTCCCCATCAGCGGCAGACTCGATTTCCTTCATCTCAGCCTCGTCCGGGACCGAGGTATCCTCCTCCATCTCCGCCCAATAAGCATGTTCGACCTCCGGAGGTGGGGGTCGTGGAGGGGCAGAGATATCAGACCGAATGGTAGGCTCATGCTCATCAGCACTAGTATCTTGAGATGATATATTTTGTTCTGGCATTAGTAAGGGAGACTCCATGGCGTTGTTCAATTGGTCTGTCGAAGACTCTGGAGCGTCGCTGATCGGCGCGTCCAGAGCGACTGTCGTTGCACCCGTGTCTGTTGTTGAATGTGGTTCCATATTTGGCGTGACAGGAGGAAGTTGCTCAACTGTAACCGATGTCTCGCTGGTGGTGTCCATTGTGAATGATGGAGAGTGATAACACTCTAATGAGCTTTCAATAGTGCTCGTCGGGAGATAATAAAGATGATCTCAGGAATTATACGAGCCACAAGAGCAAGTAATAATAAAAAGGGTAATATACGAGGGATACAGTATGACTCAAACACAAGGCCTGGTTAAAGTTGAGGAATAGTAAGTGTTAAAGGTATAAGCAAAACTCAAGAACCAAACATCCAGGCAGAAAACAGCTTCGCAAGCGATACTCTTTTCGTTCTCTTCTACCTTAAGACGTAACAGTCCATAAAGAAGAAGAGATTTAGCGGTTCAACAAAGATAGTAGCACAAGGAAAATTGACAGAGCAAACGATGAAGCAGAAAGCGAGGGTCTAGATTTCCCCCGATAAGGATGGCTTATCAGTAGTACGGGGCAGTCTAAGCCCAGGAAGGAAATGACAGCAATGGATTGCTGAAGGAGTGCTAGTAGAAGGATGTTCACCACTGGGCGAAGAAGGGGTAACACGAAAGAAAGTGAGGAAAGATCACAGGGACTAAGAAGGAATGAAGAAAGAAGTAAAGAGAAGGAAAATAGATGAGTACGAGGCAGAAAAATGAGAGGGGGGGTATTAGGAACCAAAGACAAAGATGAGGCGGCAATGCAGCCGAGAGCCAAATCACCTGCACTCACCGCCGGTCCAATGGACACATGGGCGAATTTATTCAGTTGCCCTCGTTGGGGAACAATTCATTCTGCTTGACTTAGTAAGTACATGACGCTCCAGTCTGCAATTGCCACCTCGACCCCCCTCTTGTTCCTGATGGGGTGGAGATCTGATTTCTCCCGATCCTATTTGATCTTCGGCTTGAGCTGTTATCATTCTTCCTTAGGGGGAGAGTAAGCATACTACGATCTACCAGTCAGAAGGTCTAGAGTCCGTCGGATCATTTCCGTTTGATTTGATGGATGTTCAATGTCTTGTCGTGTCCTTGTGAAGCTCTGGACAATAGTATTCGACTAGTATCCGCCCCCCTTTTCCGCTGTGGCAAGATCCCATACAGCACTCAAGGAATTAACTCGGGTATCCGTTTTTCTTCGGCACCTTAGTTGTCCACCTAATCAACTGTCACGGGTCACGAATGATCGACCTGTGGAACGCGCTTGATTGGTTCCACAATTCGTTGTCTTTTTGATTCGCCATCCCTTCTTTCCGCCTCAGGCACTTTGCCTCTGCAAGACAAATTAATGGCCTTACTAGTGCCTGTCCCGCCCCGGGATCGCGGGTCATGGAACTTTCTCACTCGTGGTAAGAACCAAGTCTTAAAAACAAAAAAGTAAAGTTTTTCTCTTCTTTTCCTTTTTGTCCTTCCTCGGTTCCCTGGCGGTTTGAGTCTGTCCTCGGAGCTTATAATCCGGTTCGCCTCCCTCAGCTTCTAGAATGGTATCTTACCCCTTCCGACACTACCGAGACGACACATCTGGTGGGGTTTTATCGTCGCCACCTCTGGAGCCCCAATGGACCGTCTGATTTGAGAAGCAGGCAGTGTACCCGCAAGGGACTACTCAACACACTTTAGACACTGCAGAGAATTAGAGGATCGAGGAAACCGCCTCCGAGCGGGCTGCTGGCGTGAGACCCGTCTAATCATCGCACGGTCCTGTGCTCGTAGCTTACCCCGCCTACCACCGTGGAAAAAAAAAAAACACTCATGCCTTAGTTCTGGGCTTGGTCAGCTGAATCTGCAGGAGACTGGTCGGCCCGAGCAAATGATGCTGCAACCATCATTGGGAAGACTACGGTTGCCTCCGCATACACCTTAACTGCCTTGGCATCCGCCTTGATCTTTCCCCAGCTCACAGCCTCATCGGGACGAGCTCCAGCATCGCTTCCGTCGAACTCCTGGGCCGTATTTACATAGACGGCATGCTCCGCTCCATTGCGCATGAGACACGCGTTGGCAATATGGTGCTTCACCACTCCACCACCGAGGATGATTATCCCTGCCTGGGCGGCCCGGACGGCCATCGTGTTGATGCGACGCACGTCGTCCACGATATCCACTCGCAGTCGTTGTGGGGAGGATTTGAAAGTGTGGAAATACAGCATGTCCCCCAAGGAGCCATCGGTGAGAGCGGGACAAAAGATGGGGATGTTGTTGCGCGCGGCCCAGTAAAGCACGGAATCCTCATGGTTGATCTCGCGGCCCAGTCGTTCAATGATACGGCTGGGCGTCCAGTGAAGCTCATCCTCCTCATCACCGGTCTGTTGAGCCTTCTTTTTGGCGGCTTCTTGCTCCTCCAACATTTTATCTAAAATCGGGATCAACCAATCTTCAAAGGCACAGTAATTGCTATTCGGGACCAGTAGATTGCCAATGCGGTTTAGTCCTTTCGCACGAAGCCCAGCCCCAGGAGCCGTAAAGGAACCCATGTACGTAGGGGCCAAACACTTGATCAAATCTTCCTCCACTCCACCGGCCGTGGTGACAATTGCAGAAACGTGACGATGGCGAACGAGGTAGCGAATGGTATCCCGAAGGCCCGATGAGATTAGATTGGAAGTGTATCCAAGAAAGATTGTCGCCTTCTCTCCCGATTCCGGATGGCGGTAGGCTCGCTACATAGGTAACCAATATCAGCAAGGAAGCCAATAGCGGGTCGCAGAAAAAAAGATTTAGAGGAGTTTGTCCTACCATATCATTCATAATGCGTGTAGCCTCGGCGACTGCGGTACCCTGGAAGCCCATGTATCTCATGTTATCCACCATCTCGGCGACGGTAATATTGCGGCCGTGGAAACGCTCAAAGTCCACACCCTGAACCTGACGAGTCCCCTCAGGAACGGGCTCTGAAGCAACTAGGACGGCATCAGTAGCAGAGGTAGGAGGGGCAGCCTCCGCTGGTTGAGAGGACATTGTCTTGAAGGAAAAAAAAAAGAAAAGATTGAAGCAGAAGGAAATAAAAAGAACGCTAGACAGTCTAGGTCTTCGTGGGATTCTAAAGCAAGTATTTGTTTTACAAAAGATGCGAAATGGGTTAGGTTTTTCCTTTCCTAGGTTTTTCTGTGGCTTTTTCTTCTGTGACAATATGGTGGGGTGATTGGTCGGCAAAAAAAGGCTGAGGAATGCCTCAGGTGTGACAAGAGAATCGGGGTAGTAGATGACTAACCGGGTTTGGTTAGTTCGATCCGTCTGTGCAGGAGTGGTGTCTCCATACGATGCCTGGGGCATCAAAGTCAGGAGCTTTTGGAGTTTGGGTGAAAGACGACGAGGCTCTGTGGCCTCAGGCATGAAGAGTCAATCCAGGGTCACGGCGATTGTAGGGCCAGTAGTCGTGGGCAGTTATTTTTGAGTTCCCCTTAAGAAGAATCCCTGGCCAACTAAAATTAAACCCAACCATACAGTCGGCGGCAGAGGGCCCTCCACCCCATCTACTAATCCATCCATCCGTTCATCCACCTCTGGCCCCGTTTCTTTTCTCCTCCTCTCTTTTTCTTCATCATTTGTCCACATTTCCTCCGATCGATTTCTGTCAATATTGTCTTTCCTTTTTATTCACTCTCTCAATCCTCGTACCTGGTGGTATAGCTTGTCTTCACGTTCAGGCCGGCCCGTGACCTATCGTCGGCTATTATTCCCAGCTATTTTTGGCCGAATTTCGATTATCCTGGTTAATTAGCTCCAAGTTCCAACAGTCATCTAGCTCAGTTGTCTGGCCATCACTCCTTGCAGTCATCGTACAGTTGGCTGCTTGATACGCTGCATTTTGTCAAGAGGTGCGCATATTGTTGTGGTTTTTTTTAGTTCTTATTTTGTTCTTATTTTTTCCCTTTGGACCTTTTTCCCTTTTTTTTTCCCTGTTGATTTCTCGAATTTTGGGATCAAGATCATCATATTGGCTCGTAAAAAGCCACGCAGCAGCGATGATTCGGTGGTGGACCACAGTACCAAGGGCATTTCCACGCGTCCAATCCAGCAATTTCAGTTCCCAGGCAAAAATCTGGATACTCACCTCACTGCGTCTCATTCATCTCCCCTCTTTGTCTGCTGATCCACACGCCCTCACACGTCCTCCGTCACATTTGAAACAAGCCACGCCAAGTGGCTGCCGCTAAAGCAAGAACCAGTCAATCATCAATCAAATCTCGAGTTTCTCACCTGCTGGGTCTTACCTGAATTTGGTTAGATCGATTAGATAATACTTTTATTCTGGCCCGTGCTTCCACACTTTTAAAGATCACGTGTTCTCCACACCCGTTGCCTCGCGCTCTGCCTTCTCTGGGTCCCCCAGTCTTGAACCTGGATACTTACTGCGTTTTTCGATTTTGTTCTATAATTTTTTCAGCTAACTAACCTGTAGCAGGCTATCTGCCGGGTTGTTCGAGAATACACTTTCTAGCATGACCTGGTGATGTCTTCACGATACCCCCCATTATCTGGGTTTAATTCCCGCGACAGATCTCCGCAGCGCTTCGGTGACCGTCGACCTCCTGCGGGCCCTCGAGGTTCTGATGATGCGAATCTGCCCCCGCTGGGCCGAGAGCCGCCTCGGGGTCCAAAGGCATTAATTGATCCTCCTCGGGGAGCTCCCTTTGGTGGTCGAGGTCGAGGATATCCGGGCCGTGGGGATTTTCGGGATCGGGATCGGGATCTTCGAGATAGGGACAGAGACCGCGATCGCGATTTTCGAGATGTTCGTGATGGACCTCCTCCGTTCCGCCGTGATCTTGACCGCGATTGGGGTCGCCGCGACCGGGATTTTGACCCCAGGGATTCACGGATCGGCTTTGGTCGCGGTCGCTCTCGTTCCCCGCCGCCTCCTCGCGACTTTCGCGATATGAGAGAACCTATTGGGAGGGATCCAGATCTGGTGCGGATGCGACGCGGTTCCAGAGACAGCCTTCTTTCAGTCTCATCGACTACTGCCGACATCCCATCCTCAGGACCTGGTCACCACCCTCGTGGCGGGCCTATGCGTGGTCGTGGGCGGGGTGATTGGGATGTCGGACGTGGGCGCGGCCGTATCCCTTATCTGGATGATCGTGACTCCTTTCGACGCCGAAGTCGTTCACGGGATGGCCGATGGGACCGTGACCGAGAAAGAGATCGAATTATGGACCGAGATAGGGACCGCGACCGTGACCGTGATCGAGACCGCGACCGAGACCGAGACCGCGACCGCGATCGTGAGAGAGAGCGTATAATGGACCGTGACCGAGAGATCGATCGCCGTGACCGCGAAAGAGACCGGGAGTTGGATCGTCGTGAAAGATTTGACCGTCGTGATGAACTTGACCGACGTATGGAACGCGACGATCGAGATAGACCTGCCGATCTTTGGAAGAGAGATCGGCCTCCGAGTCGCAATGAAAATCGTATACCCAGCATTTCAGCAGCACCGCCTGTTCCCCCAGCTCTCCATACTGGCCCTGCAACATCCGACCGAGTTCCCGACCATCCTAACGTTGAACAGACTCGCAAACCATCCATAGCTGAGCCTCGGCGTGAACCCGAACGACCTGAGCCTGTTGCACCTCGCCCAGAGCCCCCCAAAGAATTTCACACTCCTATCAAGCGGTCGCCGCCTCCTGCGGCCCCGCAGGTCCCGGCCTTTGGCTCTGTTACCGCACCTATCCCCGACTTGTCTGCAGAGAAGAGGCTGTCCGATGCAGGTGCCGCGCCTCCATCAGTCCCAAAGGTAGAGAAAGAGCAACATGAACCTATATCACGCGGGCCTATACAGCCTCCGACGGGTCCCAAAGCTTCCCGAACTTCTCCCCAGCAGCCGCTGGAGCAACGAATTCGACGTGATGAGACTCTGGACACTTCCACTAAACATGAACCAGTGGCACGCACCTCCAAACCTCATTCCGTCACACCCGCTAGTGCACAGAGGCAACCGGACCTTTCCCCACCCACTGCCCCAGCGGCTATGACCAGCAAGGAGCCTCCAGCACCGCAAGTTGAGACGCCTTTGGCCAACAAGTCCGGGCCTATCGTCAGCTCCCCAGAGCTTTCAGCAAGAGGCCCACCTTCAGCCAATCGCGGATCATCGCCTGGTCCACACACATCGCCTCTTATGCACTCGTCAAGTATCCCTACGGGCCCGCGTGCTCTTCAACAGCGACCATCGGTATCCCGTGGACCACCTAAAAGTAATAAACAGTGGGTTCGTCCTGGCTACAGGGGCCCTCCTCCTGCGCCTAATTCCACTGTCACTCCAAAGCGTGATTCCATAGATGGAAAGGAGCGGGCGTTATCTATCAGTGAGGAACCGAAGCGAGAACATCGCATGTCAATCGATGACAGCACATCGGGCCCCGAAGCTGGGGAGATCGTCCCTGGAAAGGAGATACAAGAATCCAAGCGAGAGGCGTCGCCTGTATCGTCCGAACGCCCCAAGCCTTCAACTGCCCGTGCTACTAGTCCCAACGTACCTCCTGCGGAAGATGTAGGAGCTAAGGAGAAAACCACTGGAGGCAAAACCGATGTCCTCATCCCAGACTTTAGTCGGACTAGCGATGAAGATGAAGATGAAAATGTTGTTTTTACGCAAGAGTACCTAGAGGAGCGAAAGCGGACTTTCGAGAAGGACATGCGAGCGTTGCGTGCAGAATTACCTCCCTCGCCACTAGAAGATCCGAATATTGTTGCACTGCTCATGCGCATTCAATTGTTGGGAACAATTGCCAATGATGTGGTTCCAGAGAGAGCTCCAACTCCGCCACCGCCGGCGACTAAAAATGAAGCCGAAGACCGAGGGGAAGCAGTTGCTCCTCCTGAGGTCAAGCTGGATAAGGATGCCGAAGACCAGGAACCATCAACCAAGATGGTGCTGGATTCACTCCCTGCAGCTGATGCTGTCACCATCGAGAGCCTGCCATTCCTGAATTCCGGCCCCCCGACTCCTCTTTCTGACCTTGATATTTACCAAGAAAATGCCGCAGCCCACCAGTCAATGAAGGAAGTCTTTCGGGGAGAGATGATGAAACGTCGGAAAGAGATCGCCAGGAAGAACCTCGCGTTACAACACGATTACGTAGATTTGTACAAGGAATGGCGACTCCGAGTACATGATCTGGATCGTGCGAAAGAGAAGAATTCACTGACGCCAGGCCCCGTGTCCCCTCCAGGCACTGCAATAGCAACGCCTACTACCGCCGAAGGAAGGAGATACAAGGGGAACAGTGAGCTTGACTTCCAGAATGCTCTCCGAGCTTCTGAAATCTCCGCCCAGGAGGAACTTGAACGGCGACGTGGGAACAAGGCCACTGCGCAGCCAGATCTTTCTCGTGAGGCGGTAATACCAGATATGCTCGAGTTGGACGAAGCAAAGGCACGTGTGTATAAGGATACGAATAACGTAATCGACCCTGAAAAGGCTATGGATGTCTTTGGATTTATCCCACCGCCCAACGACTTCTCCCCCGAGGAGCATGAGATTTTTACTGATGCGTTCATGGCTCATCCGAAGAAATGGGGTAAGATTGCCGAATCTTTGCCTGGGCGAGATTTCCGGCAATGTATCATCCATTATTATCTTACGAAAGAAGAGATTAAGTATAAGGCCAAGCTCAACAAGCGCTGGAGTCGACGTGGTCGTGCCAGAAGGTCTGCCCGACCAAAGTCCAATGCTCTCATGGCTGATTTGGGGGTTGTCAAGCCTGATTATGAAGGCGAGGAGGAGCCTGCTCCCGTTACAGATACCGGCCGACCACGACGTGCTGCAGCACCCACCTTTGGCGACTCTTCTGCTGATACGGAGCATACTAGCAATGGTCGTCGGGGAGTCAAGGATGGCGATCAGCCAGAGAAACCCGCTAGTCGACGAGGCCGTACCGGTGCAGGTTCTCGTGGAGGTCGACGTGGCAAAGTAGCTCAGCAACAACAGCAGCAACAACAACAGCAACAACTACAACTACAACAGCAACAGCAACAGCAACAACAACTACAGCTACAACAGCAGCAGTCACAGCCACAGCCACAGCAACTGCCACAACAAATCCAGCCAGAGCAGCCGATCCAGACTGTGACAATGGCGCCGATTGCACCTTCTGTTGGGACTATCTCCAAACTGGAGGTGCCCGAACCAGCCACGGATGGTGCGAACGAAGCGGCGATGGTGCGACCCAGAGAGCAGTCCGAGAAACCGGTGGCAGAGGTGCCCCCACGGGCGAGGTCCGGACGTGGCCGTCAGAAAGAAGGAGTGTTGGTTTTTGAGTCCACGGAACAGGAAACTCCGACAACTAGCAGGCAGTCAGAGGTAGGGTATGGGTCACTGCAGCCTACTAGCTACTGGTCTGTACCAGAACAGCGTGACTTTCCTCAACTACTGGCACACTTTGGTCGCGATTTCGAAGGCATATCGAACTTCATGAAGACGAAGACAACTGTGATGGTACGTACGGCCCTTTTCCTTTTTGATGTCAGCTCTATTCATGTGGCTAATACTATAAAGGTCAAAAATTACTTCCAGCGCCGCATAGACTCCGGCCAGAAAGACTTCGAAGACATCGTTGCGGATGCGGAGCACAAAAAGGCTCGGGGAGAACGTACGGGTCCTTTGCCTGCTGCCCCCAACATTGCCTCGAGACGGCGCTACGAAGCAACACCTTCATCCATCATCATGCCTCGCCCCCTTGCTCCACATACAGAAGCTGCAGCGCCCGAGCCAGACGAGGCCCGAGTTGTGTCTAAGAGTAAGCATACGGCACCATCTCCGCAGACAGTACCCCTCCATGCTCGACCTCCGCCAGAAAAGGAGCGTAATGTTTCAAGGTATCCACCACTCGCACAAGCCAGCACTCCGATGGCCCCTGGGCCTGTTTTCAGCGAGGACTTTTCCAGGCTCGCGCTCATCAGGCGAGCTTGCCACCACGCGCCCCAGGCCCACGTCTTGGATATTTCCAGGAAGAGAGACGTGAGATGCAAACCACTGTGCTGCCTCATACGACCACTCGTCCACAGGAAACACCGATTTCGGCTCGTCAAACTCCCGTGCCAGCGCCTGATATGGCACGTATGGAGCCTATCCATTCTCAAGGATACCGGACATCGGGTGTTGATGTACATGGGTCACCTCTTCTCCCAACACAGGGCACACTACCATCGACGCAACAGTCCTACATGCAACATCAGCCTCAGCCTTCGCTTATGCCCACAGGATCCCATTCCCGCCAACCCAGTGGCACAAAGCCTCCCAGCTCACCAGCACAACCACTACAGAAGCAGGAGCAGGATATGTCCCCTATCCGACACGACCATATCAGCCAAAGGTCATATTATCCGCTACCTGGCCAGCATGTGGGCTTGTCGCAACCACCGCCAGTCTTGTCGCCACCAAAAGAGGCCCTGCAGCCCGCACCAACTGCGGCTGAACCAGAGGCTCCTCGGCAAGTGCCAGCTAAGCGGTCAAATATCTTAAGCATCCTGAATGATGAACCCGAAGAGCCTCAACCGCGTAAACGGTTCGCAAGTGACCAAGCCTCGAATCCTGGAGGAACTGCAGCCTCTCCGTCGCGGCCAGTCTACACTGGGTCACATTCGTACTCCCAAGCAGCGGCTGCGTCCCGTCAAGAGGAGACACATTCCGCAATGCCGACACAGAAAACTCCTGTATATGTTCAGCAAACCCAGTACCTACCGCCATCCCGAGGTTACGTTGACTATCAGTCTTATACACCCGTTCCAGGCAGCTCGGGCGCTCCGGCTAACAATGATTGGATGGCACGTTTTGATCCTCGAGGCCAACAGCAGCAACAACAGCCGCCTCCGCCACACCAGCAGAGCAGTCGCTCCGGTGGAACACTGGCGCCACAACCCCCGTACTCACCTTACGCTTCGAATCAATCACTGTCAGGACCAGGCGCCTCTCTGCCAAACCTCAGTGCCCCATCACCCGTTCCAACTCCCTCACCGGCTCCTTCTCAGCGCGCTTACCACACCAACGTCTATGCACCATCGCCAGTGACACATGCACAGGCTGCAGCTGTCGGCTCGCGAGACTTGGGTGCACAGAACCAAGTTTTCCGCCCCACAATCGGGTCTCCCACGTCCCGTGCTAATGCCATCGCCTATGGTTCCCGCCAAGGCCCTCCCACTCCTATTCAATCTCCTGCCAATTTGCTTGGGATGTCGCGCCCTGCAGCAAGCGCGGCATACGCTACACCAACATCAGTAACTCCGGCACCGACGCATGTGTCCGCACAGCAACATCATAGCGGCCATCAGACCTACCAGCAACATGTGCAAACAATGGTTAGTGGAGCACACCAACAGCCACCGCATAGATCTGCGCTCGGTCTCGCTGGTGCACATTACGGTCATAATACACCACCTCCGCAAGCTCAGGGCTCCCGGGCAGCAGGTCTATCTGGGCCGCAGCATCAGGCAATGTCCATGGGTCGTTCTTATACTCCCCCGGCGATTCTCCAACCAAACCCAGCAGGCGGGTTGAGCTATGCTCCTGGTGGGCCTCAGGCAGTCGGTGTCCACCCCCTCCAGGCACGAGGTCATGTATCTGGGACTTTGAGCGAGGTTGTCCCTGGCCCTCATGGGGCGCCAGGACACCATCGGGTGTACAGTCAAGGGTCAAATGCCGGGCCGCTCCCGGGGCCACTTACGCCACAGCACCCTTCTCGATAGAGTCATGATGTACTCTACTCTCCTTTTGCATTTCTGACTTAACATATGTATTTACCATGTGGACAGCGGCAGGCAGGGTTGTCGATGTACTCTATTTCTATTTCACCCTTCTCCTTCTTTGACTTCTCTCACACTCGTTAAATTTTGTTCTTGCCGCGCGGGAGGAGAGCATGTCTATGATTCATGTATGTATAGTAGACGATTCAATTGATGAAATATATTGAACCCACAATCACCCATAAAGCACGTAATCACTCAACCAATGCCCCGCAATCAAATAAACCCCTCAATTGACCCCTCCAGATGCTACCCAAACCCAGCGGTGACTAGCTGATAAGGATATAGAGACCATAGAAAAAGTGGGGAATACACCAACCTGAAACAACCTGAAACAGCCGTAGATGGCCAATCGACCAGTCTAATCAATTGCAAACGACGCAACCTACGAGGCGTTCATTTACTCTATATTATTCTAATACAACACAATATTCTTTTGACACATTGATGGAAGAAACAAAAAAAAAAAATCAGTCAATGTAACCCCACACAGAAACCAACCATGTATATAAATGCAACCCAATCCCTGCCTTCTAAGCCCCATTAAACAATCGATACATCAAACATCTCAATCCAAGGAACTATACATGCATACCTGTAGACTCGAAAAAATGAACCCTCACATCACCTCAAAAACATCCTCAAAGCATCATCAACATACCACACCATTCCCACAACCAAGCAAAAGACCAACCCCACTATCAGAGCAAGAAGCCCACAAAACGACCCTCGAAGCCGCAAAGCTCCACAGACGACGCCTGGAACACGCTGTCTTGTTATCTGCTCTCCGGTCACGCGTACCACACAGCTCCATCCCGGGGCTATTGGCTTCTGTCTCTGGGGTTGGGGCTGGGGAGTATCAATACAGCTACAAACAGAACTATGGCTATAAACACCACTATACCTATACCTATATCCATCATTATAATTATAACTATAGTTACGAGCCTGGCTACAGGAATGTATATGCTATCCCCGGGGTCGTGATGGGGGGTATGGGATCCGGTCAGGCTAGGGTACTGGACGATAGCTTTCTGAGACGGGCGTATAAGAGGAGGGATCTGGTGAGGAAGAGGAAGGCTTCTTCTGGTTCGAGGAGCTCTGGGAGGGGGAGTGTAGGGTCTGAGGGTAGTTCGGCTTCCGTGTTGGGGGTTAGTTCTTGAACAGTGATGGAGGAGGGTTTGGGACGATGTTACGAATGAGCGGTGTGTTGCTTTCTGTGTTCTGGAATTTCTATGAGCTGGGTTGGAGTTGACGCGTCATGATGGGATTGAATCACAGCTTGATTATGTATGTATGTATTCATTCGGAAAAGAACGGGATTACTGGCAGTGTGTGATCAACCCTAAATAGGAATCTCTGTTGCAATGTGTTTGTCAAGGAAATGTGTAAGGAGCTCGGATGTATACATAAGTTGCGTGGATTTGTAGAGTCCTCGGCACGGAGTACAGTTAGGTGCTACGGAGATCTCGTATTAGGTGGATCGAGGTGCATGATGGATGAGCTGGCTATTGTCTTGTTGCATATTCGTTAGCCAGCCACTGCGTCCATGTAACGGGAGTAGGTACTGCTCCGTACTTTGTTAAGGTAATCCGCACATTTGTCTCATTACGGCTGGGTACTGGTACTCTGAGTTGTCAGATATTGTCGGAAGAAGTGTCCTCAAAGGAATAAAGTAATGAGAAGCAAGGGATGATTACGACGCTGTTGTGCCTTTGAAGGTGAACTCTGTGGTGGATAGTATATTAGGATAGGCAGTCTATATTCGTTACTTTGGTATTGCTATGTTGTGCAAAATTTGTATAATTTTGAGGGAATCAGTAAAGTAGTTATACATTCGATCTTCGAGGCATAGTAAATAGGGCTATTCTCAAGAAAACCTAATTTCAATGAAAGAGGAGGCATACATACTATTTAAGCTTTAGAGCACATCTCCCGCATCGATCTATGGTTGCGATCTACAAGAGTTTCATTAAAAGTTATATGGGCCGGGAAAGTGTTTTAGACCGGATAGCCAAATCCGTCCATGATTTGCAATGGTATATTACTTCAATTCTAACTAGGGATGCCAATGGCCTCCGAGACAGAAAGCGATCTCGGCCGAAACCATTCTCTTAGCATTACCTTACCAAAGAGAACTATTGGCAATAAATGTGTGTGAGTACTTCGCAAGCATATGAACAGCTTGACGGTGACCGAGTAGCTAGTCGTTCCTGATTCTGCTAATTCAACAGCCGGTAAACAGAGGTATGCAGGGGGCTTTGTTCAAACGAAGTTCTGCATCCTCGCCGAAGTATGTAGCTGATTAGTAGCAGCTGCTCCAGTTGGAAACGCCTGATAGATGTTTTGTTCACTATTCTACCCTCCCTTGAGTTGGCTGTGTTTCTGTCGTGAGTGAGATACCCGGTATTCCGGATATGGAAATACTCCTAAGAGAAAGATAGTCTACACAAACGATTGTGCAGATTCTGGTATTCCGGTCAAATGGCCGAGCAAAAGGCCGGCACGCGATATGTTATATCGATTGTGTAGCCGGCTGTAGTGCTCAAGAGCCGACCTGATAAATAGCCACGACGAGGTTACTTCGGGTACCCGGTGTTGCCGGGAAATGTAACATTCCAACGAAGGCGCCTTACTTCCAAAGCAAAAGACAGTCACATCAAAGTAGCACTTCTTCATACCATGGTTGGAATGGGAAACATGATCATCTTTCTCTGGCATTGGACGACCAGTGGTCCAGAGATGAACGTGCTAATGGCCATACGTGAAGATGTAGTTATCATTGGGTAATATCAGCAATGGTGGAAACACTTATTCATTGATCTAAGCGATTTGCTTACTGATATGGTGGCTGTCGACAACTCTTAAAGTAATCAATTGGCTCCGAAAAGCGACATAACTGCCCGGCCGTATGGATAACGAAGAATTGTTCATTATCCAATGAAGATCTTCTATTGGTATCGGTCCTATTAGCAGATTGTTCCGAGTGTAACGAGAACTCTAGTGCATTGAGTAGCACCAGGCAACACTCGGTGACCAGTCTCTTTCGCTTTACAGCCGATGCACCAACCCTGAGCACTACTTGACCTTATGTTCTCTACCGACGCCCCTGCCGCTTCGAAATACACTTCTATACTAGTCTGACTGTTTTCGAGCCGCATTATGGCGGAAAGTATATATCTTCCCCGAAAGACATGATCCGGGTCGGGTGGGGATGTACCGGTGTGTGGGGTCTGCTATATCTCTTATTCGGACCTCACATGGCTTGAGTCCCTTTGACTGGTTGGGCCTTGTGGAACCCGCTATCACACTTGTCATGACTTGTCTATGATACAGCTTTGCACTGCCCTGTGCTGAGAGGCAGTAGCCTGAGAAGCTGTACGGTATACAATATCGTTCCTTGAAATATAGTCAATAGTCTGCACAAACCGAATGCCAATTACGACTACCGCAACCGGAATAATAGTTACATGGAACTTATCCTGCCGGTCCGAGTAACTTCGGCTCGGCAATGGGCCCAATTGCATAGGTTTTCTCGGCACTGTCCCATGGAGTAGAGGAGTCCATCTCTTACCCGAAGTGCATGTCGAGTCGCAAGGGACCGACACCACCTTCGGGTCGGATGAGTCATTTGACGAATACATTAGGTTTAGAAAACAGCAATAAGAAAACAAATAAACCATCGCGAGACAAAAAAAAGCTTGTGGCGAGACTCAAGAGGTTGCAGTAGAAAGTAAGGGGTTGGCGTTGTCAGCAAAGATCTAAGCGATTTCAGACTTGTGCCACGAGCATGCCTGCTATGGACAAGCTGTCCACAATTTGACCTTCAGTAGTACATGATAATGTATATCTCTTATGGAGATGTTGCACTGGACGTCCAGGTGATGTCATGGAAGCATTTGTAGAATATCTGTCTGCCTGAGAATGTCGGAACGCCCGGGGAGAGCTTCAGCTTGGGTGAGTGAGAACCGAATGAAGTGCAGTCGATGGAAGGATGCAAACAGGCTTTGCCCTTGTGGTTGCGTCATAACCTGAGGCGGTCAGCCTGCTAACCCAATCAGCAGTCGTGGCTCAGTTCTTTTCAAACGCTCGGGGTTCCTCTTTAGGAAGTCCCGTTAAGCGCTGAAGCCGCTATGCAGCGCCAATGTGAATCAATGCTTGTGTATTGATAGACGATCTTGTCCGGACATGATGTTATCCCTATGGTGGCGAATGCGGCCTTTTTATGCTATGCTTCCAGCAATGTAGGGAGGATATTAGCCTTACAGAACACATGGAATTGCTGTGGTATGCAAAACACTGCAAGTTGTCATTGAAGGGCGAAATTGCCCATGCACGATTTGTAAGGGACCGAAGTGTGTGGAGTTAGCAGGAGGAGATTGTGGTCCTCTGCCAGATGGATCCAACCGATCGTAGGGGTATGTGTGGGGATGCCCAATAGAGTAGCCCCTGAGATTATCGGAGGATTGTGCCATGACGTTGAGGAATATGTCTTTCCTAATGCATCAAATCATTCCACCTAGTATTCGGAAATACTCGCCAGCCTTTGATATAAAGGTCTGGCAACTTCCTTGTTCCTGAGGTTATTTCTCATCCTTTCATCATACAAATCACAGCCAATACATGAACCATCCTGGTTTTCCTTTTATTATGTTCACGAACCTTCCTCTATAAGGTATCAATTTCCCCACAGACCCACATACCTTAGTAGTTTGTGGCATATATTCATTCAACCTTGAAGACGCCAAACTCTTAGTCATGGCGTCTGATGGCTTTTCAGAGAAGGATTTTGGTCCAAATACTGAAAAACTTCCTGATAAGAAAGATGAATTAGCCCTACAGGACAGAAGCATAAGTCCTTCTCGCCAACCTGCACCGCTCCATGCGGAACATGCCTCGCAGTCGGACAACAGTAGTGAGGAGCAAGGGAAGATCGGTGGGGATGGGAAGCGGGAACTCTTAGAGGACGACTGCTACGACAAGCTGGGATTCAGCTTCCCCTGGTATAAGAAATGGGGTATCCTTACAGTCATCTTCACTGTGCAGATGTCCATGAACTTCAACAGCAGTGTTTATCCAAATGCCGTCACACCCTTGTCGGAACATTTTCATGTCAGTGAGCAAGCCGCTCGAGTGGGCCAGATGATCTTCTTGGTGGCCTATGCCTTTGGATGTGAGCTGTGGGCACCCTGGAGTGAAGAGCTCGGCCGATGGCCTATTATGCAGCTCAGTTTGTTCCTGGTCAATATTTGGCAAATTCCCTGCGCCCTGGCTCCCAACTTCGGCACCATTATCGTCTGCCGCTTCCTTGGTGGCTTGAGCTCAGCGGGCGGTTCAGTCACCTTGGGCATGACTGCAGACATGTGGGAGCCTGATGACCAAGGGTTTGCTGTTGCGTATGTGGTATTGTCTTCTGTTGGTGGTACCACAATCGGTCCCATCTTTGGTGGAATGATCCAGCAGTGGCTGAAATGGGAGTGGAACTTCTGGATTCAACTCATCTTTGGCGGGGTTACACAATTGGTCCACTTCTTTTTTGTCTCTGAGACCCGTGCGACTATCCTCATCGATCGGGAGGCGAAGCGCCGTCGCAAGACAGGCGAGGATCCGAACGTTTATGGACCGAACGAGCTGAAGAAGCCCCGGTTTGATGCTAAAGAAGTTTTGCGTGTCTGGTCCCGACCCTTTGAGATGTTCCTGAGGGAACCTATCGTGCTCTTCCTTTCTCTGCTGTCTGGTTTCTCTGACGCGCTGATCTTCACCTGCATTGAGTCTTTCAACCTCGTGTTCAAACAATGGGAATTCAACCCTCTCCAGATTGGGCTCTGCTTCATCTCCATCGTGATTGGCTATCTTGTCGCGTACAGTATCTTTCTCCCCGACATTTGGCGTCAGCGTCAAGTTAGAAAGAGTCACGGCAATACAGCTCGGCTGGCTGAGCGTCGTCTGCTACTCCTTCTCTTCATTGCACCACTGGAGACGATCGGCCTGTTCGGATTTGCTTGGACATCAATGGGTCCGGACTATACCCACTGGATCGTGCCCCTTGTTTTTGTGTTCTTGATTGCCATTGCGAACTATGGAATTTATATGGCAACCATCGACTACATGGTCGCCTCCTATGGGCCGTACTCTGCTTCCGCCACTGGAGGCAACGGCTTTGCTCGTGATCTTCTCGCAGGGCTGTCCGCCATGTACGCGACTCCCATGTACAGCAACATCGGTGGCAAGTTCCACCTGCAGTGGGCGAGTACGATTCTCGCCTGTTTGTCCATTCTAGTGACCGTTCCCATCTACATATTCTACTGGAAGGGCCCTGAAATCCGGGCGCGCAGCAAATTCGCCCAGACCCTAGAGGCCGACCGCGCACAGCATGCAGGACGCCGGGCTAGTCGCCTCAGCGCGGAGGAGAAGCCATATTTGGCCTAAAAGTCTTTCACTCGACTCTCGAGCATCTCTGCATTCTAAGTTGTATTTGTATTGATATGATTTTATTTCTACATTGTCATTATCCCATTCTGTTCAACGATCTTTGGATCCGACTTCTGGTGTGAGTCTTGACCGGGGGATCGGTCTGCATGACTGATGGACTACTTGACTATAACAGTTTAGATACCCAATCATGATACTATCTTTTGAATACCCTTCTAAGCATAAAATGTAGAGAGGATATCGCCTCTTGTGCAGTAGATGAACACTATATCTGAGTTCACTTTGCCTTGTTTTAAAGTACCTCTGTATCAAGTGTCTCTAGGCACCTATGAAATTCGGCGGGACAAACGATATGTCTTACTTCATACAAACGCACCCATGTACATAAAACAAATGACTCTTATTATTCCAAACAACGGTAAAGAGTGTTCGGTGGCTGCAGTGAATTGATGTCCTTGAAGTGCGGGCGGCATACAAGTCCTCAGCCCCGGCTTATTCTTTCCTACTAGCAGATCTAAGTATAGGCCAACTAACATAAGTTGGTTCCGGAATATAGGCCAAGTAGAGAGTTAGGTAGGTGAAGTTTGACGGATTCACGTCCAACTTTAGTATAACTAAGATGTAGAAAGACTCGAAAGGAAAGGAAAATAAGATAGAAAGAAAGAAAGGGGGAGAGAGAAGAAGGAAACCTGAAGTGAAACAAGCGATATAGTCCGATCCTTAGAAAAGAAAGCCTATTCAAGATGATGAGTGATCGGATTATCAAGTATATCCGTCTTAAACACATAGAGCCCGGTCATACCACCTCAGATAACAAGAACTCCGGCTTCTGCACCAATGCCTAGACGAAGGAAAGGAGATTATGAGCAATCAACCCAATAACCCCAGATGACAATGTTTAGTTATCATTATGTGCTCTCCGTTCGTCGTCCTCGCGCTGCCATAACAGGTGCCGGTCCCCGGTACAATCTTCCACAGTGTGCCCATGAGGTATGGGTGTATCGATACCCTCAATAACCTTCAAAGACGGTAACTTTGTATCCTTCTGCTTCAACAACATTGCTATCTGGGCCTCTACATCCAGGTCCAGTGATCTTTTAGATCTGTGTGGGTATTCACCAGGCAAGCCATAGCCGTAGAGGCGCAGCGATTCCAGGCGTGGGGGAAGGTTGTCAATGAGAGAAAAGGGTTCCTTCAGGCGACCGGCACCGAAGCCACGAGTGTAGCTGTAGAGAACATGGGTGCCGATGCTAAGATGCTTAAGATTGGGAAAGCTGCGGAGTGAACACTCTGGGGCCGGTGATTCTACAGCAAGGATTTCTTTCTTTTGAGCCACCCATTTCTCAAGTTCTTCATCTTCATCAAATGAGCCGCTGTGAAACGCGTCGTGATCCTCACCGAGCATTTCAGGCAATGTCAGATGTCCCTGGATGTCAAGATCTAGCTCTTCCAATGTGTGACGATGGGTGAGCAACGACTCCAAGGTATCTATTGGACTGACTGGTGATATATCATAGCCCCGCTCGGAGCGTCCACCAACCGTGAATACAAACTTCCTTAGCCGCTTCGCTGACTGAAGAATAATATCTAACTCTTCGGGCGAATGCATAATGCAGTGGTAAAACATGATATCCGTATAGTTGGCTGAGCGTGGTGGAGGCCACATTCCTACGTCGAGGCTCGGCTGGATACCATCGAAACGAACAGATTCAATGGTGGGGAGTTCACGGATGAGGTTAAGGCAGTCATGAACCTCGTAATCCCAATAAAGTGTACCATCATCCCCTAAATTATCTATATCAGAGAGAAATCTCACTGAGCGGAGATTACGCAAGCCAGGTACATCGCGCTTCTCCGCGATGGCTCGCCGGAGGAAGTTTTCGAACATATATGTCTCTAAGGGTTGCTGCAACCCTAGTGGACAGAAGGCTAGGGATTCCAATCGAGGTGCCAGGGAGACAAGCATGACAGCGAGGGCCTGCGCCTGGAAATATAGGTACTTGTCAAATGAACTGAAGAATTGTAAGCACCTAAGAAGATCAATGCTCTACCGAGAAGTAGATGTCGTACCTTCGGGACTTGCTAATATCCTGCAGAAGTATATTCAATACCCTTTCATCTTCTCCTCGCCCTTCAAGCCCTGCATTTTTGACTGCGAGCTGGAGCCTCTGCAGGTCTTCTGTTGGCAGCAAAACCTGTGTTGGCCGGATCTCATAAGGGTCGCCTCTGTACGAGAGGCCCGGTGTACGATCTAGCTTCAGCTCGCGGATTTCTCCAGCAAGGGACGGCTCTCTCAGGATGGACAGCAATATTTGCAATCCCCTCTTTAACTCAGTTGGAGACCGAAGCCGCACTGTATGGAAGTTGTCATTGCCATTGCTTTGCAGTTGACAGATACCACGTCTGGCTTCAAATTGGAACGAGTTTGAGATTACCATCGGGGCAAGTCGCTTGAATAGTGTGCCAGAGATGGGAAATATATGTCGTAGGACAAGTCCTCGGCAGGGTAGCATGGAAAATGATTTTGGGTGACGAATAAAGAACTGAACGGGACCAAATGGTGGGTGAAATGGAGTGGAAACGATTGATGAAGAGGGAATCGCCAGATTTCCTGGCAGCGGGAACCACACTGCCTTTATATGCCCCTGGTTAGACCAGGTCACTTAACTACTACGTAACTAGGGTTGCTTAGTCATCTGACCAGTGCAACAATGCATGATGGTGAACTAACAAATATGGACTATATTAAAAGGTGTGGTAATCGTGGAAGCCCCGTATATAGACTTGCTACACGATCGATCTAAATTTAGTTCATTCTACCACTAGGCCTGCATGCCGGTGGGCCCTACTTTGAAACACTATCTGCAGCTAAAGGAAAGGAATTCCACTAGAGCCTAGGTCTAGACCTCTGGGGCACCTCTATATATCCAGTTGTTCACCTAATCTTGGAGCTTCTTTAACGCGGGGACCACAATATCGTCCAGCTGGTTCTTCAAAAGTTGAGCCGTTGTTTGTACGACCTCAGCGTTGGCAGCTCTGGACCCCAGGTATTGCAATGTTATCAACATCAGCTTATCTGACACCCAGTCTTTCGTTCCTGATGCTGCCACTTTGTACCAGTCCGCGTCCACTTCTTTGAGAATCGCAGGTAGACTCTCGAAGCCAGGTACCGTCTTAGCCAAAACTATTGTCTCAGCAAGCAAATTCTCCCGCACCGTGTCAACACGGCTCAGCACTTCTGGGTGGTTAAGGTAATTCCATACCCCTATTGCCTATACACATGTTCAGCCACATAAGAAAGAATAAAAGAAAATTGGTCATGGAGTCTTCACTCAAAGCTTTACGTACCCTGCGAATGAACTCAAAAAGTGTTGCTTCCTCCGTACCAGTCTTAGAAACTAGCGTTAATTGACGTTTAAAAACTGTCGAGTCTGTCGGATCATAAATCAAGCCATTGAAAGTTTCATCCTTATTGAGCCCAATGGAAAAGATTTTGCCCTTGACAATATTCAACATCTTTTCGGTTCGAAGAAATGTTTCACGGTTGTTCACCGTACCCAGGGTGCTGAACAAACGATCATTAGGAATTAGGGAGTCTCCATCAACAATTGATGGCGCACGACTCAGAGCCGACAGAGGCTTATCCCAATACTTGACAAACTTCGCCCCGTCTATAATCGCACTTTGCATAAGTGAGCCCGAAGGTAGCACCCCAGTGACAGCACTTCTTATGAGGATTTTGATGAATGCTTTCTGTGACGTTTTAGCCCTACCGCCTCATCTATACAGGCTCCATTAGTTAGGCGCATTCACACACCTCAACGACATGTTCTGTATCGAAACTGTATCCCTTGCCCACCTTGTCGGGGTCCAGAGCCTCAATAACTGCCCTAGCACATGAGGAAGCTCCTAGCCTGTCGGATGCTGTACATTAGAAATGGCTTTTTTGAGTAAGCATCGGAACTCATGGAAGAGGCAACATACAGGAATGACTTCTGCAGTACCTTTTTACCTGCCTTGCCCTTGAACAGTACCCCACTTGAGGGCCAAGAAAGCGCCCTTGTTCTTATTGTCCATTGCCTGATGTCGAATGCCCTAAAAGCCGGGGCCGCTCGTCGCTCAATGCTATGTATATCATGATCCTCATCGTCATATGATTCCTCTAGATCTCGCTTTTTGTAGTTTGTATCAAGGCTGGTGGTGTCGCAGTAATCCGAGTCGATCTTGCACAGGTCCACATTAGCACAAGACGCTGCTGCTGTTCCCTGAGGCGTACAGCATAATGCCTTCTTTCTCCACCCTAAAATTGAGCGTTCTCGTCAATACAACAAAAGGTGATAAATCATAATAAATGGATGTACATACAACCGCACCCAGTGAACGAATTCCCTTGGTTGTCAGTAGCGAGGGTGACTTCCGTGGAGCTGCACGTATTATCTCCACAGTCGCCTTTTCCTACCCAGTGACAATCTTTCAATGGAACGGGGTTGCCTTTGCAGCAATAGTGCATGGTATGGTGGAAAACGGTACATTTACCTTAGAGCAGGTTAGCTTGGAAACAGGTATATCGAGCTGCGAATGCATATTTGATTACCGTTCAGGTTGGACGCTTCTGCGACGCTCACCTCGCCGTCCTTGCAGGATCCATCGCTATGATGGCCGGTTAGTAGCACTCGAATGCAGGTGAATCCAACCAAAGACAGCTTACCAACCAGTCCAGTAGCAGTCCGTTGTAAGATTATCGAAGGTACTATCCGTGCAACAAAATGCCTTGGTCCCACGGGTACAGTGCGATGTGCCAGATTCACTCTTGAACCCTTTGTAATCACCACCACCAGTACCGGATGAGAAAAGTTTGATTTCCCCTGTATGGCATTGTCCTATTCAGGTAAGGTTAGCTGTAGCTGTGTAGGACATAGAAGTATACTGACCGTTACAATCACTGCCACCACCACGCCATTGACAGGTAGAAGGGGCTGAATCAGTATCACAACATATCGGCTGACCGTAATTTTTCTGGTAGTTGATGGGTCAATGTTCGATACTGATATATTCCCACCACAGTCTTACTTAAGAATTGACAGTACATACCGCAGCCTTTCGACATTTGTCTTTGTCATATCCCACTAAAGTATATCCTCTGTCACAGGTGACCTGAACATTGTCAAGGTCGACGCACTCGGGACCACGATAACACCCTTCATCCAGAGATTTCGCAACACTTTTGGCTAGCACATCTTGTGTCACAGAGAGAGACTTCGCTTCAATCTTCTCTTGGGCTGACGTGACGTTGGCCTTGCCGAGGAGAGCTGCATGGGCTGCAAAGTCATAAGTATCTGTTTAACTAGCGAGTTAGCCGCAAATACTCCAAGCACCTCCAAAATTGCCAGGACCTGGGTATATACTTACCTTGATCAGATGCCCAGATCAAGGAACCTCCGAGACCGACGCTTCTAGCCCAGTCAAGCTTTCGCTTGAAAGTTGTCCTGTCATCGTATGAAATCCACTGGTCCTTATCATACGTGAAATGTAAAACGGCGGCCTCCTTGTCTTCAACTGGAGTAATATGGGGGTTTTTATCTAGCAGGTCCTGTATCTCGTAGTATGCTAGGTAGCCACTGGTGTGAGTACAGGGCCCAGAGGTGCCTCCTGTTGTGAAGGGACAGCCTGGAGCTGTACAGCTACTGTCTTTAAGCTTAAAAGTTCGGCCGTAAAAGCCAAAGCCCATAACGACTTTACCCGGATCGGTTCCTACACGCCAGAGAAGGTCTGCCGCTTCCTTAATATTAGTCAGGTTGGTGTGAGCCTGAACAATACTGCCACTATATGCCCCATGTTAAAGACATTCCTGATGGTATAGGGAGCAGGTAAGAGCCGACTTACATAGCATTTCGTCTGTCCCACTCGCCATGTAGGTCATATGTCATCTACCCAGTCTGTTCAGCATTTTGTCACTATTCTTTGGGTCAGACAAGGAGACTGACAAAGTTCATCCAGTCTGCGTACTTGAGCAACCCTGGAAGGTCGAACCATTTCAGATACCAGTAAGACGATGGCGCTGTAAAAGTAATACCGAGCTTTCTGCCCGATGCATCAAATGTGTTTCTTAATTCAGCTAGCAGTTTGACATAGTTATCTGTGTCTCTGGGCTTGCCACGTCGGTCACCTGCCCCAGGATACTCCCTAGATAGCCATGTTAAATTGTCATGTCCCACGACCTTTGCACTTGTTACTCACCAATCGATATCGATGCCATCAAATCCATAGGTGTCTAGAAACTTCAGCGTATTACTTGCAAATGTCCTGCGCTTTGTTGCATCCGCCGCAATCTCGCCAAATAGTGGCTGAGTTACCGTGTCATTATCAGAGAACGTCCAGCCACCAAGGCTAACGTAAATCTTAAGGGATGGCTTCAAGTCTTTCATCGCGGCTACCTGCGTAAACAACTGCTCTGGCATATCTGAGCTCATTGTAGTAATGGCATAACTCTTGGGATCAATATAGGCAAAGGCAAAGTATAGATGAGTTAGGATGCCCACTGCACCATGTCAACTACCGGAACCGGTATAAACGAAGGCTAGGATCTCCAGACATGAAACTTACATGGAAGCTCCGCGGGCAGGGTTGGATGGCACTTGGAAGTTGACATCCATCCTTCGTAGTACCCGATTACTTCAAGCATGAGGAGTCAGCCGCCTATCCCAAAGAACTTGAACCATGTATTCTCCTATATCACATACCTTTGGCAAAAGGATCCCCGCCGTTGTGGCTCGACGGAACTGGCGGTTTGAGGATGCAATTGCTTTGGCATTTCCCTGTGCAGAATTCAGATGTGGTGCCACAGAAGCCAAATTCCGAGCAGCTGAATATGGATTCTTAGTTCTTTTTGAATTTCATCGGGTAGGGTGAGGCATGACTTACCAAGTGTTCAACGGACACTTTGTGCCTGGCGTGCTTGCATACTTTCCACACTCCGCGCTGGCATCGCAATTAGACAGACACCCTTCACCGCAGTAAGTAGGCCCGTAACCACAGAATCCGCTTGCGCCACAGCAAGCGCCGTTTGTGCAGGGTTTCGATGTACTACAGGTGTGGTCGTCCTCCCTTCTCACAAGAGAGGAATGGGTATGTAAGTGGCGATGGCCATGTGAATGACGAGATGAAGAAGAATGAGTTATTCCATGGTCAACGTCTGTGTCAAGGGAGGGTTGGGAAGTATTGTCCAAGAGGATATGTGAGGCTGATCTGCTGGCGTTCAATAATACCAACGCAACTATCACCAAGGCCCAGAAACAAAGTCGTCCTCTGGGCCCTGGAAGAGAGAATGATAACATTTCTTGAAATCCTTTGCCCCGACGATGTCAAGGAGAACACATTCTCATGCCACGGCTTTGTGACGACTATAACTGAGTATTTCGCAACAGCACACACGGTACCTTTTATTCACCCCTTTCTCTATCCATCTATGTTTTTTGCACCATTAAGATACCTTGAGAAAACTAGTATACTAGACCGGAGAATAACAGCCCCTGTACATCGGAAATTAGAAACTGGCGATTTCTCCAGATGATGGTTACATCCGCGGCGCATAGAGGCATATGACATGCCAGATACTAGAGCTGAGATAGTATTCAGCGTGAAAGGCCTCATACATGTCTAAATTGGGATTAGGGTTGACACTGAGAATCAGTACGCTACCCCGTTCTAGGACTAGCCGCAAGCTGCAATGTAGCATCGCATATTTTAGCTGTTTTATGGGTCTCCACGCAGCGTTTCTTGCCTGGTCTTGTATTCCTGCAGCGCTAAAGTAGTGTCCAATAGTTTAGTAAACAGGCAGTTAAGCGTGTATAGTTCACCAAAATTTTGAGAGTCTCGATAGGCTCTAGGCAGGCTTGGCTACTAGGGTGGGTTGAGACCAACTTTGATGTGGGTCAGAAAGATTTACGATAGCACCAGACCATGCTAACTAGAGAGCTAGGAAGCACAGCTTGCCCCTAAAAACAGTTTCAAGTGTCATACGACTATAGAGACTAGAAAGTAAAAGGCATATACTAGCGCTAATGAGTTAGCTTCATAAACACATACAATGTAACACCAACCTTGCTCAGAGCTCCGTAGAGAGCCCTAGCGTAGTAGTATGATTGCTATTACTAAAAAGGTATCGAGAAATGTGCGAATACGAAATATTGTACTCCCTAGCTGAAATTGCAGGCCCGCAAAATATATAGCTCACCCTAATATATGTAGAGCCTAGGCCGAATTCCGATAGCTTTACAAGTGTATGCGGATTAGAGCATGAGTGAATGAAGCGAGAGCACGGAGGCAAGCCCCCCAATGGATATCATTCTTATGAAGTCTCTCAAGTATCCATCACTCTGTTCTTCTCCCGTCAGTATGTCTCTGGGTACTGGGCACAACATGCAGTCTTATTCCTTGATTGCCATTCTAGGCTTTGCCAGTGCTACACTTGTCGCTGGACAGCAGTTCGAATGGTACTCTTACCCATGGGATATTCTCAACCTGACGCAAGCATGCTTTAACGCCGTTAACTCGAGTGTTTCTTCATGCCCTTCTCTACTTGCAACTCATACAACCGGGTTCGTTCTAACCACCCGCCGCAAGCATTTGAAGATTTATGCCTAACTGATAACCCAAAGCACCGGCACTGTTGACATATTGGCCGAGGATGCTCTCCAGGCCCTTTGTGTTGACAGCTGCAGGAAAGAACTACAGGCACTTCGCGGCACTGTCCAAGCGGCATGTACAGGGCAGGAAGACGTGATGGTCTATGACAATGTTGCATATCCCGGTACGTTTATCCTTGATGTGCCCTGGAAATGATTGCTAAGAAATGTTCTGTTTAAGCAACATTCATGATCGACAATCTTCTATACACGTACGATGTGAGCTGCTACAAAGAATCGTAAGATCCCTTCAGAATCTGTAAGGTGGTAGGTGCGACTATCTAACATATACATTCTAGCTCATCAGGAAAGTATTGTGACTTGGTCTTGGCAGAATGGCGAGGCCAGAAAAATGCAACGGACGATGACAGAGCAGCGCATAATTGTTCTGATTGTATCCTTGGGCCATTCAAAGTACAGCTAGAATCGCCGATAGGTTACGACGATGAGTGGGCAGAAGACTTTGCTTCATTGACTTCTAGCTGTAGCGCTACTGGATACACCTATGTAGCGCCTACAGGATACGCGTTGAATTCCTCTATTACATCGTCTATCACAGCAACGAAGACTGGCACTGGTACTGGTGCTGCTACTCCAACCTCTACCCACACCTGTGCATCCACATACACGGTACAGGCTAACGATACATGCCATTCAATTGCTTCCAAACATAGCGTCTCTACATACAACCTCATGGTCGCCAATGACATTACGATTTTCTGCTCAAACCTGGCTGCACCTGGAGAAAGCATTTGCATTCCGGAGAGCTGCAACTCGACAACCCTTTTGGCTGGGGATACTTGCGCTCAGATGATGTCTGACTGGAACGTAAGCATGGCGCAAATCCTAGCTTGGAATCCGATTATCAGCCCTTTGTGTGACAATTTTCATCTATTTTACGGATGGGAAATCTGTCGGGGGTAAGTAGAGAGCAGATAGATTTGCTCTCCCTGACTTCATTGTGTTACCTACTAATTTTTAAAATGACAGACCCCCAGGTGGTGCTATAGAAGTGCCCACAGGCGCTCCAACAACTACATCTACTGCCACTACTACGGGTATAGTCTACAGCACACCTGCCCCAATTCCGACAAATGCTATGGCAGGTTCCAATCACTACTGTGGGAAATGGTATACGGTAAGGAGCCAACCTTTATTTTTTTTATTTTTTTTTTAGAGCTCTGTCAACGGGCCGTATATCTAACAGACTTTCGGCAAATCATTTTCTAGACTAAATATAATGACTCGTGCACCGATATTGCCGCTAATGCCGGGATTACATACGAGGAGTGGCTGTTCCTGAATCCAGACGTCTCTGTCAACTGCACGAACCTGTGGGATGGGTATGCCTACTGCGTTGGAGCCGTCGGCAACATTGCGACCTACACAGGATGGACCGTCACTGCAGCACCTACCACCAGCTTCACCAGACCTGCAAGTACAACAGAGACATGGACTCCAGGACCAACCTATACACAGCCACATGCTCCAGGAACATTGCAAGACTGTGCAGTTTATAGAGATGCTATTGATGCAAATAATAACCCAATGAAGGAGTGGGGTCTCAATACCGATTTCATGGACGAAATTGGCCTTAATTACTCAGCGTGTTCATTTTATTGCCACCCGTACTCGGTCACCGTTGATGACTTCGTACAGTGGAACCCAAGTTTGGATGCATCGGATTGTGTGGTTCGCATGGGCTATAGTTACTGCGTCCTGATCTCATACAATTGTGAGTATTCTTTATCAGGTTACCTGCTCGCTACATTAATCTGTGGACCGCACGAACCATGCTAATGAATTGAGGCAGTTACTTCGGGAGCGTCTTCGGACGGTGGGCACGTTGAGACATCATGCGACACTGTCGACAATGCATGGATCATGAAGGGCACTGCGTCTGATTGCAATTGCTATTACGTGATACGTGGCAAAGAGGCTGATGGTACATTATTCCTGCTGTGATCTCCTCCGATTGATAGGCCAAGCTGACTAACACTTTCAGGCTATGATTGCTCCGTTCTAGTTGACGGCCCTGATTCTTCTCTCACAGAAGCCAAGCTAGTGGAGCTGAACCCATGGATAGGGACGGGTGACTGCACGACTGGGCTGTTTGCAGGGCTTAAAGGTGAAGAACCGCGCGCAGTTTGTTTGGGTACTGGTCCACTGTCGTCAAGCACATCTTTACCAACCCAAGCAACTAGTGCTGTCACTTCAACCATTGGTACAGCCACATCCCTCGTCCCTTCAGCGACCGTCACACCCCAACCGGGTGCGATCAAAACATGCAATGCGTACCATGTGGTAAAGAGTGGGGATGAATGTGAAACCATTGCAAAGGCGTACGGGATTGCGCTAGAGACGTTTTACAAATGGAACCCACAGGTAGGGAGCGATTGTAGAACTCTTTGGCTGGGATATGGTGTCTGTGTGGGGGTCTCCGCTTAGTGGTTGCAAGCAAGCATTTAGCTAGTTGACACGCTGCCCAGTGTGGCCCGCATATTTCCTAATATGTCACGATGTCAGAGTATTTCCGAGAGATGATTAGTACTATTATAACACTACCAAATGAATTAAATATCTGACTCTAAAGCAAAGCTTATAGCTTCGTGGTTATTGCTCTCTACATCGATTAGACTATGTGCTCGAGTGTTCGCTAGTTAATGGTTAGGTTCTATGATCATGAGGTACACCATTTTATATATCTTCAGAAAGAGATCAATACAGCATGCTGAATCAGCAAACTAACAGCACCAGAAAAGTTTCTCGACTATATTCTATGTTAATAAATATATAGGTACAGCATATAATTATTAGGCAACTCTCAATTAGTTTTTTATGGCTAATTTATTGTAGTCGATATTCAATTTCCATCACTCATTGAATAGTTTTTGGCGCACGGGGTCAACCGCGCAGAATTTGGGCTTCGTGATCTTCCGTGTGTGAAGAGATGATCATAACAGACATTCTATAGGTTGTTCCTAGATGACTTGCATTAATTGATCGACAGAAAATGTTTCACACTTTAACCAGGAGATCATTCTGACTTCCATATGACAGGTATATATTCGGGTTTGCTCAGTAGTGTGACCCTATGCTCTAATCCAAGTTTATCAATTGGTACACTTTGTGTTTAGCCGGCAATTACGACAATGTGCGGAAATATAGCGGGAAATCCTAGTCACTAAATTGGGGGAAATCCGGGGCCGCCTTGGCGAAGCTTCGAATCCGTAATTTTGTAGCTTTCCCCGAGATTCATGAAGCCTGTCATCTCATTTCAAAATTGTTCCTAGCTGCTGCATTCCGGGGTATAATGGTTTAATTGTATGTACTAGCGCGATGAGCGGAAGGTGAAGCCGCGATGTTCCGCGTCCGCGTTTAACCGTGGACGCGGAATCAAATGCCGCCTGAGGTATGGAGGTTCTTCCTTGGTCAAGGCGGTACAACCAATGAGGTGCGCCTGATTCACGAAGTTGCAATGATGACCGCCCCTCGCAGGGTTGGGTGACAAGTCTCAGACCCTAGCAAGAGAACGGCAATCCGTCTAAATACCGTGACGTGGACCTATAGTGAACCATGGTCGGAAAAGTCCCGTGCAACCGACGTAATAACCCCTGCGGAGGCTTGATGCTTAAACCGAGATGTTTGGTATAAAACCCGGCGCGCCGTATGCCACCTGAGCTGAAATGAGATTTCTCCTACGATAACAACCGTTTTCTTTCTCCTCTTCTAAACATTTTCAGAGATGTCGTTACAAACGATCGCGCTCGCCGCTGTCGCGGTGGCGTACTTCATTATCCGCTACTTGAACCGCACGGATATTCCGAAGATTAAAGGCCTCCCAGAGATCCCCGGAGTTCCTCTCTTCGGGAATCTTTTACAACTAGGGGACCAGCACGCGACGGTTGCGGGGAAATGGGCAAAGAAGTTTGGCCCAGTTTTCCAAGTGCGCATGGGCAACAAGGTTAGCTTTGACATTCTTTCGGTGGCTGATGTGAGGGGGCGTGAAGCTGATTTGACCGCTGTTTAGCGCGTGGTTTTCGCCAACAGTTTCGACTCCGTGCGCCAGCTCTGGATCAAGGACCAATCCGCGCTCATCTCCCGTCCAACATTCCACACCTTCCATAGCGTCGTTTCCAGCTCGCAGGGATTTACAATTGGTACATCTCCTTGGGATGAATCCTGCAAGAGACGGCGCAAGGCGGCTGCAACGGCGCTTAATCGTCCCGCAGTGCAGTCGTATATGCCGATCATTGATCTGGAAGCCACCGCTAGTATCAAGGAACTGTTCAAGGATAGCCAGAACGGAACAGTGGATGTGAATCCCACTGCTTATTTCCAGCGATTCGCGCTTAATACCAGTCTTACGCTGAACTACGGATTCCGGATCTCGGGTAATGTCGATGATGAGCTGCTCAAGGAAATAGTCGATGTCGAGCGTGGTGTGTCAAACTTCCGCAGTACGAGCAATAACTGGCAGGATTACATTCCCTTGCTGCGGATTATCCCTAAAATGAATCGCGAGGCTGAGGAATTCCGTGTTCGTCGGGACAAGTACTTAACGTATTTGCTGGGTATTCTCAAGGACAGAATTGCCAAGGGAACAGACAAGCCGTGCATTACTGGAAATATCCTGAAGGACCCGGAAGCAAAGCTTAACGAGGGTAAGAAAGCTTCCAGCGTAAAAGTTAGAGCTCTTCACTGACAGGATGGATTAACAGCTGAGGTGAAGTCTATTTGCTTGACCATGGTTTCGGCTGGTTTGGATACTGTTCCCGGTAACTTGATTATGGGCATCGCTTCCTGGCTTCCGAGGAGGGTCAGCGTATTCAGCAGAAGGCCTATGACGAGATCATGAAGGTCTACCCAGGTGGCGATGCGTGGGAAAAGTGTTTGGTTGAGGAGAAGGTTCCATACGTGTCGGCGTTGGTCAAGGAAACTCTGCGATTCTGGACTGTCATTCCGATTTGTCTGCCACGGGTAAACATCAAGGAAATTGAGTTCAACGGAGCCAAGATTCCGGCTGGAACTACATTCTTCATGGTAAGATACTCCCTTCTTTCGGTCTGCGCTCCAGTAAGCATACTCATTAATTTACAGAACGCCTGGGCTGCCGACTATGACGAGGACCATTTCAAGATGCCCGAGAAGTTCATCCCTGAGCGATATCTCGAAGTCTCTGAAGGTTCCGGTACTCCTCACTACGGGTATGGAGCTGGCTCACGGATGTGTGCGGGATCCCATCTTGCCAATCGCGAACTATACACGGCGTACATCCGACTGATCACTGCCTTCACGATGCATCCCGCGCAGAACCCGGGAGATCGCCCTATCCTGGATGCGATCGATTGCAATGCGATCCCTACAGCTTTGACCACGGAGCCGAAACCATTCAAGGTCGGTTTCATGCCGCGGGATGCACCGAAGCTTCAACAATGGATTGTGGAGAGCGATGAGCGGACGAAGGACCTGTAGTCTTCTATTTTCCATGTTTTTCACAGTCTAGCTTTAGAATTGCGTCGGTTATGATACTTGAACGCTTAGAATGAAAATGTACATAGTATTATGAATGTGAAGACTACACTGCAATGAACGGAGGACATGTCCAATAACGACTAAGAGTACTAATACGTAGTCGACGAACCAAGCTAAGACCTTAGCGGGAACGGAACCATTCCAGGGAGTGGATAACTGCCGAGTGGATCGTCGCCGCCTAAACCCGCTCAGGCTAGAGTGCAACCTCGGCTGCCGAACCCCCGCATTAGCGACTTGACCCAACAGCAAAACATCCATCGGCTTTTTCTTTCTCTCCGCTCATACCGGAACCTGGTCAAGATGTCTGCCCCGGTGGATCATGACACAGACCAAATCGCAGACAACGGGGATACTCGCATGATAGAGAACGACACAGAATCGCACGATCCCCGCCCGCGGAAAAGACGGAAATACATCGCAAAGGCATGGTGGGTCACGTTCATCCTTCCCGGTATTAACTGTCGAAAGCTCAAGTTCATACTGAAACCACGAACTATAGTAACGAGTGCAAGCGTCGGAAAATCAAGTGTAATGGTGAGACGCCATGTCAAAGGTGCGGAAGGCAGCGGATTGGATGCGTGTACCAGGAGGGACAGCGACAAGAAATCACCGCGAATGAACAGTAAGCGCAGGTCCGTGGGGCGGAGAGAAGTTAGACTGATGGAACCTAGCGGATTCGATCAATTGTGCGAGCAGATGAAAGCCATGCAGGAGCAAATCACTGCTTTGACGGCCGCCGTTCATACACTTACTCAAGGTGCTGCTGCTCCGACGTCATTCACGCGACCGGACCAGACCTGTTCGTCTGTCTCCTCGCAGAGGCATTTTCGGCGTGTCTCATCGGCGAAGGGTTTGACTTTTCAAGGTCCCACAACCTCCGCGTTTAGTTTTGATATTGCGAAATCGAGTCTTCAGCGGCGTGGGATCGTCGAGCGCAATGATGCTGGGGAGGACGGGGATTTGACCCAGGAGCCGTCGCCTATGCCGTCGCCGCCCTCACCGACCCAGGTGTTGCATACACGACGGGGTGACCCTCTATGGACTATTGGAAAGGATGAAGCCCTTAGATTATGCAGGGTGTATGAGGAGGAGATGGGGATTATGTACCTGTGTTGGACCTGCAGCAGTTACTCAACCAGGTTGAGATTCTATATGGCCAGGTGGGAACAGAGGCCTGGTCGGAGGGGTCTGTACCGCAGAACGGTGATACGAAGCTGGATGGTTACGACGTACATATTCTCAGACTGGTTCTTGCGTGCGCAATAACGGCCGAGGCAAGCGGAAACAGCGATTTGGCTATGCGGCTGTTTGAAGATGTACAGGAGGTGGCAGATAACTGTGTCTGGGGGCCTCCGGACATCAGAGGTATTATATTTCTGACGCTGGTGGTAAGTTCTGCCGTGCTTTTGCTCTTCGCATGATCTAACGTAGTCACCCAGTCGATTTTCTACTTTCAAATGGACGAAGAAGCACTTGCCTGGAGGACGATCGGTATCGTGGAACGTATGTGTCTGGAGAAAGGTCTTCACCGACGGGAAACATTGGAACAGCCGGCTATTCTGGCCGAAGGAAAGGAGCGTATTCTACGATTATTCTGGTCCATATATGTTCTGGACATGCGCTGGAGCTTCGGGACGGGCATGCCCTTTGCCTTGGAAGACACGGACATTGACCCGTGGCTTCCAGAGCCCGAGGAAAAGACCCCCTACTTGCGGGTGATGATTCGGTATAGTCGCATTGCGGCAAAGGTCTGGAAGTTCATATCAGCTTTCAACAACACCAACGAGATCAAGAAGGACGAGATGAACTATCTAGACTGGCAGGTCGTACGATGGACTGCTGCAATTCCTGAGTCCCTGCGTCTTGACCAGCCATTGGATCAGGTGCAACAAGAGCCACGGAGTATCCGTCGACTGCGGTCTTTACTTTACCTGCGAGCCAACCAGCTGAGGATGCTCATCTATCGACCGGTACTGTACTCAGCGGCTCATATGATGCGTTATCCAGCAGAATCGCAAATAATCGTTGACCTTGCCAAAGAAACAATCCAGTTCATCACAAAACTCAACCAGACGTCAGATATTTACCGTCTCCAACAGGTCACATTCAACTGGTTTCTCGTGTCAGCCCTTGCCGTTCTGTTCCTCGCCGTATCGCACACACCTGCCCAATTCAGTGCGCACTCTAGAGAGGAGTTCTACATGGCTCTGGAACTAGTGAAAGGCTTCTCGCCGCGATCATATGTATCCCGGCGACTGTGGAGGTCAATCAAGGGCCTTCGAAAACTGGGGCCTCAACTTGGGCTGCAGACCCACCAACAGCCCGAAGAGACGGCTCGTACCGCACTCGAGCCAGCCGCTGGTGCTGTAGCGGTGGACTCAATGGAACAAGTGCCGGCACCTAGCACGCAGAGTCATACAACACCCGACGGAGCTCAGATGACACGGGAGCTGATGGAATGGTTCGAAGCAGTGGGTAATATTGAAGACCAGATCATGTCAGTGGGGACGGGGGTGCAGACCTACGAGGAACCGTGGCAGTATGGAGCTCGCATGGGGAATGGCTACACGTTTGACTTTGGAGGTGAGCTGTCAAGCTTAATGAAGGATTGCTTCTGACAGCACTGTGGAAAATGCCATGAGTTTATTTACCTCTATATAATACTACCTGGTGCTAAAATAGCCAATGTAAAATAATTCAGTAGGTCTGGTTCCACATAATTAATTAATGAACAAGTGTATCCAGATGTACAGTTGACTTTTGTTGTGGTATGATATGTAACAAGCTCATTATTTGCTACAAAGGCTTTGAGGTACCGGAGTTATAAATATGCCAGAAGGTCATTCAACTGTATCGTGACAAGAACAGGTAGCAAAATAATGGACTTATCGGATGAGTTTGTCTGTATAGGTGGTTTCGTATCACTAGAGACCAGCCGACTATGGGAACCCGTCTAGCGGAAACAGGAGCTTAGTTGTCTTATCTTCGACACGGAGCTCTCAAGGAGTGGGAATATTGGTAGCTTAGAACGAACGGTGAGCACTAAAATCCATAGAAACACTGCTCCCCTAGTGATCGTGGGTTAATCATCGCGCCTGTTCGAAAGTATGTAAACAGTCCTGACTATTGCGGTAATGAAGCGTACTCTGTGCGGCCTTCTCATAGCGTGTGTCACGAGACGGATGATGAAATTCATTGTTGGTTGAGAAGGAGGTTTCGGATACGGTTTACTTTGTGAAGTGTGAAATTGTGTGATTTAATGGAATTGATTCGGTAGGAGATGGGCTTATATTATGGACTCGACTTATATAGATGAGCTTTTGCGGAGATGTACATGCTTTTACAGACGGGTGTCTGGTGACTTGCTGGTTGGTGAATATAGAGGTGGTTTGTAGGTGCTTGGTGCTGTATATATTTGTTATATATTATACATTAATGTAGTGGAATTGGATTTAGAGTAGTGCTGCAGTTGTCCATGTATCTTGAGGTACTTGTTAAATGTGTGTTGATCTATTTGGCTTGTTTTACTGGTTCTTTCATAGTAGGCGTGTAAGCCTAGGGGGTGATAGGGTCGATTGACACAAGTTATGTCATGTAGGAGGATAAGAGATATGCCGAGCGACTGAAATACAATCTACAGCTGAATCCAGATAATAGCAAATATGCATTGAGGTACTAACAAATGACATGACCCAGGTATCTATAATTCCAACATGTCACCTTCGCCTGCAACATCCCCGCGAAATATCCAGCTCGAATCCAAATTGATTAGGCGGTAAACGTGGGACTGCATACCGCTCACCCCTTGTATCTACTAGTAGTCATCGCTCAGACCGACAATAGGTGTACGAGGATTGCTCATGTCCCGTTCATCAGGCTCAATGGGTTCATATCCAAGGTTTTCGTACACATCTACGAATGCAATCAGCTCAATTCATGGTAAGCAATACTTTGATTTATCTGATATAGGTGTTCTTACCTCTGCGGGAGACTATTTCAAATTCATACTTCACCTCGGAAACCTCCCCCAAAAGTTCCACGCTAGAGAGCCACTCTCTCTCGCAGTGAATGTATTGGTAAGCTCCACGGATAAGGGCTCTTAGAAAATGCTTCTGAGAGGAATACGAGCATTGTTCGTCCAAATAAATCTCCCATTCAGGATACTTCAGCCATTTAACGCGGAGGCTAGCGTCATTGGCATGGGATTCCGGGAACAACCAATGAGCCTTCCTAATGGCACTCCGAACTGGGTCGACCATATTGACCACCACAATCACAGCATCCCGTGCAATTCGTGGCCCAGCTTCGGACATGATGCAGTTGGAATGGGAGGGGAAAAGGTCCCTGTAACTCCTTCTAGAAAGGCTGATGGCTAGGGATCGACTAGAAGTAGTCGAATATAACAGGTTGATAAAGACGACAGAATGTACTCGAAGGGTTAAGACGGACGGATTGAAATCCAGTATGCGTTGACTAGACCTTGATCTCTGCATAAGGAGAGAAGGATCTCCCATGGAGGAGACGAGAATACCTTATATGTGTCTCGAACAAGCCTATATAATGCATATACTCCATGCCCAACTGGAGAATCGCGCCACTACTTCATCACCAGGCCGGTATTATAGCACATTGCATCTGAACGTGCTTGCATTAATCAATATTTTATCTATCCGTTCTGTGAACATCCTGTGATATCTGGATTTGTCCACTGCTTCTAGATTTATTTCAAAAGTTCCACATGCATCGTGGGTCTGAGTACCGAAAGCCTGTTACACAGGGAGGCGAACATGCAAGGTAATAAAGCATTTATCGAATTAGTTATAAAGGGGCTTTCCCAATCTTTCCAAATCTTTGACGGTAAAGTCCGTAACTAACATATGGGCTGGCTCATGCGCGAATACCAGCCCTTCGATCCGGTCTCCTGCTGACTCCACGGCCATTTGCGGTGTGACGCCACACGCCTGGTGAACAATTAACAAAGTCATTTCATAGCTAAAGGAGAATGGAAGGGGAAGAAAGGAGAACCGCACCCAAAAGACTGGAACTTCCCCCTCCTCAAAAGCCTGTCTCTCTCCAAAATCCGGCTTCTCAATATCGCTAATCCCCAACCGCTCAAGGGCATCCCATCCCCAGTCGACCGGCTCCCCATGTGTGGCCAGGAAGGGTCTGGTGATCTCCCGAACCCTCTCTACATCTTCTACCCGATAGGGTCTCATCGAGACAATGCAAGTCCCGTTCTTGAAGATTCCCGATGCTAACAATGGAATTCGTGTTTTATACATGGCAACAATGGTTCCCGTGGCTTGGTGTCTCGGTTTCAGGCCCACGTCAGCCAGGGCATCTTCAAAGGAAAAAGAGCATCCGATTAGAAAACCGACATAGTCGTCTGTCCAGAGGTTGAGGAGATCGGTACGACTCTCAATATACTTGCCATCTTTATAAACACGGTATTTGGGACAGTCCGTTCGGAGGTCGAAGTCGTCGTATTTGATGCAGGATGACGGGTAAACAGTGTTGGGGTTGCCCTTAGGGGTGAGCCCCAGTAAGGGGCAGGAGACCGGGTTGCGGAGACATAGGTTGTGGAAATCCTCGGCGTGCTTCGAGGGAAGAATGAGTAGATTGGCTTGGAGATATCCTGGGGCTAAGCCCGAGGTGTTGGTTATGTGGTTTTGGCGTCCGAGGAGGCGGATTTGGTGGGCTGTCTGACAATGCGTGGGGTCCATCTCTACAAGAATAATCGCATTATGGTCGTCTGTTGTGTTGAGTACTTGTGTTCTACATTTGAATTATATGACCTTCCCCGCGGAATGAGGATGACTTATTTTCCGCCATGACGGGGTGTCGACGACCATCAAACGACCCCAGCGTTTATACACGGAGTTCAACCCACTCGTTTTCCCCATATCCACCCTCGGGGCCCACTCACCGATATCTGGGGTTTTATCAGTCGGACCACCCAATGAGCTAATGATATTAGTAGGGATCACCAACTGATAAACTCCTCTCCACCACTTATCTTGACCCTTCGGCCCGAACGGGCCTCTTCAACGAGCGGAGACGCGGACGTTGGCCGAATTTCTGTTACTCAAGTGCTACCTTATTCAGATAACGGGAGTGTCACCCAGCCAAAGGCTATGCACTAGGAGGGGAAAGATATGCATGCGCTATCTTGATAGGTAATCGTGACGGAGGGATCAGCAAGATCCACGAGACTCTTTTAACCCCATATTTTCCCTCCCCCTGTCACCTGGGTTTGGGAGATTTTGGGGTGGAAGTGCAGTTGCATCTGTCGCAGAAATTCGAGAACGAAAGAGCACTTTGTCACTTAGACGACCAGCCTATTTGGACGCCTCCCATGTCGACAGACGAAAAGGATATCCCGGTCGAGAACAAAAATGATCGCAAAACCTCCATAGAGGAGCCGGGGGTCGGCGATGTGGACGATGTCGTGCTCGATCCGAAAAAGGAGAAGAAACTCCTGATGAAACTGGACTTAGCCTTTATTCCCATTATTATGGTGACATATTTGTCATGTTTCTTGGATCGCACAAATATCGGTATGCCGAATATTTTACGGCCAGTCTAAGATGGCGGAGCTGACCTCAAACAGGTAATGTCAAAGTCGCGGGGATGCCCGAGGATATCGGGGCCTCCGAGACGCAATTTTCGATCGCCGTGTCCATCTTCTACGTGACTTATGTCCTGCTAGAATCACCATGGGCCGTGTTGATGAAAAAGCTTACGCCCCGCAATATCCTAACTGGACTGTGCATCGTCTGGTCTCTAGCGACAATCTTTACGGGGTTCGTGCAGAACGTCGCTGCACTCTACGCCACAAGATTGATTCTGGGTGCTTGCGAAGCGGGACTTTTCCCATGTCTGAATCTGTACCTGGCGATGGTCTACCGGCGGGAAGAGCAGGCCAAACGCGTCTCCTACCTTTTCAGCTCCGCAGCTATCTCTGGCGCCGTGGGAGGTTTATTGGCATACGCACTGCTACATATGGACGGGCTAGGAGGAAAGGCCGGATGGAGGTATTTGGGTCCCCCCTCCTTATTACCTTGCATTGTTAACCAAGAAATCAACCAGATGGGTCTACATCATCGAAGGCCTCTTCAGCATGGTCTGCGCCGTCCTCATCTGGTTCGGCCTCCCCAACGATCCCGCAGAATCATACTTCCTGACTGCAGAAGAGAAATGGATGATGCGCGTGCGGAACGAACAACGCCGCAAATACATGGGCAGCGACAAGTTCAACTGGGAGGAAATGTGGACCGCACTGCGCGATCCTAAACTGGCGTTCAGCGCCGCCACGCAGTTCTGTCAGGACATCCTGCTCTACGGATTCAGCACCTTCTTGCCGACAATTTTGCAGGATATCGGATACAACTCACTGATGAGCAATGTGTTGACCGTGCCGGTCTATATATGGGCTGCACTTGTGTTTATTGCAGTAGCATATTGTGCGGATCGATTTTCGCGCTTTGCCTCCGTAAGTCCTGTCCCTCATCCTTCCCTTTTCCGATAATCAAGATCGGGACTAGCATGGCGAACAATGTGCTAACGTGCGAGGATAGTACATCCTAATCGCCAACATCTTCGGAATAATAGGCTACATCCTCCTCCTCGCCGTGTCCAACAACCCCGTGAAATATTTCGCCACCTACCTCTGCGCAATCGCCTGTTATACATGCGTCGGACTGAACGTCGCCTGGCTGAACGTCAATTTCGCACCACAATACCGTCGAGCCCTGGCGGTCGGCGTCCAACAGACCATCGGAAACTGCGCGGGCATTGTCGCAGGGCAGATCTATCGCAAGTCACCCTATGTACTGGGTAACTCCTTCTCCTTGGGATCTATATGCGTAGCGCAGATCCTGGTGTTCGTGCATGCGATGTACCTGAGGAGGGAGAACGCCGAGAAGGAGAGGATTATTGACGGCAAAGAGGATACGCGGAGGGTCAGGACCGGTGACGCGGAAGTGGAGTTCAAGTATCACTACTAGTAGTCATCCTGTTCCAGTGGTTCAGGGGCATTTTGCAAATAGTTATGTCATTCATCAGATTTTCTTCCGTATTTCTTGGATATTTTTCTTGGGAGTGAGGGTTGTACGTACGCTTCATTGGTGGATGGGTACATGACGTCATGACGTACGTACACATAAGATTTTTGGTAAGAAGGGAAGAAAAAAGGTACCGTAGGATATATTTATATGGATCTCCACTGGCTTCAGCCTTATATTCTAGATTGGATAGATTGGTATACTTTGACCTACAATTAATATTGCTTGACGAAACTTTTATGAACCACTGCCCGACATTAGTACCTCCTACCAAACGAACCAAGAAAGTACAACCAAAAAGCAACATGGGCTCCTGCTTCTCCCTTCTCGGTGGTGGCAATCGCCGCCATCATATGAACCCTGGTATGGGAATGGGCGGAGGTGGATATCCACCGCCGCGAAAACACGAGTTCGGTCCTGGTGCTGGCATGGGAGGAGGGTTTAACTCGGGACCGGGAGGATTTGGTGGAAGACATCATCATCACGGAGGACATCATCATCATGGTGGTGGTGGACTCGGCATGGGAATGGGTGGCCATCATCATCATGGCCATCATGGAGGTATGGGAGGGCCTGGGTTTGGAGGTAGGCATCATGGAGGACATCACGGCGGACATCATGGTGGAGGAGGCTTTGGTGGGCATCATGGCGGTGGACATCATGGAGGAGGCTGGTGATCTGCTGTAACCGCATGGGATAATGGTATGTGTCTATATTGTACGACTACTTTCGACAGTGCTGACGAGATCAGAATAGATATTTATGTGCTTGTATGGCTTTTACGACCAGTGTTAATGATTCTGTATTTAATCTGAAATTCCACTATGATTCCTCCACAATAAACTATGGATCCTAAGGTTATTTGCTATCGAGAACTAGATTTGGTCTGCAGCCGCAGACAGGGGCTCCCCCAAAGGAATCAACCCTCTCTAGAATCACGTCCAAAGAGTCCGTCCATCTTGTCCACTGCTTTTGCGACGATGGCAAAAGTCATGGTGGACACATCACCGTGGTCAAGAATCTCATCGAATTGGTTCCTCCAGAACCACAAACGCTCAAGATGCATGGCAGTGGGACTCCAGTTGTCGCCAGACAGTCTACTCTGTATACTCTGCCACCATGGGCCACCCTGTGAAATGTTGTTTGGTGTACCGTAGTGCCACAGTCTATAAGCGGCGTGCACAAGCCAGACACCCGCAACTGCAGCTTTCTTGTCAAGATGCTCAACTGCGCGTATATCCCTCGTTACAACTTCCTCGCCGTTGATTTGGGTTATCGTTCCCTCGGTGACCTCCTCTATGGCCGCCATAGCTTGCCGCGGAACACTTATGAGATAGATCTCGGTGAGTAGCGCAGCGAAGGCATGTGTGTTGAGGTACTGTTGGAATTCTGCTTCATTTCTCAAGAGACCTGGTGAAGTTAGCCATGATGTCGGATCGTCCACGTGTACAGTACAATAGACAGTTGCAGGGTAGAACTAACTTTCGCGGAATGGTGGCAGGAAACAATCGATCCGATTCAGGCCGTCCCACAGGAAGATCATCTGACGAGGTTCGTGATATCCATCACTGTCATCTAGCATGAGGACCTCTGGGAGCTGCCTCAGAGGGAGCTTTCTTAGCCACAGGATTACCCTAGCTAGCTGCGAATGTCCATCTCCATTACGATCTACCTGTCCTGCAAGACGTAGAAAAGCTTCCCAGATGTGCGTAATAAATTCGTAAGATTCCACAGGTTGGCTTCTGGTCGCGTAGTCCGTGTAGAGGTTATCCAACTCAACCGCTGCGAGGCGGGGGACACGAGCGTCGGTAGCTCCTATTACACGCTGGAGAGTGGCCCATATACGGATGATCAGGGCCTGTGTGGTCAGGTAGTCCAACATTGTAGATGTTGGAATCTTTGCAGGATTTGAGATGTGAGGGTCTTGGATAATGAAAGATGAGGTGTGATGGAAAAAGGAAGGTGGGTGTAAAGATCTGTTAGGTAAATGTGCTCAAATCGTTGCCTAACCGACAAAGGAGATCCTACCAGTGAATAACATCATGCTTCCATCTGATTCCGTCGTAAAGCTGTGTGTAGAACGTTACAACGTCGAGCAAATAAGCATGGCATTGTTATTTAGGTATGCTGTGATCTTAAAGATGATATTGATATGGCGGTAGGGTTACAGAAAGCACGTGAGTGAACACCATATACTTCATTGTGTGATTCCTAGTACTATTTCCATCAGACATGTTAAACCTCCCCGAAGCTCAGAGGTCCACATCTTTTTGTGACCATACCCCACTTCCAAACAACCAGTTGTAATGGACATTTTTCAAAATTTCAAAATTGACTCATCTTTCAAGGTTGGCTCGGGTTTCCCTTCATAGTCTCCTGTAGACGTCAGCTATCATTGTGTAACCAGGTAATATATGATCATATACAGTGGGAACTACCGCTCTTCCAAACAATTTCAAATTGAAGCTGGGGTTCTTCCGCCTCCAGCATCGCCTGTATGGCGCAAAACCACTGCATTCTACAGAACACGTACCCAGTGACTGTATCTCCGTCCCGTTTGAACGAGAACTTCAGCTCAGGTTCAGGCTGTTAAAGTCACACTGCTTGAGAAGTATCTTTTTCCAGTATCGATAGTCAAGATCCCAGATAGGAAGAGTATCTTTGCTGTTTCCATCCTGCCATATGCACCAAGCTCTCAGAAAGGCGCTCCGCTCGGGATCCACGCGATTGATGACTTCGATGGGAATATCCTCGTGTATTTTCATTTTGCGCTGTTTGAAGGTGTGAGGCCGTAGTAGGTCAAGTATGAGAAGCAAAAGATTGGAAGGAGTGGATAATCCGTTGAATGCTCTGTAGAGCTGAGGAGAAGATACAAAAGAAATTGATATCTTGTGGTGCGCGAGAGCGTAACACCTGAGACGCGAGTAGGCATTGCTATGATTGCAGACCTGATTGGCTTGCTCGATTGGGTAGCCTTGATAGACGCTGCTGGAGCCTGACAGAGTGAATCAAGTGAAACTACTAGTAGTCTGGAACTCTGCGTTTCTGTCCTTTATCTTCAGCCCCTGCTCTTCCTTCTCCCACACCGTCTCAAGCCACCATCTCCCAACCACCTGCATCAATCTGACAATCTATTCTCATCCATCTATCATCTTGATACTAGCAGGTGAGATACCCTCATCCGGTTTCATATTTGAATCGGGCGAACAAAAATTACATCACCTTATGTCAGTAGTAAAACAGACTAACCTGTATGTCTAGCTTGCAACAAACATGCCCCGTCAGATAGCCTGGGACACGTCCTTCAAGGTCCACAATCGGATGAATCCCAGCAAAAGCGGGATATTTATGGCCTGGGACTTTGCTCGGGTCTGGGATGGTCTAACCATGTATGTCAGGGACCTGGACTATGTCAAGTGGGTCACTGCTTTGATTGAAACTTGCGATTTCGATCCAGAAATCCACTTCGCCAGATACACTGTGTACTGTGATGGCTTTGAGGTCACCGGAAATATCTTTTGCGAAGCTCACTGGCACTATGCCATCGGAATGAACCTCGAACGCGGTCTTGAGTTTGAGATTGTGCCCCAGGATGGTATGTACCCGGATCCAGCCCAGGAACTATGAAATAGGCCGTTAACATTTCTAGGCCAACTTGAGACTAACCATGATGGAACCCTGAATGATACGACTGGCCGTGAGGAGTTCTTGGCTTGGGTTGATGATCAGTACGTCTCTGATTGAAGACTACCAAACGCGTATCCTGGTGGAGCCCGTGTTGAGGGCCGTTGTGACTGTCCACTTGGAACCAATCGTCTTGACTTGGCTTGCGTTGTTGCGTTCGATGTGTTGAACCTGTCTGCCTATCCTTGCGAGATGGCAATGCTGGTAGTCTCCTGGTGAGCTACTGCTTCTGTATTGTGGCAATGTCTTATGGCTTTTTACGTCCATAGGTTCAGACCAAATCGGTGACTTGCTTTCACTACTCCTCCATAGGCATGTCTCCACTAATAATACTCAATACTGATTATGGATGAAAGGATTTTCAAGCTGTTAGAATATCTAATCAGCTGGTCAGCGTATGTAATACGCGATGTAACTATTTAGAATGTCGCCGTCGTGCATTTCCGAAGAGAAGCAATTCATACAATTTCAAGTACGCTAGAACAACAACACATCCAAAACATCGATAAAAGCACGGTTTCCCAACCTCACCAAAACAGAAACTCCACAAAGCAGACCGGGATACAACATAAACTTAGAAACTACGAAGCAAATCCCAACACAGTCTGTCTGAACACCAAGGAGGTGGACCACTGTCCAATGATCAATCAAGATCGCATTTCTCACGAGCATCAAAATAGACAGATCCACGCGAAGTCCTTCGGCCTCCATTCGAAAAGAGATCTACCTTCTCATGCAGCCATTCTAACAGAAGTAAGCTCATATCTTCAACCTGTTTCATATAATAACAGAGGAATCACACCAAATTTGTGAACAATTTCGAATTCTAGATCAGCCCCGTTCTTCGCCAGGGTATCAATAGCAGCAACAAACTGCTTCTCACAGGAAACATAGATAAGCTCCTGTGAGCCTTTGTTCAACGAGAGTTTACATCTGATACGATGGCGCCTAGTGGAGAAGCCGCATTGGCTCTTGAGGGCGCGTTTCCACCTGGAGTAGCTGAGCTTCCCATAGTAACCATGTTGCCCCCAATCATCGATAAATGAGTAGAGCTTGAAGACGGCACCTCGGTCAGGATACACACGGTTGCGCACGATGACACGCGTGCCATCCGACAGGGTCTGCTTGCTGAACTTCACCATGGCTAGGAGTTGCTGGTGATGTCTGTATTAAGAGTTAGCTTTGTTATACTATACTTGATGTAAGTGGTCATAACATAGGATATACCTGTCTCGTAAAAGTTGTTTGTGATTTTTGTGTCTGTCTCTCTTGGAGCAAAGTGTGGATTTTCTAGGGGGACAACAAGATGGGCTGAAGAAGAGGGGTAGTAGTGTCAAACTAGACTATTCCAGTACCTGGGTGTCATTATGATAGCAGAATCACCTAACGTATTACGTAGATGAGTCTCGCTATATCATCTGTGCATCACTGATCGGTGCCTCAGGACCTACATTCTTTCCTCGTGATTCTACTTGTTCATTAGTCAGGGTCACAGCTACATTACACAACTCCAGATGGAAGCTTTCCTTGCGATATATTATATTAACTCAGACGGGTTGGCAAAATATATCGAGAGCCACGATGAAACTTACCATTATAATCAAATCTAGACCAGCTCGCGTCCTTACCTGCATCTCAGCAGCGATCGCCCTCCTACTTGACCAAACAACGGTGAGTGATTCAATCTAATTTGACATTTTATTCCCATTCAGCCCTGCGTTGACCTTTCAATTCTTGTGGGTGACTTAGAAGATCTCTCAATCTCAAGAGATATCTGGTCTTAACAAAACTGCGGCCCTCCTTCATCTTCCGTTTAGTGGTTTTACGCGTTAGATGGCCGATAGGGAGACAGTTGGTTTCCGCTTCCTTCCTTTCAGAGGGTACGTACATCTTCCTACCGGGAAGTACAATAGATACTGCATTGCATACAATTACTATCACTCAAGTTAAAGAATGACCACCATTATAGCATTGCAAGATCCAACCTCTAATCCCCATTACCTATCATCCGACGAACTAACCATCTCCAGCGAATCCTTCCAAAGCCTGGTATCGTCCTCCGGCTTATAAGTGTGATTGACAAACGTCCCAGGAAAGTCCTCAGACCTTCAGGGCCACCCACGTACGGTCTTGGCGCATACGACAATGCATTTTCCGCCTCAACCTTCCAATTCCCTGCCAACCGTGGCACGTACCGCTGTCGCAGAATGCTCCAAGCTCTTCCATAGAGAATTCCACTATCTTCCTGTCGAGCCATTCTCGCGCTCCAACCAAGGGTAGACGACTTCACATCGGTCGTCTGAAGCGGGAGTTTCGTTACCCGCTGACCACTTGCTCCATCCTATTCAATCTAATGCGCTCCGGGGAGTCCATTATGCCAAGTATATCCTGGTAGGGCCCTCGGCATTCATCATCCCAGGCATTGAGAAAGATGAGACCCGCCCCGGTCACGCTTTGTTCCTCGGTACCTCCATATTTTCGCGACGAGGCCCGGTCTCCCTGAGAGTTTGGTTCCGACATCGCTGCAGATGGATATTTTATAGCGACATTCATCAGCTTCTTGCCAATGCCGAAGATGCGAGATAATCTGATTGCTAAGGAGACTTGCTATGATCATGCGGAACTTGTGATAGACTTGCTTGGCGAGAAAATCGTCGAGCACTTTTTTGGTTCCTTATGGTCTAGCAAGCCTCCTATTGCCAGTAAATTGGCACTTAGAGAGGGGGACAATGGCAATCTAACTGCCTCGAGACAGGGGTATATCCAGTGGGGAGAGCCGTACAGAGTAGAGAGTTGGGAAGCAACGTCGGGGTTTATCCGGAAATGGGCATTGGTTATGGAGGTGTGCCAGGAGTTAATTGGATCGAGCAATCGATGGAGGGTGATTCGAGCAGAAGACCCTATTCGAGTCTCTATATGCGGCTAAGCGATGTGCTCGCGCATTATTTTGGACGATACACTCATAATCCATGAATTATACACTCAGCCTACAAGCGCCGGTATAGCATCTAGCTTACAATCCACTTTGGTTGAGGACAGGAGCCCATATCTTCCACCAGGGCATCGACTCTCTCCGTGATCCAGCCGGAGGCGACCTCGTCCTTCCGCGCGCCCAACACAGGGACATGGGATGTCCAACACTTCCCATCCGTATAACTATACTGTACACATTTATCATCGCGATAGCAGAGCACCCGGCACTCCACCAAGCTGAGACTCGATTCTCCCGGCGTCTCGCCAATGCGATTATCCCAGCCGGCGACCGTGCCTCCCAACTTCGGCCGGACCATATGTCGAAACACATCCCGATACAAGACCGGCTTGCGATTGCCCTCGCGAAACCACCTCCGCTCAAACTCCCAGAGGTCACGAATCTGCTCTGGTCCCAAATGATGATAAGCCACCGGCGCATAGCACCAAGCTTCTTGCGATACCCCTCGGAGAAAAAGTCCAGTTCGCTCGGCTGGCCCGAGACCAACACCGGCCAGGCCCAGAGCATGCCCACGCCAGCATCTGCCATCAACTTGCCCAACACACAATCGCCGGCCCAATGATCCCTTGTCACGCGATCCCACGCATCCAAATCATACCTCCGCAGCGTAACCGCTGCGCGCATCGCCGGATTGGAAAGCACAAACCCGGACCCGCCATGCGCAAAGACCACATCGGCGATCTGCATCTGATTCCCTAGATAATACGGCCTCTGGTGCTCCAACTGCGCCAACCAGGCCAGCAGATTCGGCCAGAAGAAATACGTGTCGGCCTCCATGAAGACGTACCATTTTGCGTTGTCACGCGCCTTCAACGTCTCCTCGATCATCGGCAGGAACTTCCACTTGTCCAGCTTCCAGCCCGGGTTGTTCGGTTTGCCGAACGCGGTGTTGGTGTCCGGGTTCATGTCGGAGGTGGTAAGCGCTGTGCGCCCGGCGGCGCGCACGCGGTTGTAGATGCTGAAGTCCGGGTTGGATTGTTTGATGTCCTCTGTTACGCTGTCGAGGACGTCGTGGAGTTGCACGTTGTTGATCGTTTCGTTGTAGTCGGAGAAGATGATGTAGTGTGGGATGCAGCGGAGGGTGGTTTGGAGGTGGACGGGGACTTTGTCGCGGGCTTCGGTGACGCCTGTTTTGAGGACGACGAAGACATCCTCCATGCCAGGGAGGCTGGGACAGTTTGTGTCGGCATTTTGTTTTATATGCGGGAATGCGATTGAGGACGATATGTTTCGGTGGGTGAGATATATGAAGAGAATGACCAGCAGACCTAGGATCGGGCTGATCCAGGCAATCCGTCCGCGCGGCGGATGGTGAGCAGGACGAAAGGCCGTCATGGAGCTGAGGGATTGCGCCGAGGTGGCAGCGGCGGGTGAAGGAGGCCATGTTGCGACTTAAGAAGCCCACGGGCAACGCCCCTCGTGCTTTGTGTGTCGTCGTGGGGACCAGGCACCCCTGACCGGTCGCGCGGCTGACGTGGACTACGATGGAGTGATTGATGTTCCTTCTGGCGGTGGTTATGTGGCTTGTCGGGTTATTGGACGCCTTTGTTCGCCCACAGTGGGCCTGTGGGGTACGGTAGGCCAATAATTAATTCTCCTATTTTTTTCCTCCCAATTCTTGGCGAGTTCCAAGGCAGCCTGGACCCAGCGTCCAAGCGCCAGATGTCAAGTTAACCTTGCAACATAGGGTCCAGTTTCTTTCCCGCTATTGCGGTCGCTAGTCAAAGCACGTTCATGTTTGCGAGCAGTCACTTTGGAATTTACGCTAGCACGGTATGTATGATAACCAGTCAATGTGCTAATATATATTCGTAGAGTCCCGAGAGTGCAAATCACCCTAATCTTTGAGTCTACCAGAGAAAAAAGTGGAAAGGCCCCTTTCTTACCTGTTGGGTCTCTTTTACGCTAACATTTGTGGTCTTTGATTGAAACATATCCTCCAGCAATCCGACTCAAACTCATAACAGCCTTTATTCAGGTATGGCTTGAATCCATTACATGGAAAAATCAACATTGTTACCTGAATTTAGGCAAATGAATACGGTCGAGGATTCAAATTCCACAGAGGTCTTACACATGCTAAGAATGCCTTACACTGAACATTCTTCATAACGGTGGAAATACTCATCACGCCCATTGATTTCATTCTATATGCAGATTCAGACTCAATTTGTTCAATGTTTGAGGCATAAGATTCAGACAGTCTCAATATCTCTATATTGATGACACAAAAGGCGAAGAATAGACATCTGGGCATAAACTGCACTCTGATCTGTGTTTGTTACTTCCGGACGACTGTCTATTGAAAAGCCAAGCATACTTAAAAAATCCAAGTTCAGATCTTCAAGTTCTAAAGCAAGAAGCGGAAGCCCCGGTTGGCGGCCACCTCAGGCCCTTCACTAATACCAGCATACATGAACAAATCGGCACCCTCCTCTTGATCAAGCTTCTTGTTCAATCTCCTGAGATAAATGCGAAGAACAGTGGAAAATATGATCGTCATTGCGCACATGGCGATATTAACACTGAACGCGGTAATGTATCGCGGCGCGGCCGAATCTTGCCATTTACTTGGTGAGCAATTGTCCACATATTATTTTTTTTGACTAGATGGAAACCTACCAGGGTAAAGGTAAGGGGTGTAGATCTGGGCCACGTTACTCAGACAATTGATCAAGGCCAGAGCAGCGGCACGTTTTGCGGCGGGCCGGGGTAAGACTAACTTCATTAATATCGGTCATTTATACTATCGCGAGAGGGAGTTTCGTACTGTTCGAAATGTATCCGAGGGCAACGACGTAGCTGGCATAGATGCTACCGAGCATGATGCACATTGCCCTGTGGGCTTCTGTCAATAGCCGCTCATTTGTAGCATATGTTGTGCGGACTTACACATAACGAGCGGCAAAGTTGTTTCCAGCCATGTAGAGGATGAATGACACTATAGCGAAAATGGGTGGTAGGCAAAGATGGAGGTATCGCTCTCCTGTCCGGTCTGCATTCCAGGCATGTATCAACACAATAATTGTGCCTATGAGATATGGTGGTGTCGTCAGGAGCAAGGTATCAATGTTATTCTTGCCGAGTCCGGACATCACACTTTGAATAAGTAAGTTTCGATGTTCATACAATGAGATATAGGGCTATCCAGGAGGGAGTCTTATACCTTGGGAAGAAAGTGGTTACAGCTCCAGACGATGTACAACCGTAGATGACGCCAAGCAGTAGCCAGGTCTTTGGGTCTCTGGTCGGACACGCATTGTTAGTTTGAACGGTAAGCTCCAGGGTAGGCGATTTATCTTACAAGATAGCCAGCTTTGCACCGTGGAACATGCTTTGATGCTCACTATCGACCCAGTCGTCTTCGCCGATGTCTTCTTCAAGTCTCCAGGCCGCAAGCGCTTTCTCGTCATGACTTAACCAGGGTGTCGTCCTGGGAAGATTGGGGACAATGAAGAAGGCGAATAGAGCCACAAAGATCTGATACATCAGCACAAATATTAACTCTACTGACACAGTGGTCAAGCATACCGTTAGCGCCCCTTCGATAATGAAGAGCCATCTCCATGCTGCAATGCCTCGGGCGCCGTTCAAACCGCTTGTGATACCAGCGGAGATTAAGCCCGAAAATGCGCCGGAGATCAATGACCCGGCGTATAGTAGTGCGGTCCGTTTAACTAATTCCTTCCTTGTATACCATGCTGATAGGAGATAGAGACAGCCAGGCTGGCGTATATTAGCAACTTGGAGGGGTCGGTAAGCGGGAGCCAGTGTTTTCTCACAAAATAAGCAGCTTCAACAAACCCAAGGAAGAAACGGACGGCCAGCAAGCCCCCGAAGCCTTGTGTGGCAGCAGTGGAACAGGAGATGACACCCCACACCACCATGCAACTTGGCAAGTAGATCGAAGGCTTGCCAAATTTGTTGAGAATCATATTCGACGGCACTACTGTGATTAACCCTTGGCATTTTCAACAAGGTTCCAAAGCTAGATTTACCTTGCATCAAGAGGTATCCGACAAATAAGATACTAACACAGACCTTTGACTGGCGGTCAGATCTCGAAATGGGTTTGATTTCCTGTTCAGTGGAAGGTATCTTACCTGGTATTCTTCCCCCTTGAGGTTTAGGTCATCTTGCAGGCCGGCCAACTTTGCCGCTGCAATGTTGTTACGATCCAAGTAGTTGAGGATGTACATAACCAACATCATGATTAGTAGTCGGATGTCAATCTTCCTGACCAGCGCTTTTTCCCGTCGCTCTCTTTCTTCTAAAGACCAATCCATCAAGGCCGTCGGTACTGGCCTCAGATCTTGATCTTTGGGGTTTTCGACGACACATTGCTCAATGTGATGGTTTCCGGGGTCTTTGGTACCGTCCATAACTTAGGATTCCAATATTCGATCCAACTCAAAACGTGTAACAGGAAGAGAGCCAGGAAACTTCCAAGAAAATGGCGGGGTAGAAATAGACGAAGAGCAGACCAAAGTGACCAGTATAAAGCTCCTGGGGAGGACCAAGCTCTATCCTTCAAATATCTGGGGTAAGCAAGGTTCCCCGTGGGGTAGACGATTGGCGCAAAGACAACGCAGAGAGTACTAGTTTTCCAAGGCTTGAAAGGCTACACCTCCATAAACGTTGCGTATATTGCATATCCGAGTAAATGCCCCACAGAAGACGGATAAGTGGATCCAAGATCGACCGCGCTAGGAAAAGGAGTGTCAATCAAACGGTCTGACAGAATTTGTCATACTACACGTCTGGTCAGTGGCATCAATCACTCACTTGCCCATAAGGTATCTGTTTGACCGGATTCGTATATCCTCTTGCTTGATAGCTCTACCCATTATGACTACTAACCTATACCTATACCGATTGTCAACTAGATCTCAGCATCTCTATGAATTAACCCACGCCCCATATTTTTACCTCGAATGTTCGTATTGTGTGCTTCATTTCCAGAGCTCTTAATGGCATGCTTGTCGGTTGTGACTTTATAATTTTATTCTTCATAGCCTCGGGCTCGCACGAGCAGGGGTCTGAATTTTTGTGAAGCCGAATAATTGGTGTACGGAAATGAGAGGATGGACCCGGAAAAGCATCTTGAGGCCAAAGCCTCCCTTCAATGTTGTCCGATTGGTTCTTTGGCTACTCTAACTGATAATGTAAATGCTCATGGGCAATTATCCCACTGAGTTAGTACTTAAGCAACTTACTACGATTTTTGATCCGACATATCGTGTTAATAACGAGCTGCATAATAAAGATCACCCGTCATGTTATACTCAAATACACTCAAGGCTGAGGGTGAGGACAGCCCTAAGGCTGCATTCACCCATCAATTACCCCCAAGTCCTGGATCACGTGCTTTCGAGTCTATCTTCAAGGTCTCTCCCTATTATAAACGGGTATAAGATTGCCGCATTCCCTTCGGCCTCGGGAAAGAAGACCTAGGTCTTCCAGCCACAACCATCGACGAACTGCGTAGTTCGTTGACACATGTCCTTCATGCAGCCTGGGCCGTAAAATTCACTTTAGGTGTTCGCAGTTTTGAGCAACAACATATCAAAGGCGTTCAGAACCTGATCAACCTCTGCATATCCAGTCGCCGATGTTGTCCCGCCGAGTTTTACTTCTGCTCTTCGATCTCTGCGGCTGCTGCTACACCTCTTCCGGCTCAGATCGCCGAAGGCCCAATCCCTGAGCTTGCACATGCTCAGAATATGTGCTACGCTCGGTCCAAGCTTGTGGGCGAGCGAATTGTGCATGCCGTCGCGCTGACTACGGGGATGGTAGCCAAGGTTCTTAGAATCGGACAGACTGTCGGAGACACTACTACTGGGCATTGGAACCCGACTGAGGCGATTCCACTTATGCTCCGGACCGCCAAGACATTGGGAGTGCTACCAGCATTAGATGAGACTCCAGCATGGCTTCCGGTTGATGTAGTTGCGAGATCCGGTTTAGAGCTAAGTGGGATCGTCTCCAACGAAAAAGCCAAGTCTCTTGCTCATGACCCCAACATAGTCTACCATGTTCAGAATTCCAGAACTTTCCGATGGACAGAGGATCTGTTGCCAACTCTACAGCAGGCGGGCTTGAAGTTTGATGTCATTCCCAAGAGAGAATGGGTGCAGCGTCTGCGTGAATTCGAGCAGGATCCGCGGGAAACTCCAACGATTAAACTGTTGGGCTTCTTCGAGAAATATAATAACGATGCCCCCGGTCGTTCAGGATTATCATTTTCCATGGAGAAGACGGAAAGCGCGAGCCCTTCGCTGAAAGGTGGTGTGGAATTGATTGATTCTGGCTTAATCAAACGATTTGTGGATGCGTGGGGACCACGGTGGTCATCATTCTTTTGTTTTCGAGATCTGGGGTAAATTCTGCTTGTTCACTCAGTTAGATGATACATTGTGCGATATAGATTGGGACCACTCAGGCTTCCACACATGATCTGTTCTATCTTACGCAGTCTTTTATGATGAGACTTTCTCGCCTTTCTGTGAAGTCATATCCCTCTAGATGCCCAGCAGGAATACGGCTTCATTTCAATGCTGCTACAAACCAACATTCTGAACCCTTATTTGTTATCAATGGTTGCCCATTCCGTCCACTCCTTAATCTCCGTCAATCAAGACTGATAGAGCAGTACCGGGGTCGCATCAGATACGGAGTGTGGGTACAGGCTACATCGCAGGTGGTCAGCCTTGGGTCTCCAGCTCAATCACTGCGTGAAGCACAGGAAATGCCGTTTGAGACACGCCAATGTAAATCAGGAGAGTGCCGAAGGCTTTACCCGGTCCTTCCGAGGGTCCTTTTCCGATTCTTGGTTCAGCAAAGAATTCAGAGAGGGGTTGGACTCGACATGATCACCCCGGTTTTCCGCGCTGCTAAGAGTCTCTAAATCCTTGACTGGTACATTACGCTAAATATGTTTTTATAGCCAAGTCCTCATCCTCATATATAGCGTACTGTTCCATTAAACAAGTACACACTTGCATTATTGTGGTGATGGCTACTGAAGTTGCACATAAAGAAAACGTGGACCATGTTGAGAATGTGTCCCACGGAGAGGATGCTTTCCTTGAATGTGCCGAGATTCAAGACCCTACTAGTCTCACAGAGGAGAGGCGCCTCGTACGCAAGATAGATTGGATCATTCTACCTTGTCTAGCCGTGTCTTACATCTTCTTTTATGTGAGTCGTCAGGTGCTCTGAGAGACTTGATACATGTCAAGCACGATGTGCTCTCTGGATATCGGTTAACTATTCCAACCTTGCCGTACTAGATTGACAAAACTACACTTTCGTATGCCGCAATCTTTGGAATTCAAGACAGCCTACAGCTAGTCGGTAATCAATACAGCTGGCTATCCTCCATCTTCTATTTTGGCTTCTTGGCTTGGCAATTACCGACCAATCTTTTGATGCAACGACTTCCCACCGCGACCTACATGGGCATCAACATCATTGCATGGGGCGTCCTCCTCGCCCTACAGGCCGTTTCGCCAAACTTCACCACACTCGCCGTGCTCCGGGGGCTTAGTGGTGCTGCAGAGGCCTGTGCAGATCCTTCTTTCATGATCATCACCAGCATGTGGTACAAAAGAAGCGAGCAACCTATTCGAATTGGAATCTGGTACTCGGCCCTCGGATTGGGCATTGCAGGTGGCGGTGTGCTTGGTTATGGAATCGGCCAAATCAAAGGCTCCCTACCCAGTTGGAAATATGAATTCGTTATCATCGGGGCATTGTGTGTTGCATGGGGAATAGTCATGCTCGTGGTCCTTCCCAACTCACCCATCAACACTCGCTATCTTACGCCAGCACAACGAACAATCATGATCAACCGGCTGCGAGAGAATCAGACCGGAATCGAGAACCGACAATTTAAGCTTTATCAATTCCTTGAAGCTATCACTGATACCAAAGTTCTCCTTTTCTTTTTGATCGCCTTTTTCCAGGCGATTGTCAATGGCGGAGTCACCAATTTTGGTACAATCATCATCCAAGGATTTGGATTCTCAACTCGTGGGTACTCCACGTTTGCAGCATATTGCCAAACCATCTTACTGACCTGTGGCAGTCGGCACCACATTGCTCCAAATACCATACGGCATTTTTATCTCCGTAGTCATTCTAGTCTGTGTCTGGGTCAACGCCAAAATGCCCCCGAACAGTAGATGCCTCATGCTTCTGGTCTTCCTGGCACCTAATATTGCCGCTGCCTTTGGCCTTCGCTTCGTGCCTCAAAGTGCCAAAGTTGGCCGTCTCATATGTTACTACGTAAGGGTACCTGTTGTGCTTTTCCGGGGATATACCGGTCTCTGACACCTACACAGCTAACAGGCTCTTATAACGCGTCGTTCGTGATGCTTCTATCATTGACTACTACGAATATAGCAGGACATACGAAAAAGGTGACGTCTAGTGGTATCCTTTTTATTGGTTACTGCGCGGGGAATATTGCTGGTCCCTTTTTCTACAAAGAACATCAGAAACCCACTTACTCGCTTGGAATATGGAGCATGGTTGTTTCGCACCTTTTGGAGGTTGTTTGTGTGGTCTTGCTATGGATTCATTTGAGGGCTGAGAATAGACGAAGGGATGTGAGTCAAACAATGAACGAAGATGCTTCCAACTCCAAACATCTTATGGGTGCATTGGAGGACATGACTGATAAAGAGAACTCGAATTTCCGTTATGTGTTCTAGGGCTCTTTCATTGATAGGAGATTAGCGATCGTCAGACAATGGCACAGCTGAGGATCTGATTGTCCGTCAATAGTTTCGTTACGGCATTGAATCTAGGAGGGCACTTGAACGTTCCCTCAATTGATATCAGCATTAAACACCCAGGAACCTAATACCTCACCCATCAGCGAGGAATACAGAATCTTCCGGCTTGTAAGACTACTGCGGTAGCTCCTTGGAATGTGCTCCAATTCTTGGGTTCTTTTCACAGGCACTCGTCCAAGGATTCGCAAAGCCCTCTGCATCTTGCTACAAGGATGTTTGTGCTTACAGCCACAGAAATATGGTGAGATATAGCACTCTTAATCAGTTAGCACAGCACTGTGACGGATGTTAACTACGAGAACGAAGGGTTCCCGTTCATGAACTTGTATAATCAAGGCCATTGTATCGAAGGATGTAAGACCACATCTTTCTGCTTATGACTGCTAGAGACATGTAGAAGTATCTTCACTGTATTAAAGATAATGTACCATTATATAAAATATTAGAAGCAACTAGTTGAAAAGTAGGAAAATAAGTTTCTCTTTTGATTCTTGCGCCGTGCACGGACACGGTCCGGACCGTTCTTTTTGTCTGGTCCTACGTATTAAGCAGACATCCTCTAGTGGCTCTCTCTTTCGTACAACGATCTATCAATTAATTTTGAACTTGTGGACGATCACTGTGCTCTACAGACTTGTGCCAAACTCTAACCTTGCAGTTGACTGACATATAGCTAGAGGGTGAGACATGAGTCAACGCCACCACCAAAACGAGGCTTATACGAGCGCCGAATGACTCAACCTTATCTAACGATTGGCAAGCAAGCTACCGGAAAGTGCCAAAAATAGACGGTGACAAGATCATACCCAAAACACGGGGCATTAAACCAGCTCTACTCCCTTGCGGAGATCACAACCACAAAGTGTCCTTATCACTTAAACCACTAGGGATTATCAGTCATGGCGGCGGCCATCTACGAACCTCAACTCATCACGCGCAATCCCTTCGCGCGAGATCCAGCTGTACGACTCCGCGGCAAGTCAAAACCCAAGGGCGTGCAGCGAGCGAGGCTGAAACATCGCGCCATCATCGAGCAGCAAGCAGCGGCAGAGGCAGAAGCCAGACTGCAAGCTATAGTCGCGCAAAAGACCGAGCCCGATCTCTTGGACAGGTACGCGGAACCCTCATTCATGTTCAAGATGCAGGCCGAAATTGACAATCCCAGATTCTTCGCCCTGCCTTCCGAAGTGCGAAACCATGTCTACCGTCTTCTCGTAGTGCAGCCATGCAAATTCGGCTTCAACCACTCCTTCCAATGCAAGCGACTATTTTACGCATACCCGGGTCCAGCCCATACCGCTTCAGGCCCAGAGAGAAACATGAACTTCTCCTGCGCCGACTGTCGATCGTACGCTTGGAGCCAAACACGCCCTGTGTTTGTGTCGCCGGCGCGCAGCCAATGGTCACCTCCCATGACGAACGAGTACTTGTGTGATAACTGCTACTCCGAGAATGTACGGGCCAAGCGAGAACCGCATCCCACGCTGCGGAATCTCAAGTGTCTCTGTGCGCGACGACAGAATCTTCATATTTTCCTTATCAACAGACGGTTTTATAAAGAAGCGTCACATGTGTTCTGGACGGAGAATTGGTTTGCATTCGAGAACCCGACTATTCTTATCAACTTCCTATCGTGTATTCGACCACAGACTCGGTCGTTGATTACCAAGATCTCGTTTATGATTGATCCGGATGAGGAGGGTGTGAATCTGGATCGGAAGTACGTACAGCAGTGCTGGCGGTTACTACGGCTGTGTGATGGGTTGATGGAGCTGGAGCTGGATCAGCTCTTTCTGTCGAATCTACAATGGGTCCTGGGAATCAAGAATATCACGCCGAAGAGGCGGATGGCGTTTATGAAGACGCCAGATAGGGCGGAGATTGCTTATTTGATGACATATGACCGGCGCATTTGGCAGGGGGTTTCAAGGCGACAGCCTGTGAGTAATATATTGACGCATACACTGGCCAAAAGTATGTTGAAGCAGAGGCCCATGACGGCGAAGGCAGTGCGGGCTCTTTTTGACAGGCAGCAGCGGGGAGAGAATGGAGATGTGAGTGATGGTGACTAGATGTTGCCTTGGTGTGGACTGGGTCACAACTGTTGTAATGACATGATGTATATTAAAGTATTATTCACGAACCAATATCACATACTCTCATGTTGCCTAATTCATCCTGTGTCTTCGTTACCAGGAGAGGGAAGCATTTAAAGAAGAGTCTCCAATGTATAGGGGCAACTAACTTGCAAGGTATTAATTATTACACACCTAATGAATAAGAATCTCTGTATTAATACACCAGCACTACTGTGCAACAAGCAAACCCCGATACCTCATCTTGCCCTCCTCCAACGTCTTCAAGCAATCCTCAATACCCTCCTTAGTCATCGGATAGGTCATATTAATGGGCTTGATACCATGGAAGGCCGCAAAGTCCAACATATCACGATGCACCTGTCTTGCTGAGACGAGCGTGCCGAAGACCTTGAATCCATTGGCCAAAAGCGGCATATACGGGAACTTGAAGTCCTCCGTGTCAACCGACAGCGGCGAAATCGTAGCCCCTGGATTCAGAACGTTAACATACTGATTCCAATCCGGCTGACTGCTAGTAGTGACGATGAGATTGTCCAACTTCTTGTCGATCTTCAGCTCCTTCACGCCCTTCGTCGCATAGAACTCCGTAGCGCCCAGTTTCGTCGCCTCGTCTTTCTTATTATCACTCCCCGAGAACACAACAACCTGACAGCCCATCTTGGCCGCGAACTGAATAGCCAAATGGCCCAAGCCCCCGACGCCGATGATCCCCACGCGCGCAGTGGGCCGCACCTGCGCCACATGCAGCGCGTTGAACACCGTCGACCCGCCGCACATCAACGGCGCCGCGTCTTCGTTCTTGATTCCGTCTGGGATCGGGAACAGGAACGACTCGCGCCACACGGCATGCGACGCGAATGACCCCTGGTCCAGGTCGGCCGCCGCGTACATCTTCCGCTCGGCACAGAACGTCTCCCACCCGGTCAGACACTGCGAACACCGCCCGCAGCAGTCGTGCTCGTAGCCCCAGCCGACCCGGTCGCCCTTCTTGAGGACCTGCACTTCGGGCCCGGTTTCTTCGACCACGCCGGCGCCTTCGTGGCCCAGCGCCATGTCTGTGTGCCGGTAGTGTACGTCTGTGAAACACACCCCGGAGTGTGTCACGCGGACGAGCACTTGGTCTTTTTGGAGTGCATCGCGATGTGTGCTTGATTTGTGAATCGAACCGTCCTGGGAGCCTTTGTAAACGGTGAAGTCGTAGCCCATGGTGGGGGTTTCGCACTTGTGATTGATTGGTTGGAAGGCAATGCTTGCTTTGTTCAGAGTTGGCCTCTGTAAGGACCTTGAAGACGGGTGTCTGGTATTATATCTGGTCCTGTGTATGATGTCATGGGAACTGTAACATTTTGATTACAGAAGGCGGCGATCGAGTTGTATCGCCGGTGTGGATCCACAACTACATCACCACTCACTCTGGTCAGGATTTCCCGGTCTGGGACCTCCAGGGTCCAGGTTTATTTTTGATTATCGACACTTTAAAACTCTATTCTAACCAAGATTACCACGGTATCTCCGCCCCGTCATATTGATTGAATCCCTGCGTCCGTTCCCACCCCGGCACATGGATGTTGAGGAACTTCCCATTCGTGTCCCTGTGGTTCGCCTGGAGGATGATCTTCATCACTGCTTCGGCGCCAGTCTGGACCGGTAGATCCGCCCTGGGTCCACCTAGGTCGGTTTTTAACCACTGGAGTGTAATTAGCATGTGCTTCTAGTTCTAATTGAGAGGACAAACATACTCCAGGACTAACACAGAAAACGGTAAAGCCTTCAGATTCAAGACTCAGCGCATACTGAACAGTCAGCATGTTCAAAGCCGCCTTGGTGATGTTATATTCTGGGGTCAATTTCGCCATGAACGGCGAGGCCGTGCTTATGGAACCCAATGTCGTGGATCTTCTCCGTCAGCTCCTCTTTATATAATCCGAGGGTAAGATATGGTCCTACATGTTGGTAATGACCTTTCGCTCTCCTTTGCGAAGAAGGGGTAAGAATGTACGGGTTACTTCGTGGGGTGCGTTCACGTTGATGTTGAATGCGTCGCTCAGATTGTCCCTGTTCAATCACAATCACAATTAACTCGACTTTTCTTGAGTGAAGGACAATGTGTTGTATACATGTGTTCTGCGCCCCCCTTTGTCACGGGTTGGATCCCCGCGTTGTTGATCAGCACATCTAAACCGCGGCCTTGCAGCTGGCGCTCTACCTGTCGCGCGGCTGTTCGGATACTTATTGTGTCGCTTACGTCGAGCTGCACGTATGAGGCGCGTCCGGAGGCTGGTCGATGAGCTCTTTGAGATTGGGGCTGGGCAGGGCTGATCGCGAGGTCGCGAAGATGGACGCGACTTGCGATGCGGGGAGGGAGAGCAATTGGGACACGAGGGCAAGGCCGAGACCCCGCGAGGATCCGGTAATGAGATAGCTGGCCATAGTTTGACTATTTGATTAGATGGTATTGCGGGAATGAGTACTCTTGGTTATTTTGTTGGTAGCTTGGAACGTCATATAGGTGTTAATATAAGAATCGACTGAAAACGTAGGCGATATATATTTTCGCTCGACCGCTGTGCAATGTTATCGAGGTGATTAGATGTTCTTCCTAGTGAAACCCGAAAGCCAGCTGTATCCAGAGAATTGGTAAGCCAAAGTTGATCAGTGTCATACAATTCTTTCTTATTCTGGAGGTTGTCGATTTGGATCCAGGAAGCCATGATATCACCGTTGCCAGCGCTGGGCCTGCGATCGACGGCCGCTTATCTCCAATCTCCGGAAGGTCACGTGCACAATGGATTCACCTCCTTGATGTGGATGTCGATAGGTCAACCTGCGTGTGTGCCTGACACGCGACGTATCCTTTTTTCTTTTTTTTAATACTCAATAGTAGAGATCGTTATTAGCTTGGATGTTTTGTCTTGGCCTAGTCTTATTTTTCAGAACCCCTGTGGCGGGTTGGAGTGCTAGAGTTTACTTTTACTTCTCAAGGTACAATTCCAAGTTATTGGGCATACCAAGAGGCATCGTAGTATCTACCACGTTCGTGACAGAAACCGAATATCCAGTGTTACGTATTTCTTTTTGGCAGATCGGATTCCGCCGATCTCCCTCTTTATTCCGATCGTTCACGCAAATTATCGGGCCAAGCCTTTCGTGAGTACGTTCGCAAATTTCTAGAATCCTTTATACCCTGGAACTTTAATGAAGAATGCCTAGCTGCCCGCTTGTTAGGTAAGGCCACCCGATTTCTCCCGGAAAATATCGGGCGGTGATGCATCCTTTTGTCGGGACCTTGAGTGTAGTAGGAGCTTAATCCCAGTACGAGAAGACATCGCGTCGTTTGATCTCAGCCGGGTAGCCAAACGTCTTGCCCAATATGTGATCAATCAAACTGCTAGTGGTCAATGAGACGCTTGTTGATATTCTCCGAAAATGGTCTGTGCAGATAACAGGGTCCCGTGGATAGAGACTGCCTTATGGGGCCTGCGATGGAAAACGGGATCGGCCGCACCATTGTTTACCCCTGGATTGATGGCCCATGTTCTTGTTTCTGTTTCTTTTGGCCTTGTTGCAAAGGTGTGTCGACCATCATTAAGATTGAGGAATCTGCGCCGGGCCGACGGTTACGGAATGCCCCGATCATCGGCCCGACAACCTCGTGCACCAAAAATTGGGTACAACGTCCCGTTATCTGTCCAAACCTTCAAGGGCAGAATAATGAGATATAGCAATAGAATCCAACCACAGCGACCATGCTGCAAGGTGATTTGGACGGCATGAAACATGCAGCTTCCCCAATTAAGGGTGAAAACGTATCTGTCGACGATCGATTCTTGTGACCAACGCCAAGAAGATACCTGAGCGATCGTTTCCGGAACCAAGACAATGCCAAGCCCTTAGTTAGCCACAGTGTGCCATCTGCTTCTGCAACGATGAAATTGCGGACAATCTGTCTCAGTTAATACTCCCGTAAACACCATCATCGTGAGCAGTAGCAGTAGCATTGCCCATAATGAATTGTCCATCGCGCACCGATGATACGCTCTTGCATGACGAGTGGAATCAGAACCCGCCGTTTCTGGCACCGGATCTGACTACCCGCCAAGACTTGAATGGCATCTCCAACGCCCGTGAGAATAAGGAGGGAGAGGGGAATGGCAGCGATTCCGGACAATCGTTGGCCTGCCTCAGTGAGAAAGGGAGAGTGAATTCACTGCCGATTGATCCAGAGAAGAAGATACGGTGGGATAATGGGGCGTCACTGACCATAAAGTCAGGTATGACTCCTTTTCTTTACTTTCCTCTGTTTACGTGGTCTGTGAGTACCCGGCTGGCGGAATCGACGCTGATGGGCATTTCCAGGACGTCCCATTGACCCATTGACCAGCTTTAATGCTGGTCAGCAGAGTGGTCGTGGTCAAAACAATTCTCAATCTTTTCTTCAGACATTCAAGAGCTGGGCCTCATGGCTTCTGTCGGTTCTGTTCACGTCAGCATTGATTTCTCATGGTAGTATTGGGCGATATTGGCATGGGTCTGATGTTTCCCCCATCCCCTCATCAGGTAAGACCAATAATCCTCGCGACTCGCTTCGGACATAATCCCGGGTACTAATGTACTAATCAGGTCAAGGATTCGAACCAATGGAAAGAGACATTCCTTTCGAGAAACGAGGCACGTGTGCGCAAGGTGGTGTTGGGGGTAGCGACTACAACCTTCCGTTGCATGTTGGCGGGCTGTTCATCGTTTTGACAGTCTCAACACTGGCCTGTGCATTCCCGGTCCTGGCCATTTGGTTTCCGCGTCTCCGCATCCCGTCGTCATGTCTCTTCTTCGTCAGTCATTTCGGTACCGGTGTCCTGATCGCCACTGCTTTTGTGCACTTGCTCCCCACCGCGTTCCAGTCACTCAACGACCCGTGTCTGTCGAAATTCTGGACCACCGATTACCCCGAAATGCCAGGAGCCATTGCCCTCGCGGGTGTGTTCCTAGTGACCGTGATTGAGATGGTCTTTAGTCCCGCCAGACATTGCTGTCGCGGAGGAACGAGCCTGTCAGACCCGCCACCTTATCTTGCTCGACGTGCTGAAAAGGAAACTTCCATAGAAAAAGCCCACGTAGTAGACTCGACTGTTCGCAACGAGAGAGAACGACCGGCTGGCTTAGAGCCGCTTCCTCACCTGCGTGATATGGGCCCTTTGATCGGTAGGTCTTCCAGCATCAGCCGAGCTATCAACCAAATGGGCGAAGACCCAGAACGTATCTGTCGCATTTCCTCTGCTCCAGAGGTTCCTCAATATCGGCAAGAACTGAGGATCGAACCGGTCCAGGAAGATGTGGAGCGCAGCGACGATGGTCATGTCATGACTCCGGAGCAAAAGCATCGCAAGGAAGTCATGCAGGTCGTCTTACTGGAGATGGGTATCCTGTTTCACAGTGTTTTTATCGGCATGTCACTCAGTGTATCGGTCGGCAGCGAGTTTGTGATTCTATTGATTGCCATCGTCTTTCACCGTTTGTCTCCCTACCCATCTAGTACGCTGCTTCATGCTTTACTGATACATAAGACACAGAAACATTCGAAGGCCTTGCTCTCGGTTCTCGTATCGCTGCTCTCGACTGGCCCGAGAAAGCCTTACAGCCCTGGCTCATGTCTCTGGCATATGGATGCACGTAAGTCTGCCTTCATTCAGTCATCTCTTGATTAGTTATGAGAGCTAGAGTCGCTGATGTATGCAGAACCCCAATCGGCCAGGCCATTGGGCTTGCAACCCATACTCTCTACAGCCCCGACTCAGAGGTCGGCCTTCTCCTCGTCGGTGTCATGAACGCTATCTCCGCTGGACTTCTTATCTTCGCCTCACTGGTCGAATTGATGTCCGAGGACTTCCTCAGCGATGAGAGTTGGCGAGTACTTCGTGGCAAGAAGAGAGTGTATGCTTGCATTATTCTCTTCCTGGGTGCCTTCTGCATGAGCTTGGTTGGCGCGTGGGCCTAGTGGACTTGCCAGTCAAGGTAATTCGGGCGAATATCGCCGAGAGAGGGTGTTGCTTGTCAGGAACTAGGTGTGCATACTTGCTTATGCACAATTTTGGTTTGTGTACGGGGGTTGTTATGGTTGTCAGGATTGTCGTTTAAGGGTACATGTAGTGTAAAGCACTAGTAGTTGTGGTGGAGACTTCAGATAGACTGCAATGAGATTAAGTAGATGAAAGCTTGAGCCTCCCTGCCTTTCATTGGTTGATTTGAACCCCACAGTTCCGGATTTACGGATTAAATCACGTGGAGTAAATCCGATCTCTCTCGCCTTATCCGTAATGATTCAGTAAATTGTAATATTAGCAACAGCTGCGAGTTACCGGAGCAGCCTAAACGGATATAAAGTACTCCTTCCACATAGGCTGTTCCAATGGCCGATACCCCTGCCTCCTTGCAAACAGGCTGGCGGATATCCAAAGCCTGCCAAGAGTGCAGGAAGAGGAAGATCAAGTGTGATGGCAGCAACCCATGCAAAACCTGTCACCTCCGCAATACTCCTTGTGTTTATCGTGATGTGATCAGACAGCGCAAGAAAAAACGCCAATTGAATCGGGATAGCGATTCCATTGAGTCAGAAGTGACTGCGCGCTCTGGTTATGGGGCGGGCCAGCGATCGCCCGGCCTACCGCCGCGTCGAAACCCATCAAATAACTATACTATCAACAACAGTGTGTCAGCGACACATGTGGAATCTCCGTCCTGCAAGGTCCAGCTGTACTATGGTTCAACGTCGCACTTTGCTCTCATGCATGAAATATACCGGGGTCTAGTGTCCAGCCAGACCCCGGGCTTGGAGACGCCTCATGGCGAGGTCGAAGAGGCTAGAGCTAGTCTTGATATGTTCAGTTTCCGTCGAATCTTCTTCGGAACACCAGATGAGCCAAAGGAGTCCATAAACGGCTGCGGTTCAATGGATATGGCGGTCATGTTCTTGCCTCGTGAGCTGGCTAATGTGTTTCTGCGGCGGTTCCTGTCAACATTACACACCTTGGTTCCATTTCGCTCTAAAGAGTCACTCGAACAACAATTGGAGAATCTCTACAACCCAGTGCCTGGGGCTCGCTCTGAAACCTGGGGGCAGTGTATGCTTCTGTTAGCGTTGGCTATAGGAGCTCTCGGCACGGAACATTATCGCTGGGGCGATGTGCTGTATGATCGTGTGAAAGCAACTTGCGGTCCGTTAGATGACATTGTGAACCTGCAGACGGTCCAAGTCTCGCTGCTCATGATAAGTGCTCTCTGTTCTAATTGTTAAGATACCAAGGGCCTAACCTTCCTAGCACGCCCACTACCAGAGCGAGCAGGGAAGACCGAACTCAACCTTTCTTCACTTGGGTGCTGCGTCACGAAAGGCGCTGTCAGCTGGACTGCACAAGGAAGCTCCAAGCCAAGGCGGAGAGTCCACGGACAATGTGCAAGAGAGGCGGCTAACATTCTGGGCTCTGTATTTCTACGAAACGTTCGTCTCCTTGTCTTGATCGCATCTGGCCAATCTAACTTTGCCGTAGTTGGTTCTGTTTTCACCTGGGACGCCCATGCTCGCTTTCGTTAAGGGACGTCGGCATCGAAATGCCAGAGAACCCTTTCCTGTGTGCTTTGACATACGTATGTAAAAAGATCGCCCGACTAGCCGACGAGATATTCGGCCATCACCATGATTCGCTGTTGCAGATGTGGAGACTTGCCAGGTCTATCACAGACGACTATCGGCCATATGAGATGAAGATGCAACAGGCCATTGGTGTTAACCTGGATACATGTCCCCAACCGGGTTCTCTTGGCGTGCAGCAGACGATACTGACAACGAGTAAGTGACGGCACAGTTGTAACTTGGTTGAGTATCTAACGAAGTAGTTTACTACCACACGATTCTCTTGACCTTCCGTCCTTTCCTGATCTTCCGTGGCCGGTGGCAGGAAGACATGAAGGACCCTTCTCAACGTGGGGGCAATCGCCCAACTGAAGTCCCCGCATGGCTTAATGAGGCTTGCAACAAAGCCCTCGGAGCCTCCTGCAAAACCATTCAATTTTTAAGTGAAGCCGCTATGGCTAACGAGCTTGTCCGAGTGGGTTACTCCAACATCTAGTCACTGGTCATATTATCCAATCGATCTCCGATCTAACCGGGCTATAGGAACTGCGCTATCATGCTACTTTCTAGGAAGTGCCGCTTTCGCCATCATATACGACTTGATGCATGGGAAAGACCTTGCCTCTACACACCTTCCCTGGATTTACGCTGCTCTCCAGAGTCTGTCCACCATGCGGGAAGGTGATCCCATTAAAAGCACAATAACGGCCATTCAAACTGTCCTGAAGAAAATCAATCCCGCTTACGAGTGGATCCCTCTAAACGGATTCAGTAATACATTGGACCCGCAGGCGGCGCGGCCATATCCTACGAATATTCCAAATCCCCAAACTCACAGCATGCCCGAATCATCTTTACCGGGGCTGCCACTACAACCTTTGCAAACCAGTAATGGGTTACCGATCTTATCAGAGTTTCAGAATAATTCGTTACAGGCTGCGCTCAACCCGCCCAGCGGGAGTCTGGGTAGCAGCGAGGATCTTTTAGACCTTACCCTGTCAGATATGGGATGGGACTTTGACTTTTCCACCATGGATCTGGAGACTTTCTTTTCGATATATCCCAATGTGGACACGCCGACTGGGTGACTAACAGAGAGTTAGACTGCATCTTACGCTGTGCTTTGGTGAGGAGGACTATGCGCACAACCCCATTATCAACATAAAATCTCTCAACTATATAATATCTCATAAAAGTTCATAATATTAATCGCTCAGAAACCGAAAATTCGATATAAATTTATAATACGAGAAATAAAACCCCATCACGCAATCAACCAATGATTCCCCAACGTCTTCAACTGCTGAACCCAACCCGTAGAATGCAAGCCAGACTCATCCCTCAATCTCCAAGCCATCTGCATAACCTCTACCGCAGTTTGCACATATCCCCACGGCAGTACATTCCACAGTCGATTCAACCGATCTAGAGCCCACTGCCGATACACCGGGTTATCAGTCTCGGCGCCGGCAATGAAAGTCGGCCACGAGGTGGCTTTGGATAGAGGATCTTTGGGATCGACGAATGAAAGATGGTGGATGATCTCAGTAACCAGTGCTTCTGAGTTCATATCGGCTGGAAAATGGGTGATACTTCGGTATATGTATATACATACTGCGTTTTGGTGGGCGAGGGCTGTGTGGATCCGGTTTGGTGTTCGCTGTGTGGGGGCGCCTTCGACACTGTTCGCCCAGGCTGCTACGTCGAAGGATTGTGCGGCATCTAGTAACGAATGTGCTTCGTTGATTAGAGTGTGGGATTCCGTTGTGGGTAGACGGCAGGCTATATTCGATAGCTCGCATGCCCGGAACAGGATCTGGAGGAGTGTGGTCGGGAAGGAGAGATAGCTGTTTGCTTCTGATCGTCTGAGGATGGTGGTTATATCGATGGGGAGAGCGAATGGATCCAGGAAGGTGGTGGAATTTGTGAGGGTTGAGCCCAGGATATGATACCTGGTGTGGTGACAGATCAGGATGTGAAGTTTAATTGCTTTGCTTTTACAATGATGACTTACGTTAGGCAGTCTGAAGTGATGCGATCGCGTATTAATGCTATTGGAGACATTCGGTGATTCTCGAACGACTTTAGAGAGCTGATAAGCTTCATTGCGCCTTCAACATGCGCTCTCCATGCATTTTTGCCGGAGTCGATTAGTTCGAGGTTGATAAATAGTAGTATGACTGTCACTATGAGGTCGACGTCTGTGGATGGTAGATTCTCCAGAGCTGTCTTTAGGAGGTGGATTGCGTTCTGCTTTGCCAATAGGGCATCTAGGGTTGCACCGGCGGGGGCGTCTGTTGAATGCCGTGTATTGCTCAAGATATTCAAGGACGAATTACCTAGTACCGGTGATTGTACGCCGCCTATATGTGGGTCAAAGCCTGGACGGCTCATACTCGAGATATGCATCGCGGAATTGGCAACTATAATGTGGAGCAAGATAGGATGATCTCTACATATGGGGATCAGACTGCGGAATGGGTTCTCGTTGGGAACATCAGCTATCACAAGGTCTTCACAGAGGGTTGTAGCAACTGTATCACTGGTTAGCATAATGAGGGTCTAGGAGTGGCTTTCTGAGCATCACCCACAATGACATAGGTAACGTCTAGAGGGATTATCCATGTCTTGGAAAAGTGGATCGATTGGAGATATGTACAGCGGTGCCTGGAGATCATCACGCTCGACAATGCTGGGATTTGAATCACATGTGAAGGTCCAGGCTCTGCTGTTTCCATCGTCTTCACTGGGCTTGATAAGCGACTGGAGGTGATCTGGCATTGCATAGGTTTTCCCCATCATCTTCCCCCTACTGGCCACACCCTCGTTCCAGATGAACAGCTTGCCGTAACCCAGACATTCCTGTCCAGTTCGCGTACATTTGTGACACACGGGGACAGAACGGTCGCATCTTCGTCGTTTTCGTCGACAGTTGTGACACGGTTTTGATTCGGGGTTATCTTGCATTGATAGAACCCGGTATCACAGACCAAACTGCCAAGACAGCCCCGCAGAAGATACCAACAGGTAGAAGATTGAGGCAAGTAGCTGTAGCCCAAGTGTCTATGGTTGAAAGGTCTTGAAAATTTCTATGGTGGCGGTATCAATTTTTCCGAGCGAGTCATACGCTGCAGGATTGAGTGTCGAAGCGGAGTTGTGCAGTGACGAGGGAAATGCAAAAGTTGCGTCTTGGCTACTCTTTTAGTATACGAGATCCACTTGGGAAGCTTGTCATCAATAACGACAATACGATTGGCTGGGTAGCATAGGAGCTTGGATTCTGACTCGTCGGAGTGGGCCTTTACCCTACCTCATTCACATCCCATTCCTAGCAATTGATACCCTCACGTATATGCCCAGAAAATTATCTTTTAGCGCACTGATGGCAAAAATAAAAGGTCTTAGGGACCGATGGGTCATCAGATTGCCTCTGACCTTCTCCCTTACTGAGTTTTCGTTCCTGACGATTTCTCCTCAACTTTATCGGTCACCAGACTCCTTGAAACACTTCACAGCGTGGCTCATGAGCCTTGTGTCACCATGGAGATTCGTACGGACAGTGTAACTAGTGAAGACAATAAACCACACTCTGACCAGAAATGCACACTTGATAGGATCCAGCTCGAACAGCTTGGACGGCAGCGGCCGGCTATATTTGCCAACAATGCCATAGAGATAGGTTTTTGTTTCTCATTGCTGGCATCCATGCTTCTAGCTGTAAGACTCCTTCTGAGAATCGTCGCAGATCTTGTCTCATTCAAACAGGAGTACTTTATCAGTGGTTTCAACACGATCCTACCGGTCTTAACAGATGCACTCGACATACCGGAAGAGGCGAAGACTTGGCCAGCCAGCGTTTTCTCCTTGGTCACTGGTGCTTTACTATTACCGGCCGCTCGTCTAGCCGATATATTCGGTGCTCATATTGTATTCAATGCCGGTTTGATCTGGTTCTTTGTCTGGTCCTTGGTTGGCGGTTGCAGTAAAAACTACATGATGATGATTTTCTGTCGTGCGCTACAGGGACTCGGACCTGCGGCATATTTACCAGCTGGTATTATGCTGCTCGGAACAGTCTACCGGCCTGGTCCTCGCAAGAACCTTGTTTTTAGTCTGTATGGGGCCTTCTCGCCGATAGGATTCTATTCGGGTATAACAGTCAGCGGGCTCTCTGGACACTATCTCACATGGCGCTGGTACTTCTGGATAGGCGCAATTATGCTCTTTGTTGTGTCAATCATCTCGTTACTATCTTTGCCGTCGGTTAAGTCGTCAAGTCACTCGGGAATGGATTGGTGGGGGTGCGCAACCATCATTCCGGGGTTACTGTTGCTAGTGTATGCTATCACAGACAGTACCCACGCCCCCGATGGTTGGCGAACCCCGTACATACTTGCCACGTTCATCCTGGGTCTTCTATTTCTCTGTGCTGCATTCTATGTGGAGGGCTGGATTGCTTCATCACCATTGCTTCCATTCGACATATTTAAAGTGAAATATATGACACCGTTGTTTATATCACTACTCTTTCAATACGGTGTGTTCGGTGTCTACCTGTTCTACGCGAATTTCTAGTAAGCTCCAAGTCAATATCCCCTCATAAGACGCTCACTGACACTCTCCATAGCATCCAAACAATCCTCGGCAAGGACACATTAATAACAACGGCATGGTTCGCCCCAATGGCCGCCGGCGGCCTCATCCTAGCCACAGCCGGGGGATTCACGCTACACTTCCTCCCAGGAAAGCTCCTTCTCATAATATCCGGGTTAGGGTACCTAGTCGCAATGCTGCTGTTCGCCCTCATACCTGAAAACCCTAATTACTGGGCCTACATCTTCCCCGCAATGATAGGAACAACCGTCGGGTGCGACATCACTTACAGCGTCAGCAATATCTTCATCACTACCAACTTGCCCAAGGATAGACAAGGGGTGGCTGGTGCGGTGATCAACAGCACTGTGTTTGTCGGTATCAGTCTTTTTCTGGGGGTGGCTGATCTGACGGTATCTGAAACGGCGTATCTTGGTTTGAAGGGTAGTTATAAAGCTGCCTTTTGGTTTGGGGTGGCTTGTGCCGGTGTTGCTTTGATTTTCTTGATGTTTATTAAGATTGGGAAGGCGGAAAGCGATCTTACTGTCGAGGAGAGGGAGCGGCTACGGGCTTCTGAGACAGATGGCGAGGTTTAGTGGCATGTTGTGGATAGGTGATGTTGCAGGTCATAGATAGTAATGCTACCCATGATATATTTCTCTATTTATTATACGCAGGGGACGTGACGTGAGCATGAATGTGTCGTGTGTACTGATACCTATCCACCCCTTTGACCATTATATAGGAGAGTTGATAGAGCTAAGTCTGTCAAGGCTATCATAGATAAGTTCTTACCCAGTCCTATGTAAGATTATTCTTTTGCGGACATTATACAACCGAGGACCCATACTCAAATTTAGGCTAAAAAGCTACTAAGTAATGGGATACTCTACTGAGCCCTTCCAGGGCCCACTGCCTGATCCGCTGTCGACCATGGCTGAAGGTTGGTGGCACTGCTATACCTTCTCAGGCAACCTATTTATAAGGCAGGAAACCGGCGTAACTGTTACATACCTCCTATACTATCAAGCCCATCGTTCGGGTTCCCTGTGCCGAGGTTCTGGACCCTCGCCAAGCTGCCAAGGTCGCAACAGATATTGACAATATACAGGTTTCTGACCAATCGCAATACAGAAACTAATAGGGCTTGAATTTGTGGGGTTAGAGAATTGGGGGCGAAATGAAAGTGCCGACAGCAAGTGATGATACTGGTCCACTGCGCAGTAGTAAGGGCCTAGTACACGCCCAGTGGGAACTAGCGAGACTAGTCTTCGACTTCTATACAACTGTAGAAAGGGATTCGTCCGTCTGGTGCACTACCTGTGCGTGCCAATATACATCGGGCGCAGGACTGAGCCCTGTGACAAATATCTCCTTGGGGTATAAAAGGAGCGTTATGCTGGTAGCATCTCAAAAGTTGAGCCCCTTTCTCGCTACCTGCTGCGCGATACTCTGTCGCCAAGCCCGTAAATATGAGTTATTGGTCAGTATGGATGTTGCTACTTGCCGTGGTGGTCAGCACTGGTAAGTATTCTTGTCATCATTTCCCAATTAAACTACCGTTAACTCAACTAATATACCCCTTTAGCTATGGCCCAGATTTGTACCCCAGAACGCGGATACGAAGGGTACACGTACGTCGTCTATGACCAATCCGACGTGGACGAAATTACAGCACAGTGTACGACTGTCAACGGGAGCATTGCCATGGCTTATAACTACACAGGGGGCTTCCACCTCCCCAACATCCGAAACGTCACACGTAGCATCGACTGGGTCCAAAGCCGCCATTTTGGCAGTTTTCCGAACACGACGTCTGTCGATTTACCCGATCTCGAGTTCCTAGGTGGAAGTCTGGGGTTGAACAACCTTCCAATTCTGCAGAAGGTTACTGCACCGAAACTGGAGACCGTGGGTTGGTCTGCGGACATTGGTTACGCCCGGGAGGTGGATCTGCGATCGTTGGTCGAATCGGAGTACTTGCAGGTCCGGGGGAATGTCTCAACGTAGGTTAACTGGACCGGCCTTGATTGGCACCAATGCGAGATTGACGCTGAATATGGATGGTTGTAGCTTACGCCTCGACTCCTTGCGACAGGTCCGTCAACGGATGTTGATCTGTAACCGGGATGAGTGTGATCCAGAGAAACCGCCCCACGACGCTTTGGATCTTTCCCTCCCATCACTGAATGATGTGGGCCATCTGTACTTGAAGGGAAGGTTCTCGAGGTAAAACCGCACTCCGGTGTTGACCCTGCCGTACTAATCATAAGCAATATAGCTTGGACACACCAAAGCTCGCGAATATCACTGGCGCTGGTCTAGATTACTATGGTATTCAGGTCCTCACGGCAGGAGGACCGGCGATTGACCTCTCCTTCCCTGAGCTTAAATACATCCGATCTGGGAGTCTCTCCCTGGAGGGCAACATTGCAAGGTAACTTTCCGTTCAACCTTCGAATCCATAATTGAAGATTCACAGAGTCTCAGCATATCGATGCCGAACATAAGCAAATTGACTGTCTGGCTTACTGTAAAAGCCTATGATGGGCTTGATGTTGACCTCCCTTTCCAGGAGGCAGACACCATTGTGTTGTCAGGTAACATCTCAAGGTTTGTTCCACTAGTTCCGACGACAATTATACACTAGGATGCCCCACTAAAACACTCTCTATAGTGTCCAATTTCCGAATTTAAGGTCTGTCGATACGTTCCAGGTTAACACGATTACCTCCCTCGACTGCGAATCCTTGGAGGAGACAATCATGACAGCGACAAATGCATCGGATTATCGGATAACATGTAAGGCGGAGAATTCGTCCTCGCGTCTTGGGCTTAACGTTGGCACTACAATCGCGTTTGCCAGCGCGATAGTTGTTGTTTTTGGGCTAGCGATGTAGTTCTAGATAGTAGTAATCCCATCCACAGCTTTCTCAGCAATTTGATTTCGTGCTGAAGCATTGAAGACAGTTATAGACTATGGCCATTGTTTGGGATTGAGAAGATCTGTGAAGTAGACCGATTCCTTATTATCAAAAGATTTTAATCAACTGTTCGCAAAGATTTCTTTATCAAGTACATGTTTCTTCTGCATTGGAGCAAAGAGAAACCTGCTTAAAATAATACTCCTTCGTGGTATGGTATAGAAAGAGTATTCTTCATAGGTGAGGTGCTCCTTGAAAATCCTCTTATATTATAGCCACACTGCTACTTCATCAAGCTGTGTAATAAATTATGATCCCAATCTAGCATCCTGAAGAGTCTCTTCTCCCGTCTTTCTCCACGGTAGACCAAAAGATAGAAAAAGCAAAAATAAATAAACACCAGAAATAAGATGTGTAGATAGCACGTATCCACTGTACAAACCAGTTGACAGGTCCGGTAGTACAGAAAATGGACTCCAAACCTAGAGGCGAGAACTCCATAGAATGTATTAATTAGATAATACAGACACGCACCAAGGAACTGAAGATGAAAGGTTGGCTTACAGAAAGGGATGCCTATAGTACCCTACCTTTTGCATCAGTTGTTCGGGCCAGCCCATATAAGAGGAGGGTTGTATAGCGATTTTCTGCTGCGATGATATCGGCAGAGACTGGGCCTCGGCCGCCAGTTTGGTAGGAGCCATTTCTTCGTTCACAAATAAAATGGGATACACACTATTCAAAGTATGGAGGGTATAAGTTAAGAAATATTCTATCAGTCAGTTTGGCCACTGGCCCACTATAAACTTGGGTGTTGGGTGATGGTAGTAGTGCCGGCTCACTATTGTAATCCGCCGGCTATTCATTGCCGAACATGTCTTACTTTCATTTGAACCGTCTCTACTAGTAGTAACTAGTAAGCACTAAGCTGCCCCACCCGCTCTTTCGGGTGTGCCCGTTGGCCTGCTCTAGATATCTACAACTTTGCTGAAACTAGTCTTCAATTAGAGGGTCAAAGTCTCCCTATAGCTTTGCTGCAACGATGCTTCCACAAGAGAAAAATGTTCCTGTGAATAGGACCTTCACATGTTGCTCACAATGCTGTTAAAGAGTGGCGCTAAATAGCGACTAACGGCCTATGTACTTGAAATACCCGTAGGGGTGTTTCCGGTTATATGAAAGTGTAAATTGGGCAGTTGTAAGACTATGTTCATTGCAGCTGTAATTGATTACTGAGTTATGAAGTGCAATTGCCGACCAAGTTTCAAGCACAATAACGTCAATTACATGTCACGGCTTCAGGGCAATTGATCGTTGGCTAGAGTACAATTCCACTCATGTCGATTGCACATACGTACACGTCTTCACGCCAACCCGGATCACAACAGTCCAGCAGACCTCGTAATGGGCTGATCAAGAATGAAAGCAAAAGGGAGACACTCATGTGATTTTATCGGCCCTAGTAGACCACTTAAGAAGTACTAAAACAGGTATTCGCTTGCGTACACGCCATACTCCAATCCCCCCGGCCCTCTAACAAGAACGCCAACACTCATTCAACATTCATAATTCGTTTCAAGTCGTGAAGAGATAGTGGCTTGACCAGATAGTCGTCAATGCCAGCCGCAAAGGCTTGCTGTTGCATCGAGCTCGATGCCACCCCAGTAACTGCCATGATAGTGCTTCGAGGTAGAGAGTTTTGTTCTTCATACTCGCGGATCTTGCTCGAAGATACTATTCCGTCCATGATGGGCATGGAGATATCTGTCGCTGTTAGTTTAGCCCTCCTTATGTTTGAGAGTAGGGGAGTTCGTACCCATGAGGACATAGTCGAATCGTCCCGCACAAGCTTTGTACTTCTCCAGTGCGGCGAGTCCGTTGGTTGCGGTTTCGTAGCTACAACCTATCTTGCGCATAAAAGTAGCCATAATCTATATCTAGTTAGATATTATCATCCCAAAGGAGGTAAAGTTTGACTTGCCTTCAGATTCACGTCATTGTCATCCACAATGAGAACGTGTATGTTCTTCTGATTTAGGGCCTGAGGAGTGGGAAACGGCGAAAGCTCGGCGACATTTTCCCTGACCATGGGAGGCGACTCCGACCCCTTCGCAGCAGCGAATGCTTCGGATAAGGAGCGCCCACGGCCAGGGAATCCCGAGAACGGACCTGCAATGGGGCTCTCGGACAAGGGGCTTGCTTCGCGATGCGCGTCGATGTACCGTTGCAACGCATCAGTAAGTTTGCGAGGACCAAGTCTACCAATTATTAGTGAAGCAGTGAACAGGATGTGGCAATCAGTACTTACGGCTGGGAGAGATAGATAATATCCGCGTTTTTAATGGCAAAGTTTCCTGGGAGAGACACCCCATGTTCACCGAGCACGATTATCGTGTTGAACTGGGTATCGATAGGACCAGCTTCAGCGATCTTCTTGAGGCTAGACTCCTCGACGACCCCAATGTCACCAGAGCCCTTTTCAAGCGAGTCGGCAAAAGATACCATCCATCCGGGCTGGCTGAGAAGCACATTACTGAGTGCTCCGCGAATTGACAACTTCCGCTTCGCTTCGGTCGAGATAACTCCTTTCCGGACTCCCTTAAGGTCGGTATATGGATTTAGACCAACCAGGCAGACCCGAGTCATGATCCGCGATCCTGGACCCTCTCCACGTTTAAGTGGAGCCGAGGGTGAACATGTTTGAACGGCATATTCAATGGGAACGTGCACATCAACCTTTGTGCCGACGCCTACTTGGCTGTGTACCTCAATGTAGCCGCCTAGGTTGGTCACTAGTTGCTGGACAATGCTCAAACCTAGTCCGCATCCCTCAGTCAACACGTCTTCCTGTGCGAAAGGCAGGTAAAGCTTGTGTTCAAGGAATTCTGATGATATTCCGCATCCTGTATCGTTGATCGTCAGGTGGGCAAAAGTAGTCTTCTGGTCGCCAACTCCCTCCACCTCTTTGGACAAGGTGACTTCAATGAGACCTGAGCGGGTGAACTTGAACGAATTCCCCAGGAGGTTCATTACGATTCTCCTCCACCCACCTGAGACCGAATGGATTGACCACGATTTTTGTTCTTCAATGCGAACGACGACAGACAGATCATCAGGGTTATTCAATTGTTTGACTTCGGTACCAATGGATCTGCCACCGACACCGGCACCACTGGGGAGATACCGACCCGCTATTTTGGCAGCGTTGATCAGAGACCGATGGCCAGCATACAAGGTCTCAGAGACGTCTTCTATCAGCGTCCCAAGGTCAAAGTCGGTAGTCAGGTTATCATAGGCCGATCCAACAGATTCCCCTGCCTTACTTAGGTGCGTTAAGTTGTTGATTTTTGTAAAGTCCAGCCTGTTCATCAAGGGTTAGCTATAGCCTTTGCCTTGAGGATATATTCCAGTCTTACAGGTAGTTCATCGTGTCTAACAATGTCAGACCGCAGGTTTCGACCATTGTCAGCATATCTCGTTGGGCAGGCTCTAGACGTGTTGTTTGCAGCAGCTCGGCGCTAGCAAGCATGCCATGCAAGGGCGACCGCAGCTCATGGCTAACCGATGAAAGCAGATCCGACTTCGACTTTTCCGTGGCACGCCATCCAAGCTGCGAGTATTTGGCAACGATGGAGTCTCCAAATGCTCTCAAGAAACATAGATCATCCGGTCCCAATGCTCGTTGCTTGTCATTCACCCACATAATCGCACCTGCAAGCCATCGAGACTTGTCCCAGTTCCACAATGGAAGGAATATCAGGGACCTGCTTTCGGGGAAGTCAAACCCTAATCGAACTGTAATACCTTGGTGGATGGAACGGCCGCCGTCACTACCTTGTCGGCTATGGCCACGGCTACTCGAGGACTGTACTGAAAAACGTCGTGTTGGGCCTTGGGGGTAGAACACTTCGCCATGTGGGAATGCCGTGAACATTTCATGAAGCAAGCCTTCTGTCAAGCCAAAACGAATTGAGTCGCTATAGCTGCCCGGCAATTGTTCAGATAACGCGTGGCCTAAAACGTCACACTGTTTCTCGGACCATATACCTTGGGATGAAAGCGCAGGAGACTGAGGAGGTGCAGATGTATCGCTATCTTTGCTAAGGCCATCCCAGTCACTGACACTGGCAGATGAATAGCTAGAGAGGTTAGCGTTACCAGTTTTGCCATAAAAGAGACATGACTCCTACCTCCGAGAGTTACTGCGTGACGCATCCAAAAATAACACACCATCCAGCTTCATAGACTCTTGGAGCAATACACTAGCATAAGAAAGCAGGGCGGAGGTTCCAGATGATGTAGCACCTTCTGATACCGTTACCAAATTACTAGACTCGTCTGAGCATCTCCTGATATGCTGTTGGTGTTCCTCAGCAGATGAGTGCACCTTAATTGGAACATCACTGCGCTTGAAGAACGATGGTGAATGCGCCCTGTCTTGGGGTTTTGGTCTTTCCGATCCGAATCTATCATGCATGGTGTCCGTTGACAACGAGATACGATTGATATCGGGAAGTTCCGATGACTGAGGTCCGACCAGACCCGAAGCAACCCTGCTGCTGTGGAAATTTCGCTCCGTATAGCCGCTAGATTGGCCTTTAGAAAACTCCCTGAGCGCATCGAGAAGGCGCTCGGACTTTTGGCATTTATGTAGTGTCCAGATATTTTCGAGGTGGCTGACGATGGAACCTGCTACTTCTTTCAAAGTACTAACCTCGCCATCGGCAAATAACGAGCGGGGACCGCCGTCAGCAACACAGTATGTTCCAAAGATATCGCCTGAAGAGCTACGCAGGGGAATCTCCGCGTAGAAGCGTATATTGGGGCATCGAGTGACAAATGGGTGCCCGCCAATAGCATGGTCTGAACGAATGTCCAGGACAATGCGACAAGAGCCATTCAGTGGTTCTTTGAAACCATTGGCAGGATAGCTTCTATCTGCCTGTAATCCCAAGGTCTTTAAGCCGAGCAAGGAACTCCTCTTGCTTCCATCATCCCCAGCAGTATGAGAGATTATTGCCTCCGCGATCACATACGGTTCGTTGTTGTCCAGCAGAGTGACGAAGGCGTGGCGACAACCTACTCGATGAGCTCCTAGTTCGGCAAGGCCCGTCAAGATTGTATCCTCAAGAGCATTCTGGTCCGACGATGGCTTTCGCAAATATGTGGGTGAAGGCGCCGGTTGGTCTTGTGAGCCCTCCGTACCAATCGAGCTTTTGGGGCGGTAAAGTCTACTCAGTATGGAATGCATACCGTGATGTTCGACGATGAGAAGAACGGAGGATCAGGGAGGGGTCGCGCGGCAGCGAATCCTACCTTGATAGCTCCGAGAGCATTCGTTGCCCGGCAGGTACCGGATGTGCGTGATAGGACGCTGTCGAGTCCAGCAATGCCATCAGAGAGCTTGTCGCATAGCTAGTACTCGGGCAACCTCGAGGGGTGATCAAGGGAGGGGATTCTGGGCCGCCCGCAGATCAAGATTCGATGTTATATATTGCGTTGTAGTCGTGATTTTTTCCACGTTGGGTAGGGTAAGAAAGTTAGGTCCAGAGGCTGGCCAGAGATACCAAAACTGCACAGCCTTCCGGGTAGCCGACTGCCCTGAGAGTGGTCTAGGCCGTTGGTCACTGAAAAAGAGCCCCATTCGTGCCGTCTACGGTTGAAGAAGTGCCACCCCGGATAAGGGATCATAGATAGCTCTAGATCCTTGGTCCGGGTGACGCTTTATGGACTAGTCTATGGCTCAGCCATGGTCGCCACTCGCCGATTCGCTGCAAAACTTACGGCCGATCAGCCCTAGGTCGCAGCCTTCTCGGCCGCGAGTCCCGAGTGCTTGCCTGCCGAGGCATATATGAGGTGTGGCATGCTATACCAGGCGATACTGGAAAGGTAACAAAGGTTTTTCTCATTTTTCGCATCGGATGATCTTGCATTAGTTAATTTTTCCGACGATACTCCGTAGCAAGATCTATGCCCCACCAAGGAACCGAGAGATAGGAACAGTCGATCCCTAGCAGAGTTACATTCTCGATCCCTTTCTCAGGGCTTGCCATTACCTCCTTCCGCATTTGGACATGACTTTGCGGCCTGAGGCGTCTACGAGTCACGGGATGTTGCATTCAGCGTCTCGTGATTATCTAAACCACAGTTCTTCCGAGCTCTTATTGGCCGGCGCTTATGTTCGGTGGTGAAGACCGAAAAAAAAGAAGAATTGAAGACGTGATATCATGCAATAGTTTTTTACAAATAATCTAAAACAAGGAAATATATTTGTCAAGTATGTACAGTCTAACCCTCTCTACGGTTTAGCCCGTGTTTCTTTCCAATTTTTAGAGTTCTTTGGGAATTTGTATCCAGTGAAATATATACATCTCCTCTACATTTTCATTACTTCAACTAGAGCCCGCTTTCTATAACAAACAAGACTCCAGGAGATAGTTGTAGTCACTATATGTTGTAAAACAACATAATTGCCTCGTTTTTCTGAGACCAGATATAGATTAACCATCTTTTTGACAAAAGCCCCTGCTGGCCTATTTCTCAGTATAGAAACATTAGAACATACCGAGGCATTTGTGCGAGCTTTGCCACTGAAAGATCATACAATTATAATACATTAATTAATGCAACATCACTACATTAGGATATACGGACCGGCTAGATGGTATATCTCCCTGTTATAGGTCCAATTGCTGTTTGCACCTAATTAATTGAAGAACTTTACTACGGACGAATACAAGGCTGTTATTATTACTTGCCATATCAATCCAGAAATCATGTCTCTTCTCTGTGCTAGTACCTGTCGCTGTATCATTTTGTCAAATATTCTGGTTTAGGAATAGTACCTTATCCCTCTCATAGAACGGAAGGGTTATATTCCTACCATTTATCTTTGAGAGCTTGTCCATATATATAAGCGCAGCGGAGTTCTTTATGCGCTGTGTCTACCAATGTGCTGAGACAAGCAAGTGAGATTTGCATGTTACGCCTCAGGATATATCAATGGTGCTGCAGCCGTGAAACCTAACTTCCGTAAAATTGCGCCATGGCCTTTGCTGTACTTTTATACCGTTTCTCTTGGCCATCCTCAGCAACAAGTATGTCCGTACGTTGATTGGTATCATGTCTCTCTAGCGTCAGAGGTTATGGAGTTAGAAAGCGTCAAGGACACAAATAATGAGGACTACAATGCAGTAGCCACAAAACCATAGCACATAATAATAATTGCATACGTCCACTCATGGCATTTCATCAATACAACCTGGACAAAGGTCATACCACAATGGCTGCGATTCAATATGCTTAATCTGAACCGCTTATCAATCGCAAGGCATGACATCCGTCACTCCGAACTGTTAGATAGGTAGTTTTACGTGCTTCTTTCAGTAGTGCAAACAGACCTTTTTTGCGCCAATCATATAAGGGAATTTGATGCCTTTGTCAATATACCTTCGGATTCCTAATCTCATGGTTCCTCTAGAGTACGTCGAAATAGACTTTATCACTTCACCTCGACGACTAATAATGATGTTAACTTCGGTTGACATGAGAAACCTTCCGTGGATACATGTCAGATAGTCTATGATGTGCACAATTGCGTCTAGACAATGAAAGTGGAGATTGACGCGAGTCAGTCACCGAATGCCAAGCTACAGCAGATGTCAGCAAAGTTCCAGTAGAGGTACTAGTACATTCTGCTGCACGCTTACAGTACAGCTAAATTGGAAAGATAATTCTGACTAGAAATTTATATCCAGTGCGCTGGACGAAATTTGACACAAAGAGCATATGACGGCCATACAAACCCTGGGCCGTGGAAGCGGGCCCTAATCGTCCAAACTACGTTATACGAGATTATATGGATCTTTCCATTCTAAGTAAGAGCGGTGCTCTAGGGATTTATGACGTGCTGTGTCATGTGTTTGTTGTATAAGCCATTTTACGTCTATTGGATACCTAAATGACGCAACTTGGATCGGTTATTCTGCGAAGATCTTAGCTCGCATGCACTCTATGGTATAGGAGTCCATAGCATGCCCGGTAACTTCTTGATGCTCGATATTATCTCCAAAACACAGTCTATCACTGGACGTGTCCTATTTGTCTTCCAAGAAAAGAGTGGGGCCAGATCATGTTCACTCGTCTCATAAATACTATGTTCGGCCAACATGGTGAAGGATAATGTTGACCCTAACATAGACAGCTACTCGTAAGCTGACAATACATTAATCTCAATAGATAGCTTGTGTATATCCGAGAGCACGGCCCAAACAGTTCCCCACCTCGAGTCGACGGAGTAAGCAACTACTTCTAGAATCAAGCTGCAAGTCCCACAGTCCCCTTAATCCGTTTTGCGCCTGAACATGGCCAATAATGCAGTTTCAGGTAGTCATCAGTCTCGAGATGAGGCCCATTTCCGATGAGTCAGAGCAATCGCCCGAACTATTAATTCCAGACCTGCTTGGATAATGAGCCAAGAGGACTATCATCATATGTCTGAAACATATCCCTCATAAAGATCGGGTTCTCTATCTAGCATAATGCACATGCAGCGATAAACAGCCCATAAGTCACGGTCATACAGTAAATACAACTACTTGGTACGGAGTATGGTGGCGTGGAATAGAGCTCCTACAGCTCATCGCAGCTGCGATATGGGCAATAGCGAAATTTTTCAGATCGCATCTTATCTTGTTATCTATATCCGATTTTTCTCCAAACTTGTGGGTCTGAAGTGCACGGTAAGCTACGAGATTGGTCCGGATGACGGAAATGCGGATGTGATTTGTTCTATCTTCGGAATTACGGAAATCCGGCGGTGATCTTGTCAGGCACCAGGAACGATACTTATAAGAATAAAATCCCAGGGGTCACCTATGATGGAGTTTGCTATTACAGAGTGCTAGGGTAGTCTTATCAATACGTCACTGTCAGTATTGTATGAGCTGTGCATATCCTAGTGTGAGCGATTGGTATGACATGGGCATCATCACAGATCAACTAAGAGAATACTAAATGGCCAATATAGGGTGCGCCAGGAATAGCTTTTTTCATCATGGATACCCCATCCTCCGGCACCGTTGACCTAGAGCGCGGTGGCGGCGCGGTTCGCAAACGTTTGACTCTTACCTTTCGAAACTTGAATGTCCGAGTCACGGCCCCCGATGCAGCCCTAGGCGAGACCCTATTGTCCTATGCCGACCCACGACAACTCCTAGACGTCTTTCGCAGCAGTCGACAAAACAAACGGGTAGGCATTGAAGCGCTACCCGCCAAGTTTAACTAGTAGCTGACAGTACATCAGACAATTTTGAAGGACATCAATGGACAGGTCAAACCTGGTGAAATGGTAGGGTGAGCGAATGTATGATAGAGACAGGTAGGCTGATACGATGACAGCTGCTAGTGTTGGGTCGGCCTGGCGCCGGATGCACTTCTTTCCTTCGTGTACTTTCAAATGACCGAGATGCGTTCGATGAAGTAAATGGTGAAACTCGATACGGAAGTATGGACCACAAAGAGGCAAGAAAGTTCCGACAGCAGATCATGTTCAACAATGAAGACGACATCCACTTCCCAACATTGACGGTCAACCGAACCATGAAGTTTGCTCTGAAGAACAAGGTCCCTAGAGAGCGTCCCGAGCATCTCCAGGAGAAACAGGAATATATCCAGGGCACGAGGGACGGCATCCTGGAGTCGCTGGGAATCGCGCATACCAAGAAGACGCTAGTGGGAAATGAGTTCATCCGCGGCGTATCTGGTGGAGAGAGAAAGCGTGTATCTTTGGCTGAAGTAATGGCTGGTCAGGTGAGATTCAATTGGGTAAGACCAGAAGAGAACAAGCGACGCTAATATGTTATCCTAGAGTCCCGTCCAGTTCTGGGATAACCCAACTCGTGGTCTTGATTCTAAGAGTGCAGTCGAATTTGCACGTCTTCTACGCCGTGAAGCGGATGAGAACGACAAGACCATGGTGGCCACCATGTACCAGGCAGGAAATGGTATCTACGATGAATTTGACAAGATCCTAGTACTTGCAGAAGGGAGAGTCATTTACTACGGCCCCAGAACTATGGCACGAGCGTACTTTGAAGATATGGGATTCATTGTTCCAAAAGGTGCCAACATTGCCGACTTTCTAACCTCCGTTACTGTGCTTACGGAACGCATTGTCCAACCGGGGTTGGAGGAGAAGGTGCCCAATACTCCCGAGGAGTTCGAGTCTCGCTATTTGGCAAGCTCTATCAATGCCCAGATGCTGGATGCTATTGAGCCACCAGAAAAGCTTACCCACGAGAAAGACGACCTGGAAATGGCAGTAGCGAACGAAAAAAAGAAGAAGCATCTTCCACGTCCTCAGAGCGTGTACACAACGAGCCTTTGGGACCAAATTGGTGCTTGTACAATTCGGTAAGTCTTACCCATGGGATATTTGAACAATATGGATGCATAAAACTAACTTCGACAAGGCAATTCCAAATCATGGCAGGTGATAAACTTTCTCTTATTATCAAAATTGTCTCGGCCATTCTTCAAGCACTAGTCTGCGGCAGTATTTTCTATGATCTCAAGCTGGATAGTTCCTCTATCTTCCTTCGCCCTGGTACACTTTTCTTCCCATGCCTCTACTTCCTTTTAGATGGCTTGTCAGAGACAACCGGTGCATTCATGGGTCGTCCTATTCTCACCCGCCAAAAGCGCTTTGGCTTTTACCGTCCGACAGCGTTCTGCATTGCCAATGCTATCACAGATGTACCTGTCGTGATGGCGCAGGTTTCCTGTTTTTCATTAATCTTGTACTTCATGTCCGCGTTACAGATGGATGCAGGCAGGTTCTTTACCTACTGGATTATGCTTGTCGCTCTTACTCTATGCTTTATGCAGCTCTTCCGGGCGGTTGGTGCGTTATGCAAGAAGTTTGGAGTTGCATCCATGATCTCGGGATTGTTGTCCACAATCTACTTCGTCTACGGCGGTATGTGCCTTCAGTTCTTTAAAAGTTAAGAACGGTACTGACAGCAGCAGGTTATCTTATCCCCTTCGAGAAAATGCACGTCTGGTTCCGCTGGATCTTCTACCTCAACCCCGGTGCATATGCTTATGAGGCACTCATGGCTAACGAGTTCTCTGGGTTGAAACTTGATTGCATCGCACCTGACTATATCCCCTATGGTCCAGGGTACCCCGACTCATCATCCGCCTACCGTGGCTGCTCTGTGTTGGGCAGCGATGAAAATGGACTGATTGATGGGGCCGCATACATTCGCGAACAGTACCACTACTCCTTTGGTCATATCTGGCGCAGCTTCGGTGTCATCATTGGCATGTGGGTGTTTTTCATTGCTCTTACCGCCTTCGGCTTCGAAAAGCTCAACAGTCAGGGCGGGTCATCGGTGCTCCTCTATAAGCGCGGAAGTCAGAAGGGCACGCAAGATGTAGAAAACAGGCAGCAGGCCACGTCTGAGCCAACAGCAAATGTTGGTGCTCTTTCAACTACCGCCAAACAGTCGACGTTCACCTGGAACAATCTCGATTATCATGTCCCATTCCACGGTGAGAAAAAGCAGCTTCTGAATCAAGTGTTTGGTTATGTAAAGCCCGGTAACCTCGTCGCACTTATGGGTTGCTCCGGTGCAGGGAAGACTACGTAGGTGTTCTGGTACATAATCGCCTTTGACAAAAACTAACATATCTTTCAGGTTGCTGGACGTTTTGGCACAGCGGAAAGATAGCGGTGAGATCCATGGATCTATCCTAATTGACGGCCGTCCTCAAGGGATTAGCTTTCAGCGAACCACAGGATATTGTGAGCAGATGGATGTCCACGAAGCAAGTGCGACAGTCCGGGAAGCATTGCAATTTTCTGCTCTTCTCCGTCAGCCTGCATCGGTTCCTCGCGAAGAGAAGCTGGCATATGTGGATCACATCATTGAGCTACTGGAACTGAGCGACATCAGGGATGCTCTGATTGGCAGTACGTGGTCTTCCTCAACGTTATAGAATACGTTGTATCTTACTAACGCAAGTAGTCCCCGGAGCTGGTCTCAGCATTGAGCAGCGGAAGAGAGTCACACTAGGTGTTGAACTAGTCGCAAAGCCGAGTCTACTATTTCTCGACGAGCCTACATCCGGTCTCGATGGTCAGTCTGCATATAATATCGTTCGATTCCTGAGAAAACTAGTAGACGGCGGTCAAGCAGTCTTGGTAGGTCTTCCCACAACGGTTATCTAACCATAGTAGCTAATAAGCCATAGTGCACCATTCACCAACCGTCTGCTGTGTTGTTTGATGCCTTCGATTCGTTGCTCCTCCTGGCGAAGGGTGGTAGAATGACGTACTTCGGCGAGAGTAAGTTCGCCTACTCTTTTATGGTACGGGACGACGGGTCTAATATATTATAGCTGGCAAGGATTCCGTTAAGGTACTGGACTATTTCGCAAGGAACGGTGCTCCCTGCGAGGCCGATGTCAACCCAGCCGAACATATCGTCGAGGTTATTCAGGGAAACACTGAGAAGAGCATTGACTGGGTTGAAGTGTGGAATCAATCTGAGGAGCGCCAGCGAGCCATGGCTGAACTGGAAGCTTTGAATAACGACCTGAAGCAGAACACACAGGAGGAGGAAGACCAATCTGACTTCGCAACTTCTTACTGGTTCCAATTCACAATGGTCTTGCGCCGTCTCATGGTCCAATTATGGCGGTCACCAGTAAGTTATTGCTCTTTGATCATTACGATACAATGAAGGCTGATCATTATTAAGGATTATATCTGGAGCAAGATGATTCTGCATATCTTCGCAGCTCTGTTCAGCGGTTTTACCTTTTGGAAAATGGGTAACGGCACGTTTGACCTCCAACTTCGCCTTTTTGCTATCTTCAACTTTGTTTTCGTCGCCCCAGGATGTATCAACCAGATGCAACCATTCTTCTTGCACAACCGGGATATTTTCGAGACCCGCGAAAAGAAGGTTAGTTACTTCGCGTCAGTAGGCTTAGTTCTATAGATATCGTTTACTAACAAAAGCTAGTCCAAAACATACCACTGGCTCGCTTTTATCGGCGCCCAAACCGTCTCGGAAATTCCGTATCTCATCATATGCGCGACGCTCTACTTCGCATGCTGGTACTTCACTGCAGGCTTCCCTGTCGAGGCTAGCGTCTCTGGTCATGTATATTTACAGATGATCTGTTAGTCCTACCGCTATTATTTATGGGATATTGGAGCTAACTTATTACAGTTTACGAATTTCTCTACACATCGATTGGCCAAGCCATTGCCGCATATGCACCAAACGAATACTTTGCCGCCATCATGAACCCTATCATCATCGGTGCTGGCCTGATTTCTTTCTGTGGTGTCGTTGTCCCATACTCGCAGTTGCAGGCCTTCTGGCGCTACTGGATGTACTACCTGGACCCATTCACGTACCTAGTCGGGGGGCTTCTGGGTGAGGTCCTCTGGGACGTGAAGGTGGAGTGCAAAGCATCCGAGCTTGTAAATTTCAGCGCGCCATCCGGCCAGACGTGCGGCCAGTACATGGCCGACTTTCTTAGCGAGCAAACGGGCTATCTTCTCGACCCGAACTCGACCTCTACCTGCTCGTTCTGTCAGTACTCTACTGGAGCGGACTATGCCAAGACCTTCAACATGAAGGAGAAGTACTATTCTTGGAGAGATGTAAGTCGACTATTTGTTGGGGTTAACCATAGTATTATACTGACTTTGGTGCAGACTGGTATTACTGCACTCTTTTGCATCAGTTCTTATGGACTCGTGTTCTTGATGATGAAGTTGAGGAGTAAGAAGACCAAGAGTGCGAGATCGGACTAGTTTGTTCTGTCCTGCATGCAAGATATTAGCGATAGAGTTGCACATATTCCATTCTGTTATAATATAGTATAGACATATAGCGGTATATACAGATAGACATAGATATTACTAGACTAATACATATTAGATTTAATAAAGACAAGCCAATCAAATGTAGAGCTCAACCCGTAGAACATTGGGTACTTCATTCCATTTGGTTACAACCAGGTGTTTTGAATTAAACAGCCTATAGCTGGGTTGTATGTTTCTTTCATTGTTATTTTGCTATTTCCTTGAATAATTTATTCGGAATGGATTGAGGATACATGTGGTGAAATAGTATGATTCAGTCTTGTGTACATAATCACATATCATAAAGCCGTCAAGCAACTCTTCAAACCTTTTTGGATGGCTATCAAATACTACCTTTCCTTGGGACTCGCTTGCGATCGTGGCACAAGGGTGTCGGTGTGTGAGCTGACTATAAACAATAGGCTAAACAGAGTCTCATACCACAAAGAAGACCTCTTCAGTAGGCTTCCAGAGAACTGAACATGATGCATTCAGAGATAATCCCACCAGCAGGAAGATTCTCAACATGCATTGAAATAGATGTCAAATCAGACCAGTCTTCATGATTTATCACAGCCACTATTCATGAGAATAGGCTACTTGAACCAAGTCCCCAGTCTCTGAAGTAGCGCTCATGGAGACCCACTGCCGACAATAGCACCCCGTTTTATACCAACTAGGAGGTCTCAGCTGTGTGGCACGATATCAAACCGGCGCACTCCCGCCATGACCGTGTACTCTGCAAACGGCTGGGGAAGTGTTTCATGCATCATTCTCCCGATGTTCGCATCAACACCACTACTGATTTGGTTTAGCACCAATATGCCCCCACGAGTCTCAGCGTCTAGGGCAGCTCGGTACCTTACGAGGGTCACTCATCCGAAACCGAATAGTCTTTTCTGCACGGGACTAAGGAGATTCGCCGTTAGGGTTCTATGTGGGTCATGTATGGAGCTACAGCTGCTTGTCCAAATCCAGGTTCTAGTCAAGCAGCTAGCTATCGGTCTTCTTGCATGTATTTAGGCGGGAGCACCCTCCGATTTATAATGCTACTATATTGGCCTAGACCCGAACGGTAGCCCATCCGATGGTAACAAATCTGTGCGAGAGCTGGCTATGAGCTATCCCTATTGTAGTACTGAATTTTACTTGTTAGTTACAGTTCTATATATGCATTTGGGAGAATCCGTTTTATTCCAAGCAGGTATGGGTGGTGGTGGACAGGCTGCTATTGTTCTCTTGCAAGTGAATATATATATTCACTCCATGAAGCCCTAGTAGTCATCTTCTGTCCCCTTTCCCCGGTAAGACCCAATTTTCATTTGCTCACCTCCCAGAATCGTGGCAAATACGATGATATACCACAATCACATGACAGGCGTATCAGGTGATTGGCCTGCCCTATTCTGCAAGGGGGCATGCCTCCAGAAGAGATGCTTTGGCCCAACCGTCATATTTTGCAATCACCATATAAGATGGATCTGCCGAGCGACCCAAGTGTATATGCCGAAACCGTTGGGCCTGTACCAAGACTCTCGCTTATAATAGTACGAAGATTCGTTGGGTCGGTCAGAATGCGGGGAAGTTTTTGGGATCCGGGGAAACCCTCGCCAAGACTATTCTTCACGATCAGCATTTTGATTTTGCCTATCAAAAACCCATTCGCCCCGATAGCAGCAAGCTCTATTCACTAACAACATGTCAAAAGCTGATACTAGTAGTAGGGAATCCCAGCGTGTCTCCTTTGTCTATCGTTACTCAATTTCTACAACCAGGTCCGTCCCCTTGATTTCCTCGCACCCAGCTGACTGGATATAGACGAGATCTAGTCCGTTCCCCGCATAAGTTAATTGGCTTGGACACATGGCATACTTCGACTATCCACGGTTGGCAACGCTCCTGATCCCTCTGCTGGCGAATCTCGTGTCTCACGGCAGCTTTGCCTTCAGCGGAGCGCTTCTTGGCAACTTGGCTCGCGAGGAGCTTTGACGATAGCCTACCTGCGATAGGCCCAATCTTCCGAAATCAGCATCAAACAGGACTATCCCGCTAACGGCCAAGAGCGCCACGAAACTTTGGAAGCGGACACAAGGGGATTGTTGGCCTGATTTGGCTCTCTTCCCAACATGCCGCGGTTCGCCTACGCGGCTTAACGAGTGAATGCAATTGCCATGCAGCTCGGCAATTCCATGAATGACATAGCTTTGCAATCTTCTTCCGATAGAGAGCTACTGGTCCTTCCGATTTAACTACCGTGAATGTGAGCCAAGTCTTCGAAGCCGACCAGTGAACGTGCTGGGTTTCTGGGCCATGTGGTTGGTGGCCTGAAGATCGAGGCTCCAAGGTGTCCAATGCCCAGACCCTGACAGCGAAAATCTGCTCAACCCCAGATTCTGCACCCTTAAGAGTCATCCGAACCTCATTCCCGCTCTGACTTTCGGCAAATCCGATCCATCTCTTGCATCCGACCGTGGTCGGAAGATTTGCTTTGCACTTTGTGTATAAATCCACCCCGCATCCCCCCTGCATGTCTACCTAGCCTTGGAACAGAGGACGATGCATGGGTAGCAAGATCGGCAACTATCCATCTAGTTCCTAGGTCTCGAGTACGGTGTGATAGGATTAAACTAACATGGCGACTGAGAAGGCTGCCTTAGAAGGTGTGGCAGATGAGAAGGGCGGGGATATCAAGGCTAGCAATGTCATCGATGCGGCCGGAGAGGGCCAGGCTGCGACTGATCAGTATGGTCGCGTACTGATTGAGTTTGATCGTGCTGCGGAACGTCGCCTACGACTAAAGATCGATCTGTGCATTGTCCCGACCGTGGCATTGCTCTATCTATTTTGTTTCATTGACCGCGCCAACATCGGTAGGTCACCTCCATTACGGACGAACATGCGACGCAAAGCTACCTCAGATTACATGCTACTAGTGTAACCGGGCACTAACCAGAACTACAATATAGGTAACGCTAAACTCGCCGGGCTCGAGAAAGATCTGGGCCTCACGGGGAACGATTACAATGTCGTCTTGTCTATATTCTATATTTCATACATCATCTTCGAGATTCCGTGCAATATCGCGTGCAAATGGATGGGGCCAGGCTGGTTCCTTCCAGCTACTACCGTGCTATTTGGTGTTTGTTCCCTTGGAACGGCTTTCGTGCAGAATATCCACGCGGCGTCCGGAGTCCGCTTCCTCCTTGGCATCTTCGAAGCAGGCATGTTGCCTGGAATTGCCTACTATCTTTCGCGCTGGTATCGGCGCAGTGAGCTTGCATTCCGCCTCTCACTCTACATCGTCATGGCGCCGCTTGCCGGTGCTTTTGGTGGCCTCTTAGCGTCGGCAATCTTAACCCTCGACCATTTCGGCAGCCTGCGCACCTGGCGCATGATCTTCGCGATCGAGGGCATCATCACGATCGGCCTCGGCCTCATAGCCTTTGTGACTCTAACGGACCGACCAGAGACTGCGCGCTGGTTGACACAGGAGGAGAAGGACCTTGCCATTGCACGATTGAAGGCGGAGCGTGTCTCGACCACGGAGGTGCTCGACAAGATGGATCGCACCAAAACGATGCTCGGCATCTTTAGCCCAGTCACAATGGCGACGTCGTTTATCTTTTTGCTCAATAACATCACCGTCCAGGGATTGGCGTTCTTCGCCCCGACCATTGTCCGGACCATTTACCCGAACGACAGTGTTGTTTCACAGCAGTTGCACACGGTTCCCCCCTACGTGGTGGGCGCATTCTTCACTGTCCTGTTCCCCTTCCTCAGCTGGCGCTGGGACAACCGCATGGTGTTTTTCGTAGTCGCACCACCCCTCATGGTCATCGGATATATCATGTTCTTGGCCAGCACCGAGGCCATGGTGCGCTATGGTGCTACCTTCCTGATCGCATCCGGCGCGTTCGCATTTGGCGCCCTCTGCAATGCTCACGTTTCGAACAATGTAGTCTCGGATACGGCGCGATCGTCGGCGATTGGAACGACCGTCATGTTCGGCAACTTGGGCGGCTTGATTTCGACCTGGTCATTTTTACCATTCGATGCGCCAAATTATCATATTGGAAATGGCCTCAACCTGGCCACATCATCGTTAATCATCATCCTCGGGGCCTGTCTTTGGATGTGGATGAAATGGGATAACAACAGGCGAGAGAAGGTGGACATTGACCAAGCTCTGCGGGGCATGTCTCAGAGACAGATCCAGGATCTAGACTGGCGCAACCCAGCCTTCCGGTGGCGGACATAGAGTGGCGGACAGGGGGATTTTATTTTGGCCGTTTCCTTTGCGTCTCATATGGGAGTCAGATTCCATTTATGTAACGATGCATGCATAGACCCTGTCATGGCCTGCATGATGTCCGGAAAGGGATGCATGGCATCTGTTTATTGATTAGTCTGTATATTTTAATTCTACAATCGTGGCCAGTTTGAACTTGTGGCCTTGTTGCCGTCAATCGGAGCTTGATCTGAAATAAACACGGGAAGCGATTACGCAGAAACTTCCCGAGCAGACGTAAGATCCTCCAATGAAACGCCGGACAGTCCAGATGATCCTTGTGGGCAGGTCCGAATAGCCATGGGTGCTAATGTGTGTTTACTACTCCTGGTAGTTGGACATCGCGACGCGACAGGTCACGGTCTCGCCGAAGCCCTACTCGGAGACAAACCGATGCAGCACCTCCCAACAAATGACAAAGTTTTCGCGCTCATTGACCGTTTGACCTCCTGTCAATTGCCTATCAGTGCCACGGCTTCCCCATCGCGTCTTCGGATCTCATCCGTCCGTCGGCGTTTGCGTTCCTGTGGATTCTCCAGTGTCTTCTTGGCCTAATTACCCGTTGGCTATTATGCCGTAATCGGCCATGTCGGTCAGAGTCCGGCCCAGATGGCTAGCGCTGAGACGACTGCGAAACGACTGGATAGGCCGAGGAAGGCTGGGCAGGACTATGAATCCTTCGCGGGGAGGTACCTGGAAGCGAACACCCATTTTTAATGAGTATAGACCGGGCTAGCCCACACAGTCGGGAGACCCTCGCGTCCGTTGTTTTTTCAATAAGGTGGGGATGCATTACAAATTTTTTCCCATTTATTTGTCGGATACGTTACATTTCTCGTGATTAGCTTCTAGGTTAGGGTTCCTTAGCTCCACTTTCCCCAGAAAGAGCCAAAGAAATGTTGACCACCACATGTGGATCGACAGAGAGTCTGTGCTGGAGAGCCACTCAAGCCGCTCGCTTTAATGCCCCGGTCACCAGTCAGGAAAGGTCAAACATGCTCCTCCAGATCTCCACCTGCTACGCTACATCCCGCATTCCTCGTGACGTCCGGCAGACTCGTGGTGGCCTCCATTTCCCCAGGTCTGCCAAGCGGTCCGGCCGGAGAATTTTCTCGCGTTTTGGCCCCGGGTGACGCCAAATGCCTTTCGGACGTTGACCGAATCGTCCCATATCCAGCATTTACCGACAATTGCCCTGCTGGATTAGACTAGATGTGATCCAGATCCGATACCCGGGGAAAGATCCAATTTTTTTTCGGCCGTGGAACAACTGGGCCCATGTGATTAGTTGTTCATGGCAGGGATATGTACTGCAAGTAGGAGACTGCAGCGGATAGTACGAGGATGATGCATCAGACGGGAGTTCCTGTTCAAATTCAGACTTTTTTCTACGCTTTCTTTGCTTCGATCTTAGTTTCAACCTTTTTTTTTTTCGTGTGTTTTGTGGCTGAAGCAGGAGGACTTGATACGCAACAAGAACGACGCCGAGCAGGAGTTAAGAGCTAATAAGCTCTACGCGAGACTTCGGAACCTGACCGATGGACGACACACCCAAGGCTCGTGCCCTCCATGCACCCCGGCCTTAAGCACCCTTGGCGATATCCAGCTCTTGGCCAATGCAGACCCACCGGGCAGAGTTTCCTGTTGGGGTGAAAGCATCAAACTTGTTTGCTTTAGCTTTAGGGTTGAGAGTCTATGAGGTTGGCTTTTGGGTAAATGGTCGGTTATTCCGATGAATCTCCCCACGCTTTGTATCATTCCCCCCGCATTGTTCGATGTCACCACCATGTGAGAAGGACTCTCTAATGCGTGGGATCGTCTGGGGGATATAAGAAACTGGTCACCCGGCCTCCCTGTCCGTGTCACCATTGCACTGTGACCCCTCTTCTCTTTATCACTTGTGTGCTCGGTCTCCTTCCTTGACTCTCAGGCCAGATCGGTACCGAAGTCCACGCAAGTCTTTCTTTTACCACAATGGCGGGCGCAAAGAAACCCGTCAATATTTTTCAGCTCAAAAACCTGGGCGATCCCAAACAGGTCTACAACTGGAGACTATGGCTCGCCGTCGTCTCGTTCGGGCTCATGGGCGCTGCTCGAGGTGTCGATGAGGGCTTGATCTCCGGCGCCTTCAACTCCAAGGATTTCCAAAGAACCATCAACTATGATTCGTACAGTAAGGTCGAGCAGACCAACATCAAGGCCAATGTCTCTGCTATGGTCCAGATTGGCTCCGTCGGCGGTGCTCTCTTGTAAGGCTAACCATATCCGTGGCGATGCCCTCCTTACCTCGGTAACTAACTCTTTGTTCCACAGTGCCTTCTTGGTTTGCGATCGCATCGGCCGTCTCTGGGCTACCCGCCAGCTCTGTGTCCTGTGGATCGTCGGTATTGCTATCTTCATGGGAGCGAACGGCAACCTGGGTGCTATCTATGCTGGCCGCTTCGTTGCTGGTTTGGGTGTCGGCCAAACCGTTGTGGTCGGTCCTGTGTATCTTGCGGAAATCGTACGTGAAGCATAGTCCTCCATGAAGATATCATCCACTCACTATCATAGGCCCCCGCATCGGTCCGTGGTCTCTGTACCTGTGTCTTCACTGGCTTTGTCTACCTTGGTATCGTCCTTGCCTACTTCACCAACTATGGCTGCCAGGTGAACCTCGGAGATAACACACACAAGCGTTGGGTTAGTACATTAGATCCTTCACAGCGGTCGCTTGTTTCCCTAACTCTTCAATAGGAAGTGCCCACCAGTCTGCACATCATCTTCGCCGGACTGATCTTCCTCCTTTCCTTCACCCAGTATGAGTCCCCTCGCTACCTGGTCAAGAAAGGGGAGTATGAGGCGGCTCTGAAGAACTTGTCGCGCGTCAGAAATCTCCCAGAGGACCACGAGTACGTTGTCGAGGAGATGACTGCCATCCGGAACTCGCACGAGGCTGAGATGGAAGCTACGATGGGATCCGGTCCTATGGGAGTGATCAAGGAGGCCTTCCTGGTTCCCAGCAACCTGTACCGTCTGTACCTCGCCCTGATGGCCCAGCTCCTGTCCCAGTGGTCCGGTGCCGGTTCGATCACTCTGTATGCGCCCGACCTGTTCGCCTTGCTCGGCATCACCGGGTCGAACGAATCGCTCCTGATCACCGGTATCTTCGGTATCGTCAAGTTGGTTGCCGCCATCATTTGCGCGCTGTTCCTGGTAGATGTCATTGGCCGCAAGCGCTCGCTGCTTATCGGTATCACATTCCAGGCGATCTCCATGATCTACGTGGCCGGCTTCCTCACCAGTGTCCCGGAGATGGGCGTCGTGGACGACTTCGAGCTCCCGGCAGACAAGCTGGGCCCCAGCCGAGGCGCGATCGCGATGATCTACATCTCCGGATTCGGCTGGGCCCTCGGCTGGAACTCCATGCAGTATCTCCTCACCGCGGAGCTGTTCCCCCTGCGCATCCGTGCCCTCGCCACTTCCCTGGCCATGACCCTGCACTTTGTCAACCAGTACGGTAACTCGCGTGCGGTGCCGAACATGCTCCTCGGCACCGACCACGGCGGTATCTCCCCGATGGGGACCTTCTGGTTCTTCGCCGCGGTGACCATCATCGGCTGGTTCTGGGTCCTGTTCACCGTCCCCGAGACGGCCGGCCGCAGCCTGGAGACCATTGACCGGCTGTTCGAGCTGCGTGGTACAAGATCGGTCTGTACGGTGCCCGGGATGCCGAGCAGCGCGACATGATCATGTCGGATAAGGCGCAGATCGCGGAGCAGTCCAGCCATGTCGAGAACGTGGGCGACAGGGACAACGCGACGAGGGTGTAGATGGGCTGTGATGATGATATTCCCCCATTATGTTGTATGTACACTGAGATGAGTTAACATCCGCGAAACGGATATAATACCTCGGGCCAACGAACTTACGAAGCTTATTTACGAAGCTAAGAATACAATAAATTATAAGAACAATACTTCATTCCTCATAACACCCATCATCACACATTACATACATAAGAAGAGAAATTAACCCCCAAAGCCAAAACCATCTACCCCAACTTCCCAGGCAACGGAATAATCACGATCCTCGCCTTCCTCGCCGCATCCTCCCTCACCCTCTGCCCACTCCCCAGCCCAAACCCACCCCGTCTCCGATCCAAAACATCCATCATCTCCATCTCCTCCACCTCCTCAAACGGCAAATCAACCCTAATCAGCATCCCCCTTGGCTGAAAGACCTCCCCATTCCACCGCTCAATCACAGCCCTCAGCTCCTGGCTCCCAAGAATCATGTTCTTCTCCTCCCGACTCCGCTGCGCCCGTCGGGCCACATAATACGCCGGTATGGCGCCCAGGAACCCGACCATGAGCCCGCCGATAGCCATCACGCCGAGGCCCTTCCCGATGGCCGTGGTCCATTGTTTGCGGCTCATCCGTGCGGTGGTCGTAACCTCCGATGTGAACCTTTCCCAGTCGGCGGGTGAGATGTCGTACTGGGCGAGGAGGGGCGGGTATGTGAAGCCTGAGGTCGGATAGGCGGATTTGGAAGGGATTTGCAAACCGCGAGTGAGGAGGGTCTCTGGGGCGAGGTTTCGCGGGGTGATTGTCGATGAGGTTTCGGAGCAGTTGGCGCTTGGGGTGTAGGGTGGTGGGTCCATTTTGCGATAGGGTTGTTAGTTTACTTTATGGCAGTGCAGTATACTGAAGTAATTATTATTATTCTTTGCAACACAACATCCGCCAAGCAGAGTATAGAATTTCAAAATGATTATCCAAGATTGACACTTACACACAAACACCCTCCCACACTTACCAAATTTATACCCACAGCCACACATCAGCGTATCACAACATGACGTGTGAATCATTCCAGGCATCCACGAAACCCACGACATCCATATCTCCCTAAAGCCCCAATACTACCTCGTCACAACCCATCCTGTCCATACCCAATTCGTCCCCCGAAAAAGGCAATCATGAAGCTTGGTTGATCTTGACAGCGCGGCTGAGCCGCCCTGACCCCCCTGTTCCGCTCGTTCTAGAACGGCTATGACCTCATCAGGATCGACTAGGCAGTGATTTTAATGGTGTTGTTTAATGGAGCGTTGCGCGTGAGTCAGGGATCTGCAAGGCTTTTAATTTATATTTATTGGACTGTTGTGGTTTGGGGTTCTAGATTCTGGGAGTAAGGCCGAGGTACGAGGAGGTCATCGGGGTGACTCAGGCTACAATCATTTTGCGTAACGAACTACCTACTAGTACGGTGAGGTGATTGTTTTGAGGGCTTTGTTGGGTCATTGGACGCTTTGTGGCTGACGGCTGTCGTTATTGGTGGAATGGAGAGAGGGACAGGGGTGCTTGATAAGCTTCTCGTGATTTACGAGATACGAGGTGATTACTAGGTAATAATGTCGCAGACTTCTGGGACCTAACTACAAGGTGGGTTTTCATGACAACCTTCTATACTCATTCCTTCCCATTCATGCTTTGTCTTTTGGATGGTGAACAATTGCCTAGAGCATAGCTTTGCCGATTCCGGTAAGTACCCCTTAGTCTGAAGTGAATTGTTCTTCTCGTGCCTGGGTCCTAGTAGTTATGCAAGGAGTGTTTGGACCTCTTTTCCTTGGCCTTGCCATATACGCCAGACTTCAAACCGACGAGAAACCTTTTCGGATCCATCCGATCTAATAATCTTTAGGTCTGAGCGACGACTGAGTTCGATGCACTTACAGGAGACGGATAGCCACCAGCTATAGAAACCACTATATCAAGTGTGCTGCTCATTTTGGCCAATGTCTTTCCGGCAATAAGCCATGGTCAGAACTGAATATGCCGCTGGTCGGCCGCCATGGTCTCATGGTCCAGATCCACCAGATCTGCAGCGGATAGCGATTGGGACCAGATACACCATCAGTTCCGGCCCCCTTGCATTATCGGGCACTTCAAGAGCGATTGGATCAGGCCCTGGTCTTTTATGGCACACGGCTGCTTCGTGAGACAGTATTCAAGATTCACAAGCGGAAAAGACTCCGAAAAGTTATGGTTTTATTCAAAAGGCCACGTACTGAGTACATACATCACATCCTTGACCAGTCAGATTTATTCCATGCTGTTTGTGACATTGACTCGTTCAGAATCGCTACCAGCTAGGAAGCCCTACATGTCATTCCTGTCACACCGACAATCCCAGAGAACAGAAAGAATGAAGGGAGTAGGCATTGAGGGATCTGATTTGACAGATCTTATCTCCGCGTCACGACACAATCTGGCCACATGACCGCCACTATAAATACGGAAGCTAAACCAGATGTGGGGAAGAGCAAACAATCTCCCTGGACGTCTTGACCTTCTCCTCATCCTCCCATCTCCACACTCAACAGCTCCCCATTCAGTCTCTATCAGTCCAATAACACCTTATAATCATGACGACTCGGTACCGCGTTGAATGTGAGTATCGGCTTAAACCCCATTGGAATCTGTGAACGCTTCGCTGACGAATCCTACTGATGCTCTTAAGGTATGACGCACATCGGCTCCGCGGTCCATGGCGCTAACTCGACCAGTCGCATCGTCGCGACCAGTTGATAGAATGGGTCAAGGGCCTTCTGGCTGTTCCATTCGTCCTGCATTCACAACCTACTGCTGTCTACCAGGAGCATGGCGAGAACCTCGTCGCCATTGCGGCCGATACCCATCAACGTTATGCGGAGATCTTCCGGGATGTTGAGAATCTCATGCGCGATCATAGTACTCCTCTCCTCCATTGACTCAGTCACAGCACAGTACCTGCCCGATTAGCCCGTACTGACTCAAGATAATCCAGTCCACCATCAAGCAACGGGAGCGCCCGGTAAATCGAAGCTCAATCTCCTAGTGCCAACCGTTGGCTCCTTCTTCACACCCCTCCCCCTCGAAGACGCCTTCAAGTACCAGGACAGTCAACGCTTCATCAGCCGGCGTCGCTTTGTTGCCCCGTCCTTCAATGACATCCGCCTCATCCTCAACTCGGCGCAGCTCCTGGGCCTCTTTCGCACCTCCGGCCTCGATCTGGTGACCTTCGACGGAGATGTCACCCTTTACGATGACGGCGCTTGCCTCACCGACGACAACCCCGTCATACCCCGCCTCATCCGTCTCCTCCAGCAAGGCCGCAAAATCGGCATCGTCACGGCCGCTGGCTACACCGAAGCACCCAAATATTACGAACGTCTGAAGGGTCTCCTCGACGCCGTCCACAACTCGGACGTCCTCACCCCGGCCAACCGCGACGGTCTCGTAGTCATGGGCGGTGAAAGCAACTTTCTCTTCCGCTACGACCACACCTCCCCCGATAAGCTTGCCTACGTCCCCCGTGAACAATGGTTGCTCGAGGAGATGCACTCGTGGCAGGATTCGGACATCACGCAGCTTCTGGACATCGCTGAATCCTCCTTGCGCGCTTGCGCCAAGAATCTGAACCTCCCCGTCGCCGTGCTGAGAAAAGATCGTGCCGTGGGCGTGTATCCCCTCGATCGGACGAAGGTTACCCGAGAACAATGGGAAGAGACGGTCCTGGTTGTCCAAAACACTGTCGAGCGATCGGTCGTCGGTACTAGGCTGCCCTTCTGCGCGTTCAACGGTACGTTCCCCTTCTACTCCCGTACATCCCCAGTTTTACTTCCTCCTTCACTGCAGACCTGGCTGACAATAATGGAAAAGGCGGAAACGACGTATTTGTAGACATCGGCGATAAATCCTGGGGTGTGCGCGCCTGTCAACAGTATTTCGGCGGTATCGACCGATCCCGTACTCTCCACATTGGCGACCAGTTCTTGTCGGCTGGCGCCAATGATTTTAAGGTTCGTTACCAACACTGACAAGCTGCATTGCATCTATACTCATGTGTTCATCTTAGGCACGATTGGCTTCGACAACAGCCTGGATCGCTAGTCCGGCGGAAACAGTCCAGCTTTTGGATGAGTTGGCGATTATTGAGAAATAATCTGTCTTCATTCATTACATATTTTCACGTTTATTGTTCTATTCTTCTCGGATTTTTGATTTATAAGCATTACGATTTCTTAGTTTTGTTGTCACTGTTTGTTGGTTTCGGGTTCATTGAGCGAGAGTAGGTTTGTCTAGGGGTTTGCATGATTTGCTGGATATACATTACATGAATTACGCCATATAGGTTCGGATACGATGTTTATTAATGCGGACAGCTATGAGGAGCGATTTGAATAAGGGAGATCATAATTTTCATTCAATATTCCTGTTTGTCATGATACATACGTAGCAGCCATCACTACATCTCAAGTTTCGTTTTGTTCTTTCTGGCCAGGTATGTAAAGAGGGAAAACGATTAGTCTTCCCACTGGCCATGGATTCTAACCACCCAACTCATTAACGCCTTTAACTGTGCAAGTTCTTGTTCTTATTCCCACGTTTAACAGTTTTCGTAGCAAGACCAGCTGGACTTGCCCTCGCCGAAACTGGTGCGACCGGCCAGAATGTTGACGGTGTCCTGCAACTCAAGCCAAAATTCGTGCTTGGGGCGACGGCGGGCCCAGTCGGTCTCGGTCGCCTCCAAGCCGTTGGCACCGCCCATCGGGGAGAAGAGCACCTGAGATCCCTTGACACCGATGACGGTCGCAGAAAGCTCGTCGGCGGCAATCTCCTCGGCGGACTTGCCAGAGAAGCCTTCGATGTGCTGCATGCATCGGATGGCCATGCGCAGGGCGCGGATTCGGTCCATCGGAGAGGGCTTGCCACCCTGCTGGAAGTGACCGGGGACCGCCGCACGCGACTCGAAGCGGCCCTTAGCTTCTTCCTTGATCATGTCGGCGATGACCTGTGTGGTGTAGGTGCTGGAAGCGGTCTCGTTGCGAAGAATGATCTTTCCGGCGCGGTTGGCACCCTTGTCGTGGGCGAAGTTGTTGCGCAGGAAATCGATATCGCGCGCCAGCATCTTGATATCGATGCCTTCCTCCGGGATGTACACGGCCGAGGCACCCACCGCGAGACCAGCACTCGTGGCGATGTAACCGGACTTACCGCCCTGCGTTTCGACGACGAAGACACGGCGGCGGGAGGACGACGCGGACTGACGGATAGCGTCACAGAACTCGATCAAAGTGTTCAGGCAGGTGTCGCTACCGAGGGAGTATTCGGTACCTGGGACGTTGTTCGAGATGGTGGCCGGCAAGACGACCATGGGGATCTTGAAGGCCGGATATTTGTCGCGGGCCTGGCGCAATTGGCTCACAGCGGTGAAAGCCTCGAAACCACCAACCACAAACAGACCATCGAACTTGAACTTTTCGAAGCACATGGCAGTGGTCTCGAAGTCCTCAGACGGCAGGCTCCGGTTGGTTCCGATATCTGAACCACCTTCGTTGACCCAAGTATCCTGCTCCTCCCAACTAACCTGGCGCACAGAGCTAAGGGGGCTGTCTGCATGGTGCCGGCAGAGGCCGGGGAAACCGTTATGAACGGCGAGGGCCGTGTGTCCACGAGTCTGGCAGTAGGCGACGGCAGCGCGGGTGGCCTGGTTCATACCTCCGGCAGGGGCACCGACATGGATAATGGCAATGCGCATCCGCTATAAGACATTAGCTTGATTTTCACACACACGCTTGGCGCATGACATACCTTGTTTTCTGGGAGGATTAGCTTGGGGTGGTCGGGGGTGGCAGTGTTCTTGTAGGCGAAATGGTATTCCTTGAATTCGGAATCGCGCAACTGCATAGCCTCCTCGAACTTGCGCTCATGGATAAGGTCGGCGACCTCCTTCGTGGCCTTGACTGCATCCATCAACGGCGTGCGCAGCAACTTGTTCTCGCGGATGGTGATGACTGGGGACGGAGAGTCTGGAGTCATATCCAAAACGGCGCGAACGGCTTCCACGCCCTGTAGGGTCGAGAGGGAACGGTCATAGGCGCATGCTGCTCCTCCACGTTGAGTGTGACCCAGGACGGTGCACCTAGTGTCCAGATCAAGTCGGTTGGTCAGAATGTCCTTAATCTTGCTGCTGGTGATCTTGTTGAGTTGGCGGTCATGAGCGCCCTCGGCCACAATGACGATCGTCCTCCGCTTGCCTCGCTCCTGACGGTTCTGTGGGACATAAAGTTAGCATGTGGATGATACGGCTAATTCTATGATCCCGCGATCACTTACCTTAGTGATGATAGAGCACATGTCATCCTCCCAGCTCGCGGGGTGGCATCTCGGGGATGAAGAGCCAGTCGGCGCCAGTACTGATAGCCGACATCAAGGCCAACCAGCCACAATGGCGTCCCATAACTTCAATGACAAAGCCTCTCTGGTGGGAATAAGCGGTATCGAAAACGTCGTCGACCGCATCACAGATGCGGGTGAGGGAGGAATAACAGCCGATGGTAGCGTCTGTGCCGGACATGTCGTTATCAATCGAGCCCACCAGGCCAACTATGTTCAACACCTTGTAAGGGACAATCTGCTCCTCGGTCAATTCGCCCGTCTTGACCAGTTCTTCCAGCAAACCAGGCCATTCGGAACGGAAGAGGTCGGCACCAGTCAAACTTCCATCACCACCGCAAACCACCAGGGCATCAATACCCCGGGTAATCATGTTCTTAGCGGCCTTCAGGCGACCGGCACGTTCCCGGAAAGCCATGCTACGAGCCGAACCGATCAGGGTACCACCCCGGGAGAGCCAGCCACGGACATCTTCCCAGTGTACCTGACGGATCATATCTCCGCCATAGACCAGACCTTCGTAACCTTCGTAGACGGCATAGGCTTCACACCCAGAGTAGATAGCCATCCGAACCACAGCGCGGACGGCCCCGTTCATACCGGGAGCATCACCGCCAGAGGTCAAGACACCGATGCGGCGGCGCTTGGCAGGCTCCGCGGAGGCGTGTGTCGGAGCCATCATGCAGATGATGGTCTATTAGAGAACTATAGGTGAACAATAAGAAGTCAGGACAATGATTCGATCTACTGAGTGACAAACAAAGGGGGTCTGAATGGATAGTGGAACAGTTGAGGTTTAGATAACTTTTGTGACGGTGGGGGGGAAAGAATTCCGGTGAGAAAAAGCGGGAGTGGGCAACGGTACGTCACTGACTGGAACTAGATAAGAAAGTGAAACTAAACTCGATCGTCGATTCAGTAGCAGTTCGAGTGTTATATCACCGACTGTGGGATCCCCCTGCAGGTAAAACTGGCAGACAGTATTCCTGTATTGCTGATCTCCACGTGTTTCCTGTCAGTTCACGCAGTTTCGGCGGGTTGCTGAGGGATTGAGACGGTCTAAACTACAGGTCAGGAAACACACTTATTGTCACTGATGTCACTGACATTGCCCGTTCGGGCCAAGCGTCCGGAGCTATCACGTGATAGCCCCTCTAGGGCAGGGCTTGGGCCAGCACGTGTGGCGGCTGACTGCTCTCCGTGGTGGAGAGTGACGCCATCTAACGGTCAGAATGGAACCTTTGGAGTATCAAACATCTGAACATCTCCTCATGTTCTACGGTCTGGTTGGCTATAGGCACTACTTCTCTCTTCAATTACTTCAAACTTGACCCGGCGAATACTTCCAATGGCTCCATTTTTATGATATCAGGCCACAGAGGTCAGGATATCCAGTCTTACCATATGGGTCGACACAACTTGCCTACCCCAATCGTGAGAAAAGCAACAATCAACTCCGTTCGCTCTTGGGCTGGGGAAAGGCATCAGTGATTTATGGCACACACAGATAACATGCAGTCTCGTAAGATGAGTCCATCTAATCTATTGAGTCTCAATGTATATTACTTGACCCTTAAACGATCCTATATACACAACAATGTCAATTAAAGCTGTTCTCCCGAGCTCTATAGTTCAGGAGCTGTTTTGTCTACCGGTCAAGAGCTCCACTTCAACTATGCCTCTTTGGGCCACTTTTGTAAAGTAAACAAACATGCGATTATGCCACCTGTAAAGAGAAAAAAAGGGTTGTATACGCTGGTAAACCAGGTGAAGCAAAGATTATTAAAAATGCTCCTTGATATATGTGCTGGTTGCAGAGCAGATCTCGTTGTGAAATACATATGTGCTGTCGAAGTATTTACCACAAGGAACCGATATATATTCCGGCATAGTACAGAGCATAGGTAGCAGCTCACTTCTACCCCACCCGGATGACAAACAATTCTATAATGTTAGCTTAAATGACCAGTAAGAATGACATTTCAATGATAGAAATGATGTATACTATCACGAAGATTGCTGCTTTAAGGGCTACACAACAATGTGACTCCATTGACCAAACCGGGTCACGTGCCAGCGCCGACTCACCGCGTTGCCGGCAATCTAATCAACACCAGCTCTCCAAAGTCAATCTTCAGTACCCCGTCTTTTCTGATCCAAGCTCTGCCGCAGCAGGGTGACAACCGGCGTCATGTCCGATTCCTTTAACCTCCCTCTTCGTCCCTTAACAGAGAAGCGCGAACGTCCAGATCCGCTTCCGGTGGAGATTGCTCAGATTAATGCCCAGTATGGTTCCTTTCGCGATGTCACCGAGGACAGCCTCCGGGCCAAGATCGAAGCCGACAAAAACAAAGATCCATGGTCCGACGAAGAGGAAAACAATAACACATCTGCCGACGAGGATACAACGGAGCGTTTAGATCAACTGTATAAGCGTCGGGCGGCTATTACCCAATTCGCCCAGTAAGCTTCACCCATACGGAGGATATCTCGTGCGCTAATCGCCTGCAGCCAGGCCCATATGGAAGCCATGTTCGCCCTCGACTTTGTCTCCCTTTTACTTTCCAAGCATACTCCTCGGCAAGCCGAAATGTCCATGTCCGCATACCTTAAACAAGTTGCGCCCCTCGGATCGCTAAATTCGGAAATTGTCAATCCACCGCCGAAGCCCGAGTCAGCGGCCAGAGACACCAAGAACGTTTCGCGTGGGTGGCGGCTGCAAAACTTTAACGCGGCGGCGAGCAAATTACTCGACTCCGCGACCAGACTCGAAGCCGAAGTCACCTCGGAGACCAAGTATTGGAATGAAGTGCTGGCGGTGAAGGAAAAGGGATGGAAGGTGTCTAGGCTTCCCCGGGAAAGACAGGCCCTTGGGGTGCAATATGGCTTTTTAGAAGGTGAGATAGATTCACGTTTCTGTATCGTCTGTACACTGACAGTTATAGCTACACCAATCTTCCGCGACCGGGGCTTGGCAGCTCTGCGACGGACTAACGACGGAAGCTTGATACTAGACAAAGGTTTAATTCCACTCAAGGCGCGGACAGTGCGCGTGCGTGTGAGGAGTCGTGGCCAAATCACAGGGTGCTCCAAACACCGACTGGCTTTGGAGAACACGGAGTCAATTGAGAGTCGTATCCTGCAGGCGCGTGATACGGTATACGAGGAGGAACTGTTTCATGAACTGGTACGTGAGGCAAGAATACTGGGCAGCCAGGGGGTCACGACACGTCAGAACCTAGTTCAGTTCCCAGTGTCGGAGGAGCAAGAGGTCTTGCTGGATCTTATCGATGACGATCAGATGTCGCCTGGAGATGAAGCAGTGTCTGATGAACATGCTGTGGTGGCAGACGCCCTTGGCCATGCAATCCGTATCCTGCTCGCCTACGCCCATCGCCAAAATCTACGCCGAAGGACACAGCTTCCATCTCCACTAACCCCCAAGCGCCGCCAAACCCCGGAATACCAGCTCCTCCGACCGGTCATGGCATATCTGCAGCATAGCTCACATGTGCGATGGTTGGAGTCGTTGTTAAACGATATAAACCAAATTTTGAAGTCTGCTGGGATTCGTCTGATTTCACAGCGACTCCCTTCTCGTCACTCAGTTTGCAGCGTACCATCAGTGGACTTCCAAAAGTAGAGGCTCTGGTCCAAGAGTTTTTGTTGCCCTACGAGTCGACATTTTCTGCGCAAATGGCCACCCCTCAAAGCTCATTTCGGGTCAAGGTTCGCACCAACGTCACGACACCACCGCTCGGCACTCACTACGAAATTTCAGTCAACATGCCTCAGTATCCCGATGTCCGCCCGCCGAACCGCATCGGCTTGCAGGATGAGGCAGCCTCTGTACTCACGCATTTCGTGCTGCTGGACATCCTTACAGCCATCACTCACGCCAAGGGCTTATCCGTAAATGGTGTCAAGCAAGAGACAGGTAAACTGTTGACTTGGCAAGCAGCGTATCCACATAATGGCGAGTTACTCGCCCTCTCTAGCGCCGGCCAGTGCAAGAAAATGAAAGTGAGCTTATCGCGACATGAGCTAAGTGTGCGAACATACTCCATGCGGGGAATTGATGGGTTTGGCAAACCGGCTGCGGAAAAAACGCCGGCCATGCGCTCGCAGACATGGACGTCCGATGGCACTCCCGGCCAGCCTAGCCTGATGGACTTTATCGCTGAAGTATCCAAGGAGTAATGCGAAGATACTAGTTGATCGAAGTGAGAGAAAACAAAACAACCGGGCACCCCTCTAAAGAAGGGCAAATTAAAACTTCCTCTATTCATTGCATGAGCTCGGCACAGATACTAGGCTGGCACACTAATATACACAGATCAGCTTCAGCAACTCCATTCCAAGATGATATGCATTTGGTGACTTGGAACGCCGCTGTCATAGATAGTAGCATCAAGCATTCAACTCGAAAGATTCGATTGCATGGTCCAGCGTCAGTGGCTCTTTCAGCCGTGTCTCATGAATCCCGTACGCCTTTGGCAACCACGCACTCGAGTCTTTTCCCATCATTATTTTTGCCAACGCTTCTCCAGCCAGCAAGCAGTTGGCCATGCCATATCCATTAAATGCAGCAGCGACGTATTCCCCTTCGCCCTGCCGTCCTGTCATTGAGGTTTCCGCACGTCCGACAACGGGAAGACCGTCTGCGGAGAAGCCCATAATTCCACTCCATCCGCCGGCTAACCTCCACTGTTCCGCTCCGTCGTAGCCAAGGAAATGTGGCAGCTTCTCTTGTAAATGCCTGATGGAGCCTTCCTCGACCTGGCTGTCGTCCGATGATAAACAATGGTCGATTCGTGTGTCCTCTCCGCCGAAAAAGAAATACCCTGTTTTCGTGTTTTGCATGAGATAGTACAAACCAGCAGCATACCTCCTGGACTCTTTGTCATATATAACCGGATAATGGAAACCCCACGAGAGATCGCCACCGCGGTTGAGCATGATACTGCCTGCGTCTTGCACCGTCATCGTTCCCTTGAAGGGATAGACTGGGCCACGGAGTCCCGGGAGTAAATGTCCTGCATGGCCATTGGTACAGTGCGCGATCTGAGTTGCGCGCAGAGTTCCTCGGGGTGTATGCAGGATATACGGGTGGGAAGGGTTCGTCGTATCGGAAACGATAGAAGTAACGGGAGTCTGCGTTTCAATATTCAACCTATGCCCGTACTTCTCCACGAGACAGGCAAAAATCTCTGTCACAAGCCGGTAAGGCCAGATGGTCCCAGCAGGAAGCAGAGCACCCCCAGCGCCGTCCAGATGATACTCCCTCTAGACATGTTAGACGCCATGAAAACCATACCGACACTCAATCCAACCAAAGTACATACCTTTAACACCTCTCTATCAAGAACCGTATAAACCCCTTTTAAATCCGGTAAATCCCTCTCCAGAGCCTCCACACTCCTTTTAAACCTTTCAAACCCACGCTCCTCCAGAAAGACCCTCACCTTCACCAACTCCTGCACCTGACTCTCTTCTACTGCAAACCTCCGAACCAACTCCCTCATCCTCCGTAAATTCTCAAACGTAAACCGCACAATCTCCCCCGTGCCCTCTCTTCCAAACGCCTCTACCAAATGCAAATACTCCTCCCCTGCATTCGCAGCCAATTGACCCCCATTCCGGCCCGTTGCACCCGAGCATAGCGACCTAGCCTCCAGAACCGTAATAGTAAGATCCGGATGGTCATCTAGCAGAGTAAGCAGCACAGAGAGACCGGTTATCCCGGAGCCAATGATCGCGACATCGGTTTTTCCCGGCGGAGAAGGGGACTGCGTATTGCTGAGTGGGTGTGGTGGGGATTGCCAGTATGAAGACGTTGGGTTGGGTTTCGGGAGGCCTGGGTCTTGGGTAAGGAGGGCTTTGAGGGCTGGAGATTGCATTTCGGATTCGGTTTCTGGATTCGTTTGTTTCGTTTGTTTCGTTCGAGGTATGGGTTGTGTTGGGGATGAGGTTGTTATCTGATGGTTATGTAACTTTTATTAAGAGGGGAGTGTGGGGTTGAGTTGATTGATAGGATAAATCGTATGCGGGGAATTGATACGATATGATATCGGATCTCGGGTCTGGATTCTTGGTAAATAGAGAGATGGGCTGGCTTGATGATCTCTGCTGCTTTTATTGAGAGTATTCATTCTATGTCCCAACTTGGATGCCTTGTAGGGCACGTGTCACAATTTAACCCTGAGAGACGGATTTTGAAGGGTTATGATCCCTCTGATACCATCGTGGTTCTGGACGATGCGTATCTAGTGCAAATAGCTGGCTGGGATAGGGAAATTTAGATGCTACTCGTAGAAACTTTGGTCAGGTTCTAGGATTGTACTTTCATGAGAATACTACGAGAACACTATCAACACGACAGACTATCATAAAAGATACAAATTCAAAAGCAATACACTAACAGCTCAGCCGACGAAATTAACCTTACTTTCACAATGCAGTTGGTGAAACATGATTGGTCCGCTCGAATATCCGAGGTTAAACATGAACGCGCCAACGTCACGGATCATACATACTGCATACTCACAACCATAGACAAGATCAAAAAAGAAAATCAATATACACAATGCTACTCCGACGCACACCCTTCAGACCCCTCATTCAATCTCTTCTATCAAGCAGAGCACACCTCTCAACCCACACCAAGCCCCAAAAAAGCCTCCCAGCGGCCTACTACCGCGGCGGAACCTCCCGAGCCGTAATCTTCAAAACCGAAGACCTCCCTACCGACCGCTCAGCATGGGATGAGATCTTCCGCCGCGTAATCGGCAGTCCAGACCCCAATGGCCGACAACTGGATGGGCTCGGCGGCGGCATATCAAGCCTATCCAAGATATGCATAGTGGGCAAATCCACGACCCCGGATGTCGACATCGACTATACATTTGTCTCTCTCGGGGTCAAGAACACGCACGTCGACTACTCCAGTAACTGTGGGAACATGATTAGCGCAATTGGTCCCTTTGCGGTCGATTCAGGTCTATTCCCAGTTAGCCCCGATGGACATGAGGATGTCGAACTGCGCATCCTGAACACCAACACGGGAAAGGTCATCCGATCCCGGTTCCCCGTGGTGGAAGGCGAAGCTGCGGCCTCGGGTGAGTTCGCCATCGATGGCGTTGCTGGAACTGCAGCGAAGATTCAGTTGGATTTCTTGGATCCCGCCGGGTCGAAGACGGGGAAGTTATTCCCTACGGGCAAGGTAGTTGATGAGTTTGACGGCGTGCGCACGACGTGTATTGATGTCAGTAACCCGTGTTGCTTTGTTCTTGCGTCCGAGCTAGGCGTGGAGGGGAATATCACGCCTGAGGAGATCGATGCCGATCCGACGCTTTTGGGTCGATTGGATTCCATCCGCAGACAGGCTGGTGTTGCCATGGGCCTTGCTGAGACGGCTGAGTCTGTGCCCGGGAGTGTACCGAAGATCGGGCTTGTTGCTTCTCCAGCGATGAATGCGCGGGCGTCAGAGCAGGGACAGACGCAGGCGGATGTGGACTTGCTGGTTCGGGCGCTGTCGGTGGGTCAACCGCATAAGGCGGTGCCCATTACCGTTGCTTTGGCGTTGGCAGCTGCTGCTCAGGTGTCGGGGAGTGTTGTGGCCGGGGTGACGAGTGGGAAGGCGGTTGATCCGGCGGGGATTACGCTGGGTCATGCTAGTGGGAAGTTGGTTGTTGGGGCTGAGTTTGGGTCGGATGGGAGTTTGAGCCATGCGACTGTGTTTAGGACGGCGAGGAGGTTGATGGAGGGGAGGGTGTTTTGGAAGAGTTAGGGCTTTGTGGGAGTGTTATGGGATGAGGTGGGTATGTTGCGTTCTGTACATTATTATGCATATGGCAGTGATAGTTCTGGTTATATCTGATTGTTAGTGAGGGAGGCATGTCTTGAAGTTGCAGCATTAGAGGCCTTCCTCAAGCTATCGACTACTGGTTCGTCTCTAGTTATGATGTTGAATGTAAAATATGGATCAATTCAAGTCCAAAGTTCCGTCTCAACAGCCTAGCTAAACGATCATACAAGAAAGACCCATACAGACAGCCAACGCATAAAATCAAAGAGACAACAAAGTGAAGCAACGTCCCACAATTTGCTAATAGATATAGGCATAAAGATGAACGAAGGGTTGCACGACACGTTGTCTGCAAAGATCAGGGTGAGAACAGCACGCGGCCGATGGCCTGCAGCATACTACTCCCTCTGTTGCACTTTTGAGGCTCACCACATCTGGCAGTTGAAACATAAAAATAGGAATGGGACTGGAAATAACAAAGAGATCTGTTGCATGTTTTGTATCGGAAAAGGTGACTGAAACCGCATCAAAGAGAAAGAATCTCACACATGTTCCCGTTATTCCGAGTTACTCATTCCCCTCATTCAGACTAACTGAGCTCTTGTTGGAGGGAGGTTTTTTCTGATTCGGTTTCTTGCAAAGCTTCATCTGCACATACTTCTTGCGCTGCGTCCATCTGATAAAATTTTGATGCGTGTCTTGTTCCTGAATCGAACGCTCTTGCTTCCAGTCACTCTTTTGCTTTCTCATATACTCTTCGTAGTACGCGTTCTTATGGCCTAAATCACGTAGTAACTGATCCCAAGTAGCAGTGTTGTCGGCATTTTCCCCATAGTAATTGACGATGTCTTCGATGGCCTTAAAGAAGACTGAGGCAGAATCGGTGTCGATATTGAGACACAACCGGAGAATCAAAGACTCAGTATGTCGTGCTAATGTGAGAACTTTTGCCGTACTCTGTGTTCTGCCCACCCGAAGGGTGTCATTATGATTTTCAGAAGAGCCCCTGGCATCACTGCCGGAAGAATTTGGCAGGCAGTCATCAGTCACAAGTACGTAGTTAGAGTTTTCAGGTTTAGGATCATTCGGTATCTGGGTAGGCAAGTCCGTGAAAACTGTTGGCATTCCGTGAAGACTGATACTCGTCTCCACAGACCCAGGCTTGTCTTCTTTAATGTGAAAATGATAAGCAGGTAGAGGCTGCAGATAGCATGAATTTCCATTGTCGCACGGATGCAATGACGATTCATATAGCTTGTAGATTTGTTTACATGCATCCTTTATCTTATGATCGGAAACTGCTATTTCAACAATCCCTATTCCGATGTGCTGTCAACTGTTAGCCTTTGAGCAATTGTTATGTCTCGATGATCCGGGTCACTTATAGGAGGGGAGCGGAGCCCTAGATGGTAAAGCTGTGCGGTGCGGCCACATATCACATTTCGAATGTCAAATCCATCGAGATGGCTTGTAATCTCCTCAGCAATTTCGCGCGTGTCCATTTTGGACCGTTGGTGATAAACTCTGTTGGAGACTTGCTGGCAGATAGGAAGAGACTGGTTTCGTCTGATGTCACGGTGGAGCGAAGGCCTTTAAGTACCATTTTCGACCTGAGTGTGGGATTTGCCAACAATCATCATGCTTTATGTCTTCTGGAAAATGACATGGGTACTTAGCAATATCTCAGTCATCTTTGTGGAAGTTGCCAGCGGCAATGGTTTCATCCACAAAGACCCGGGAGACACCAAAGCAAGCAGGGAAATTCCTTTGTCCGCATCGATGGCTTGAAGAAAATTGCCACAGAGATGGGTAGTTGAACACTGGAGGGTACTGGATTGTAGGCTCAGTTTATAGAGAGTTCCAGAGATAGGTACTACGGTCTTTAACAGGCTTAAGAACCCGATTTCGTATTTTTCATAATGGATAGAAAGCTATGCGAGGAGGCTTTACCTCCTGACAGGACACCGTGTAAGCTCCAAAAGGCAGCTTACGAAGAAATGATCTAAGATATGTTGAACTTCCACCTTTTCCCCGACTTGTCATTTGGTCATCAAGATAAAGAAACTGAGAGATCTTGCTAAGAATCGGTAGTATTGAGCCTATCTCGATGAACCGTTTTGCAATAGTGTGTACTAATCGGAACGCCCTGTAGTATCCTCCCCATGCTATAAAAGCTTCTTAAAAACAGCAGACACCTCTGATCGCACTACTTCCCCCCGATTAAGCACCTCCAGACATACAAGATACTTCCGATCCAGCCCACTTTTTAGATCCTCCCATCGGTAGCTTTTTATGATCTGGCGCGTATAGTAATCCAAATCCTCCCTCTGTGCCACTCTCAGCTCCTCAGGTTCGCGCGAGCATATAGTGCGAGCTAATGCAATGAGTCTGGTCTCGATAAAGTGATGCAGTTTGAACATCCTCACACCTTGGAGACTGGATTCCCTCCCAGCCATATGCGTAGAGTAGAGATGAACGGTCACCGACTGGCTATGATGTGAGATAGACCAAGCCTGTGGAAGCACTGACACCGTATAGAGGTTCAGACTGATGCCTCCATCTGCATGGAAATGATAGTCGGGAATGCATGCGGAATGTTTGAAATGCTCGACCAGACAGCCCTTTGACATTTGCTGGTGTAAACTTTTGTTGGGACATTCCTTGAAGTCCGAGCCCTGGAGCGCTTTGATCGCCTCTGGCAAATCTGATACGATCCACTCAATAACCTATGGCAACTCTTAGCTTTGAATGGCACGCAATTATTTTGTATGTACGTGGTGGTATGCTCACCTTACAGGCCTTGAAATGCTCAACGTCCCCAGGGACATAGTCTTGATACGCAGTTGCTCCCCATGCGAAATTTGCGAATCCCGCAGGATTAAAAACGTCCGCAACCTTCTGGATTGAACCTACAGACATGTTTGCTCCTGAGGACTAATCAACTGTTCTGTCTTAAACTAAGTCAAAGGGACGACACTTGACATTTAATACTTCCACTCGACACGGGATAAAACTTTGAACGGCTTATTCCTGGTAAGGATGTCGAGAATGGAAGGTCACTTTCTTATCATGTACGGTTTAACCCGGCAATACTGACTGAGCACAAGCAATGGATAATAGGAACTTCCCACTCATACTAGGATGAAGGCGACTTTAGCGGCAATGGCCACTATGATAGAAGTATTCGTGGCTGGTACCGTCTTTCATTCTGGACACAGGGAGATGCCAGAGCGCTTACAATGACCAGCAGGAGAACCCCTTTGTCTGACCAGGCAACTCACGGGCAAGTTGGCATGAACCAACCGGTCCGGGACTTTGAATCGATACTTCGCTCCAAAGCAAGGGCTGATCATGTGAAGATTACATATAGAATATGAGAGCCGTGAAACTGAGGCTGAAAGTAACCACTATCGCAGCCGTTGGTGGCCGCATTGGCACCGTGACTCCCAACTTCTATGGGTTTTGCACCACTATTCTTCTTTCACTGTTGTTGTTCCATATCTACATCTTGCTCTCTAGTCCTTGAATTAGTTTATCATATCGCGAATAGTGTAAAAGGAGTATATCTTTCTGATTGTTTAACCTGGTTTTCTCGATGATATCCCCCCTTGTTGTTGCTTCTAAATCTAAAAAGTATTTAAGATAATGAGACAGACGAATACTAAATAGATCCTATGTCGAGTATAGTTTCTGCAGCTAGCATAACTACTTCTAGTGCTGCTGCAGCCTACTGGCCCAGTACCTCTGAATAGAGAATATCTCAGCCACATCATCTATTGGGAGAGTTATATTAGATTTACAGGTCATTATCGTTGTTTCGTAAGTCACAATATCCTAGGTAACATAGTTTTTACATGTACTTCTAGTCCTTTAGCAGCACAATGAACAAATAGAAAAACTCATATTAAGGTAAAATTAAACATTATGTTCCGATAGTAGCATGTTGAATGTTGGAAACCAAACCAAACCCTTTGCCATCAGATTAGTGCACTCGCCTCTGCTTCGGCATTCCACACGAATGTCGATCAGAGGAGAGGGCTTGGCCTTATTTGCGTCTTTTTGGCCTCAAAGCTCTCGTCACATCCTCAATGCACTTCTCGAACTTGGCCCTGTGGGATTCCTTGTCTCTGTTGTCGGTAACCAGGTACAAAGCCTTCCAATTGTTCAGCCAAGGTACTAGTTCCTGATCAACTTCCTTCATTATCTGGTTCCAGGATAAGGTATGCCCTCGTTTGGGGTCATCCTGATTGTGACGGTACAGCCAGACGATGGCATTTAGGTAAACAAACCAAAGCCAAGCGTCCTTGATACAGTCGGCGCGCTTCGATTCATAACTGCGCTTGATCCCATTATCTTTGGCGTTATCGATAGCTTTATCAAGTTTATAAATGGACTTGACAGCCTGGTAAAACTGGTAGCCCCAGGACGAGATCGCTCGAACCAGCAATGGAGCTTTCACCCCATAGAATCTAACTCGACGACCACACTGTGGACCCAGCGAATCTTTGAATTGTGGCAGCGTTTCAATAAGAGGCGCAAATTGGAAATTTGGTCTGTCCAAGAGAGGGACCCTCGTGTCTGACAAGAGCATGTAGTTTCTATCGCGGGATTCTAGTTCTCCAAGAACAGGTTCACGTAAAAACCTGAAATGTGTCGAGTGCTTGTAAAGGTCGACGCGACCTATACCCCCTCTGTAGTGTAGGTGGACGTCAGGCTTAGGTCCGCTTCCCTTAGAGAACTCCTCTTCACAAGCTCTTTTAGTCCTGCAATCTAAGAACCTATCGTCCCGAAGGGCCCTAAATGCGGCTTGAAGGTCTTTGTCACGGATCACTATCTCCGAGTTCTGCTCAAGGGTTAGTACTTAATACTAGTAGTTCGTGGCATAGATGCATGTTCTACTCACTGGAGAAAGTGGTGCAAGGTAGTGACAGCTCAGTATGGTTGCGTGAGATACATAGCTAGGGATGCCCCTACTTGCAAGCCCGTCTGCTATGTAAGAGTCTGAGGAGTAATCGCGCTTGTCGACCCAGTTTTTGGCCACCCGTGGCTCCATTTTGCTAACTTTGGGGGCCTGCATCTTGAAGTTGTAGCACTGGAACGTGGTGATTTAGTACTGTTGATTGCTACTTTCTACGTGAAGATGGACGTCCAATATATACACAACCATCCGGTATTGACCGAAGATGTATTAACACAGGTCTTACACATCTAGCAGTGTTTATTCGGATATGACCGGCTCTACATAAAGTGCCACGCATGGCTTGTGGTACAGTAATTGATCGAGTTATGGGATACAGCGATATAAGGGCGCTCTCCTCTGAAAAGAACACAAGAATTTTGCTTACAACTGCCTACCAGTCCGAATTCAAATAGAGGAATATTACTTGCTCCAGAAATCTCGCTCTTCTCCGCTGTGACTAAAATGAGATCAGATAACCTGAATACATAGGGTGTCGAGATTGTACAGACAGGAAACGCAGCTTTTTCACTGGTTTTGTACTGCATTAAAAAGTTTTGTTTGTCAATCTGGTCCTTTGTTGAACCTGGCATCTACATGCATGAATCAACAACATGAGCATGGCGTACTCCCAGATGAGCTGTTGCTGCGTCTTTGTCTTCTTCCCCCCTTTGGGCTTAGAACTACCTACATGGCTCTAACAGCTCTCGAGATCTTATTATTCGATACATTACCAACACAAAGTACATTTATCTGCGAAACAGTCCATAAGCAACGAAATATGGCTTGGCTGAAGCTGCTGCGCCACATGTTTATACAATGCGGTGTGATATTGGAGAGGAAAGACATTGATTAGCTCTGTAACATAGTGAGCAGTCCCCATGAATTCAGTGAAATATGGGAGATTGACGGTTCACGATCTGTGTATATAGGTCCGTCTGGCCAGTCGACCATCCTCCACCGATTTTCTCAAGCCCAGGCCGACATATGTACGCCAACTATTCATGGACCAGGGTGAAAAGACTCTCCAGGGTGGAACTTACATCAAGGGCTAGAGTTAGAACAAATGCATATTGATTAGTCGAGCTCACTGGAGTATATCTGCCTCAAGTGACAACTAATATAAAAGTATAAAGTCACTCGATTTCCTGAGAATGTAGAACCAAGTTGAGAAAATGCCTGAGATATCTGAACAAGCCTGAGCCCTCTCGGTGTCAGAAGGTATACCGTTGGACAAGAGATCAATTAAGGCTAAAACATCTTGCAAGCAAGTCTCATGTGCACAGCTCGTACTTCTATGCCTCACAAATGTCATACTCTAGTAGCTTCTCCTGCTATATTAGCTGAGCTCTGAGGTTTATTAGATATTCCCAACACCTGTATTCATCCCAATCACGAACCCATATTCGCGGAACTCTGGATGAAGAATTTCTGACAGGGAAGGCCCATGCCTTTTCACCTTCCCATCGAGGTGCCTAAGCCACGTAGCTCTATACAAAGCATTCTCCAGATATCTGAAAACAAGAAACCTCGCATCACATCACAGTGATCGGAGCGTGGTCGTGAAGTAGTGTTCTAGCCTGGGAATTATCACTGGGCCTAGCATGTAGCTGGGGTCGTTTACATCTGAAGGTTCATTTCTAGGTGCTTTACCTTCAACTCTGGCAACGATGGAAATTAGTCCCATTATATACTACAAAATACTATGCTATGGGCTTCGCTACATTTGGATTGGCTAATTTTGAAGGGACAGGTACTGCCAAATATAAATAGGCACGAGTATATTTCGCGAAAGGCTGTCTTCCTTCTTGGATATGGTTGCTCAACGCACGGAAAACAGAGACGTCTCCAGGCGCGAAAAGGCGTTTACAGAGATGTCAAAATGAATTAGAATTGATGAATGTATTGTGCGGTCTACCTATTAAAATATTGGTAGAGTAGAGGCGATTCTTCACGATTTCATATGCAGCCAGTTAGGGTACACTCTTACGTCCCCTTCCTCTCTTTGTTGTCTCAATGCATTGCTCAGGTACGGTAATGATCTTGTTAATTTCCACCAATTATGGCGCAGAAGGTGGTTAAATTACGGTATTTCGACATACCAGACCCACTGACGAAGATCATCCGAGGAATGTTGCCTACGCTGATTGTTTTCATGTGGTTGATTGTCTCCTTGCGCAGTCAAACATTCGACACATTACCATGGCTGGTCCCAAACATCACCAGTTTAAAGATTATCCGGAGCCCAGAAAGGGGTGAGTGCGATTCTGACCTTGGCAATGAAGCGGGATATTAACAGTGCTCATCAACAGGCCCCAGCTGCCGCCTACTTATGACCGGAAGCCCAACCCAGCACTCCGCGGCGTCATCTTAAGTATTGGCGCATGGCTGTATGTTATTCCTAACAGAGACCGTGTCTGTGTATGTACTATAGCATATAAACTAATCTTCAGATAGGCTGGACTGGCTGTGGTTCCTGCCGCAAGTAATCTGGTCGAACGCGGGTTTTGGGTCACTCCGGACGATCCGGTCCCACCTGGATTACACTGAGCCTCGCTATGACCCAACTGTTGTCCCTCTGAAAGGCAATTCTGGAGACAATACGGACGATTCTGTTGTGCCCACGGTATCCGCACCCCCCGTCAAATATCCTACTAAATACTACTCGGTCGCGGATTACCATGCGCTGTACAAATCGGGAGAGTTAACGCCGACTGCGGTCGTCAAGGGGCTCCTCCCGTTGATCCGACGCGATTTGTCCACCCCCGGTAAACATTCCATTGCATTTACTGACAGCCGGGTCGATTTGGTTCTTGCTGCAGCTGAGGAGTCTACTCGTCGTTACCAAGAAGGGCGACCGCTGGGCTTGTTCGACGGTGTTCCTGCCGCGGTGAAAGATGAGTTCGATCTCGATGGGTATCGTACTAAACTTGGCTCACTGAATGATTACACCCTTGAGCCAAAATCGGACGATCCGTCTATCACCAACTGGTGTATCAGACAGCTGGAGAAAGCTGGAGCGATTGTCGTGGGGAAGGTCTCGATGCATGAGTTCGGACTTGGTACGGATGCCTCACTGCATTGTCGTTGTATACTAACACAAGCTAAGATACTACTGGCAACAATATTCACTACGGCACTCCGCCAAACCCATACCACCCCGACTACTACACTGGCGGAAGTTCCTCTGGATGTGCATACGCCGTGAGCGCAGGCTTAGTACCCATCGCGCTAGGCACAGACGGTGGAGGAAGTGTCCGGATCCCATCGTCGTTCTGCTCTGTTGTGGGATTAAAACCAACTCATAACCGACTTTCGCATTATCCAAGCGTCAACTATGCCAGTACCACTAGTGTGATTGGACCTCTCGCTGCAGACATTCGCTCTCTCGCTGAGGCGTATCACGTTTTCGCCACACCAGGTCCAGATACACCATTCCCCGCCCCAGGCCCTCTTTCACTGTCCCCACAAACTACAAGGAAGAAGCTCCTCGGTATCCCAGAAGTATGGTTTTCCCGATCGACTCCGGATGTCCAACGGCTCTGCCGTTCTCTCCTGGACAAGCTTGTCACCGAGAAAGACTACGCCATTGTTCCGATTGACATCCCCTTCCTGGTCGAAGGCCAGACGGCCCACGCCATGACCATCTTGGCTGATGGTGCTGCTCTGCTCCCCGATACTACCAATATCACTGCTCCGAATCGCATTCTCCTGGCTCTGGGCCGTACTACTCCCGCTACTGATTACCTTCTCGCGCAGAAACTTCGTCGGCTTCTGATGGAGCATCTTGCTGCCCTTTGGGAAGAATTTCCGGGTATGATTATCGTGACCCCTACTACTGCCTGTGCGGGTTGGCCTGTTGTATCGAAGTCGGAGTTGAAATGGGGACTTAGCGATGGGGACCGCACGTTGAAGGCCATGGAGTATGTGTGGCTGGCGAACTTTACTGGTATTCCTGCGATCAGTGTTCCAGCGGGATATGTGGATCCGGAGGGGGACAACAGTAACGAGGGGACGGTTCCTGTGGGGCTCATGGGGAATGGAGAATGGGGTAGCGAAGAGCAGTTGCTGCAGTGGGGATTGGAGGCCGAGGAACTCGGGGCGGACCTGCGTGAGAGACCCCCAATCTGGGAGGATGTCATTCAGAGGGCCAAGTGGGTTGGTTCCAGCAGTGAAGCTCGAGAGACTGCGTGAAAGAGACAAAGATAGATTTTAGATCCTTCAATAAGACATTAGATACGCTGTAGGTATATGTTCGCATCACAAACGACAGTACACAATGAATAATACTGCGTTTCAATCGTCCTTGGTGACCCCCCTGTCAGGCTCTTCTACTCTATATCCTCGTCTCTCCTCCTTGGCTGTCCTCCATACGATCGCCGTCGTCCAGAGGACCAACGCAATCGAGCACCCGATCATCGCCCACATTCCCCGCGTGAACCGGGGTGCTAGATTCGCCGAATAGAAAATTATACTCCACCAGGCATTGACTGCGTTATTGCCCATATTCATACTGGCGATCACCACCGACCGCTGTCGTGCATCCTGCGATCGCATCGCATCGTTACACCAGGCGAAGAACGTCGCCTGGCACGCATACACAGCTCCGGCCCAGTAGTAAGCCCCGAACACGGTTGCTGTGGAGTCGAAGCGGGTCAGGATTAAGACGGAAGTAACAACACCGGTGATGCCGATGAAGTAGCTGACGAGGTATCGCTTTCCTTGCAGGACATCGGTGAGCGTGGCCCAGAAGAGAGTCGAGACAATGCCAACTGCTGGGACACCGGTCGGATAGTTGTTTAACTGGGACACGGTATAGTGGATTGTTGGATGGGCTTTCATATACAATGCTAGAAGCGAGTTTGAGGAGAAGGATTCAGTCTCTCCCGCAATGACCCACAGGATGACGAATCCCCACCAGTACCATGTCGTGAAGAGTTGTTTGAGAAAGGCTCGGTTCACGGGTGCACGGTTAGCATTGACTGTTGGCAGACGTGACACCGCTAGCTCCTTTTCTGCTGCTGTTAGGTAGGGAGCTGTTGTAGTGGTTGGGGTGTCGGGGAATAATAGCAGGCCGTAGATGGCTATGGGAAAGGTAATCAAGCCATCGATCTGGTTGATGTTAACATGTTTTCGCGTCAGAGGATGCAAACCGTGGTACTTACGATGAAGAGCCATCGCCATCCTGACAGGCCTCTGACTCCATCCAAGGAAGAATGAATACCGGTTTGAATGAACCCGCCGAACATGGTTCCTGCGAGCCCCGACGCTGTAAATATGCCGCTGCGTTTGCCCAGTTCCCGCTCGGTATACCATGAGCCGAGGATATAATGAGTCCCCGAGAAGGTACTAGCTTCGGCAAGTCCAAGGAAGAAGCGAATGGCCATGATGCCCTGGGGATTATGTACAGCTGCGGTCACCATAGTCAAGGCACCCCAAAACAGGACCATCGCGGGGAAGAAGATCCGTGGGCGGAAGTATGTCAAGGCCAAGTTGGATGGGACCTGGCCTATAATGTACCCCACCGTAAAGACGGTATTGATCACATTGAGTTGATTGCCATGAAAGGCCAACTCCTCTTTCATACCCGAGACATAGGCATTGGATAGGTTGGAGCGATCTAAGTAGTTGAAGAAATACGTCACGCAGCAGAAGGATAGAATGAAGAAGTCAATCTTCACCACCAGCTTCTTTTCCGGGTCTTTGATTCCCCACATACTTGAGCGGGCCAGAGATGAGAAAGATCACCCCGCGGTTATGCAGGGTCTGATCTCTATCTCATTCCTTTGGGATTGATGTCGATTGCAAGCAAGTATTTTTTCTGATATTGAAGTTGATTGGTGAACGGACGAAGGCGCTAGACCACTTCTGATGGACGTTGGCCAATGCCTCAGGCTGCATGTCACGCGGGGCACATGAAGTGTCACGGGTTACAACAAGCCCTTGAACATTCAAGGATGGAACATAACGGTTTTAGGTTCAATAAACTCGACTGGGTCTGAAAAAGGTGACAGTGGGCGATGCAACTCCACTATGAGCATTATCTTCGACCCAATGATTGACTAGTCATAGTGAAAACTTTTTCATGTCATACTCTTGGCATCAACACAGCCCCAGAAACGCTCACCGCTACAGGCAATCCACCATTGAGAGTCTGTCCATTGCCCTGCACCCTGCAGGCTTAGCTCGGGCTTGTATTCTGCCGGCAGAAAAGTAACACAACAGCGGTGACACATTGGCTCATCCCCTACATAACGTTTATCCCTCACATTCTGTCGTTTTGATCCAACGTTTTTGGGTTTCGAACCACCCATTGCAAGACACGTCAGGATGGTGCACGGCCTATCGGTGAATTTACAGCTCACATGCTCACCTGTACAAGCTTTGCTGCCTTTTGAGTAAACATGGGTCTGGTGGCAGACATCCACCTGGACGGCGCTCCTGGTGAGCGCCTAGATGTCAGCCCATGTATAGATGACCCTACAGCCCCGGGCTCTGAGGCCTGCGGACCTGAAGAAGAAGTTGATGAATTCAAAGACCGAAAGATGTCTTTCTACGATGAAAGAGGTGCCGCTCCTGCGACCCAGTTCAGCTTCTTCACATCGCAACTGGATTCGGTCATCCATTCGTCCACCATCCAGTCCCTGCGGTCGTTCTATAAGCCCTTTGACGCGCTGCTAGACACTACAGAACATTCGGGGCTATGGTGGCTCGATGTAACTGTCCCGTCGGATGATGACATCGAAACACTCTCGCAGATCTTTGACGTCCACCCGCTGACCACTGAGGATATCAAAATGCGAGAGTCGCGAGAGAAGATCGAACTGTTCGGTCGGTATTACTTTCTTTCTCTGCAGCCGGCCCGGCAAGTTGAGGCAGTCGATGGCACTCGATCTTCCTCTCCGAACGTGTACGCTATCGTCTTCCGTGACGGTGTCCTCAGCTTCAACTTCGGCAACAGTCCTCACGGAGGCCATGTCCGAAATCGGATCAAGGAGCACCGGAGTCATCTAGCATTGACCAGTGACTGGATCTCATATGCCCTCATGTATGTTCACCTAACTGTGACTCAAATATCGGTCTTCACATGCTAATTTTCCTAGCGATGATATCGTCGACGGCTTCGCGCCTTTCATCAATCGCGTCCAAGCCGGCGTTGAATTGATCGAAGACGATGTATCCATAACCCGGCCGGATGACATCGGCCTGGCACTGCAACGCATCCACCGATATCGCAAAGAGGTTTTACAAATCCGCCAACTGATGAACGACAAGACCGACGTCATCCGCTGCTTCGATCGCCACTGCGGCTCGTTCGGTCCCTCAACCATGGATGTCACTCTGTATCTCGGCGACATCCGTGACCACGTGATTTCCATGATGGCCGATCTGTACAATGCGGAGCAGATGCTGTCGCGGGCACAGGAGAAATATCTGAGTCAGTTAGCGTTCGATTCAACGCGCATGCGAAATGATATTGCGGCAACTCTTAGCCGGCTGACGGTCATTGGCGGGATCATTATCCCGATGCAGTTTCTCATCGGTCTCTGGGGCATGAACGTAACTGTCCCGGGCAAGACTCCGGAGGACGTGGATTCGCCACCAGTCAACTGGTGGTATGGTATCTTGGGGGTGATTTTGGGTTTGATCTTTATGGGTTTGATCGCTGCGAAGCGGCTCCGGTTTATTTAGACCTGCGTGCATGTGGAATTCAGTAATGTAGATCGTTTGTTATGGGATATATATATATGTGTGTGTGTATAAAGATATTCAAACAATTAAGATGGACTGCTACATATATATCTAGGATTTGTATTGGCATCGTGAATCATATGTATTGCTGTGGTACCAATCGATCGATAACTCGAATGTTCCTCTAGGCACTTTCCCCCGGTTCTACCAATGTCTCAACACCTTGAAGTTTCATGATCCCATGCACAAGGGTGTACTAATGCAAGTCTACACAGACTAAATTCGCTCCAACCGCCTTTTTCTTCACGATAGACCACCCAGATCACCTCAGCCATCATGCAGCCTTCGCTGTCGAGCTAACATTGGTCGAATCTCACTAGTTCCAACTGCAGCGATCGTTCGAGACCGGTCAAGTGATCATGATGATTGCCGATCGGTCGCGGTTGTTTGGATAACAGCTGTTATTCATACAAGGCCAAAGCGCTATTCAGACTGAAGATCTTGAGGGGAAACGTAGGAATCGGCCAACGATGTGACTTATCATTACCTCCTCCTTCAACGGTGGAAGTGAGGAGAAAGCCCTAAATTAGTCTCCTTCCCCTGTTCCCTCCAGTGAATAGTGGGGTGTGTTCTCAGTTCGACTCTCTTTACGTAGAAGACGTTGATCTCCAATACGAAAATGGACATTGGGATATTTAACAGCCTTCTTGCCTTACTGATCCTACGCGTCATCTATGAATATTATCGCGACCGTCGCCTTCCCCCTGGCCCAAGACGTCTACCCTTCATCGGCAACATCCACCAGGTGCCGCAGGTGCTGCCCTGGCGCACCTTCGATCAATGGAGCAAGAAATATGGCCCAATCATGAGCGCACGGTTCGGGCGACAGACCATTATACTCATTGCAGACACCGCTATTGCCCGAGAGCTGCTCGATAAGCGAGGGAGCCTGTACAGCAATCGGCCCAAACTGGTAATGGCCGATGATAACCTCGTGAAGGGTATGCATATTCTGCTCCGGCAATACGATGACCGTTTCCGACTGCATCAGCGAATGGAAGCCCCTGTGCTTAGTCCGCGAGCGTCTCCCACCTACTATCCAGTTCAGGATCTGGAGAGCAAGCAACTTCTGCATGAGCTTCTCTCGTCCAATAACTTCGCTCTTCATCTCGAGCGATATAGCATCAGCTTGCTTTACTCCTTGACATATGGATTCCGGGTAGAGACAGGGGATGAGCAAGATGTGGAAGACGCGCGTCGCATCCTGCATAACTTCGTATATGCGTCTCGTGTTGGAACCTGGGCTGTGGATGCTCTACCTATGCTCAATTCCTTGCCAAAGTTCCTGGCACCGTGGAAGCGGATCGGTGAGGAATTGTTCCAGATCGAGTCAAGCCTCCATATGCGGAACATGAAGAAAGGTCTCGATAGCCCCGCATGGAACTGGTCTAAGGAGTTCTCGATCTCGAAGCAGGGGCAGTTGATGCCACCACTGGAGCTTGCGTACGATCTTGGCATCCTGACAGAGGCGGGTCTTGAGACCACCTCGACTGTCATGAAGATCTTCGTCCTTGCGACTCAAGTGTATCCGCGATTTATCGCTATAGCCCAACGCGAAATCGACCTCGTAGTCGGTCCTGATCGTCTCCCAACATTATCAGACAAGGATAATTTGCCGTACATCTGTGCGGCAGTGGAAGAGACTCTCCGTTGGCGGTCCATTGTGCCCGGGGGCGTACCTCATGCTTCTAGGAAGGAGGACACCTACATGGGCTACCGTATCCCTAAGGACGCAACGATAGTTCCCTTGCATTGGTCAATGAGCCTTAATGAACACGAGTTTGACAACCCGCTCGAGTTCCGCCCAGAGCGATGGCTAGCAGGGTCGGATAACGACCGATTCACCAACTTCTTCGGATACGGCCGGCGGATTTGCACTGGAAGGCATATCGCGCGGAATTCCCTATTCATGCTTGTGGCGCGCATTCTCTGGGGCTTTGATATCAGACCACATACTGGACCGGATGGTCAACCTAGAGCCGTGGATGATATGGATTTCGACTCGGGGTTTGTATCTGCACCGGCGCCGTTTGAAGCAGTCTTTGAGCCGCGTAGTCAGCATGCTCGAGAGATTATTGAGAAGCAATGGGGATCTACAGAGAAGGATATCAATACTATCATGGATTCAATCAAGGAGAAGCAAAAGTCCATCGGACTTGATGTGCGGGGTTGAAAGGTTTACACATGAAGCATTAGTGTGTGGTAAATTATCTATAACCTTAGCAGGGCTGGAGTTTTTTCACTTGTCTCAAGCCACGGTCATAATATGAGTCATTACAAAACAGAATAGCCAGGCTTAGAAGAAGATTATCCGAGACCTATGTAGATATGACAGTCAGCAACAGCGTGTGTGGGCGAATTTTGCGCATAATCATGCCCAACGGACGTCATTTGCAAGAACTACCAGTCATCCCTTCTGTTTTCGGGAATAACCACATAAAACAAACATCAGGAACAGGAAGCTTCCCTAGAGTATATTGCTATAATCGCGGTCACATGGCCTTGAAATAGGCACCCACAGTCGTACAACGAACAGCCTTACTCATGCCAAACCTCACTTCACAGTCAGTTGAAAACGTTTCACATCACGATTACTATCATGACCAATACCAATGATATGTACCCGACAGCAACCACCCCAATACAAACGATCGGTCTTCGAGAGGTGTGCCAGGTCAACGGTCGTCACTTTAAACGAAGGAGGGGCACAGAGGAGTGGATCGAGTACGAGCCGGAAAACACTTCTCTGCCACCTATACAGCCACAACCGTTGTATCTCTCTCTTGTCCACGAGAAACAGGGTCCAGATGAGCCTCTCCACTGGTCCCTCTTCGTGGCCCCCGAAAATGAGCCTGGATGGTTATATCAAGTGACTGGTGATGCAGAACACATGACCTACGAGCCTTCTGATGGAAAAGTCGATATCACTAGCTCTGAGTCGTTTCTGACCTTGTATCAATTGGCTTCTCTGACAGAGGGCCAGGCGATGGTGGTAAAGGCTATTACCGATCACGAAACTCCCCCACATGCAGTTAATCGACGAGAAGTTAAGGAGAACTGTCAGGGATGGGCGGTGCGTGTTCTTGGTAAATTGATTGAGGAGGGTATTGTGTCAGCTTCCAAGCTTGATATGACTAAATCAATGATGCAATCTGTCTGAGAGGGAATAGATCAGGCGCAGAGCTGGACGATCGCTCAAGGAAGAGGACAACGGTGCTGGATATGTGCTTGCTATATGTTCTGCATCGACTAGTCTCTCGCCGTTTTAGGCTGGACATATGTTCCATCTTTCTACAAGGGTACCTCGTTCGTTTCTTATTCTCATCTAGGCAGTCACAAAGTCCCAGAATTACCAGATAATGGATTGACAGTACGCTATCGTAGGAGGATGAGCAATTCATATACGAAATCTGTAGGTTCAGCTGCCCTTGACTTGAGCAAACCTAGACTAGTACTTAGAACTATATTGCGTTAATGAGCTGTAATATGTCGAAGGTGAATGACGGCAAGATTCATTCAGCTATGTGTCATTATGGGTTCAAAGGAGCACATCATTTCAACTGAGGCATTGTCCTTCTCCAACGCCCCACCCAAAACAGACGACATACTTAACTGAACAGAGGCGTAAGAGAGATTCTGCCTTTTTAGTTCCAAAATGTTCGGATTCTCTACGTTTCATTTTCCTGCATGAGATGTTTTCCAGAAATCTCGCAACCCCGGGGTACATGGCCGAGTATCATTCATCCAGGATTGACTAACTACCGCAACCGCTTTATTCTTACTAATGTAAGGCTTCAATGATGGGTCATTACAGAGTTGCGCCATTTTAGCCTACATGATTCTGAGATGGCGGCAGATTTGCACAAGGTTATGTCTCCACTTACTCTCTTCAACAATTCCTTCGGCACTCCGTATTATGTTCCTATCTTGCTATGCTTGACAAGTCACCGGAATAATGAAATACCATGGAAGAAGTAACAAGTGGACAGAGTTACCTTGGGGAATATCCGAAGACCGGAGAACCTAGCTTCGCTTTGCAATCAACTATCGGCTATGTCTGCCGACAGCATGACACTAACGATGGGCGATAACAAGGACCCTCCGGGAATTTCGGGGTATCCTAATCAATAAGATTTAGCGATATGCTGACACTAATCATGAATGGAGTCAGCCAAGACGATTAGTACCTACTTGGCGTCGGGCTATTGCGACCAACGATAAGACTGCTATCAGACAACTAATTAAGAGTTGCCTATCTCAAGTATCGTGCTTGTGACTAATGCCAAACCCTTACTGTGATATAAAGAGGAAGATCGGCGCCATTCGAAATGAAGATGACAGACTTAATTCTCCTCCATGTTTCTTGGTACCCTCCTCTCGTTGGCGGCCGTCGTTACCGGCGCTGCCATCCCCAATGGCCAGACGCTTTCGCTCAATGAAATTCCTTACTACGTGAGCGGCATTCCTGTGTCCACTTTGCAGGGGCACGATGTCTCTGCATATCCTTCGTTGGCAGAGGGTATAGACCTGGTGCCATTAACCGTCATTCGCGTGACTCCTAACACGAAGTTGGAGTCCCTGCTATCGGACTATGCCGAGCGCGATGATGTCTTCCAGACTGCTTTTCTACGTGCAGTCTATCTCACAGCGTCCACTGGTGATGCCATTGACTCCCAACTGAGCGGCTATGCGTCCATTCTCAAATCTTCTGGCACGGAATTGCTGCTGGTTGATTCGGAGGTACACACAGCTTCTTCAAATTCCACACTCAAGGCCCAGTTAACCGAGGAGCTGCCGAGTGGGCCGTATTTTGTCTCCCTGTATACCGGAGATGTGTTTAGAGCGTACCGGTTGTACCCTGACGACAACCTGGCTTTCATTCAAGCAGCAATCAGTGACGAGAAGGGAGGCGTCCTCCCCCTACCAGCGGTAACGGAAAATGCAATGACCAAAGATGTCGCTGTGCCGTCACGTCTCTATTATACACAAACTCCAGAAAAGCCATTGGCCGGTCTGAGACTGGGTGTCAAAGACATCTACCATGTTAAAGGTCTGAAGACGAGTGGCGGCAGTCGCTCCTACTATTACTTATACGGAACTCAAAATGACACTGCCCCATCCATTCAGAGGCTCTTGGACTTAGGCGCTGTATTTGTCGGTAAAACCGGGACTGTCCAGTTTGCTAATGGTGATCGGCCTACTGCGGACTGGGTGGATTTTCACTGTCCCTTTAACCCGCGTGGAGATGGATATCAGGCACCTAGCGGCTCCTCCTCCGGTTCAGGTGTGGCTATTGCAGCGTATGACTGGTTGGATCTTGCTGTTGGTAGTGACACTGGCGGTTCAATGCGTTCACCAGCCGCGGTTCAAGGAATTTACGGCAACAGACCATCTACTGGCGCTATCTCTCTGGATCACGTCTTGCCCCTCTCACCGGCCTTGGATACAGCGGGTGTCTTCGCAAGAAGTGCCTCACTATGGGCCCATACTGTGAAAGCTTGGTATCCTCATTTCCGGCGCAATTTTACGTCATACCCTCGGCAACTGCTGCTGGCCGGTGGTGGATGGGATGGTAAAGGCATCAGCCCCGAGGCCCATCAAGGTCTTACCACATTCGTACGTGGGCTTGAGGGATTCCTCGGAGCTAATCATACCATCGTCGATGTGTCGCAGCGATGGCTCGACACACAATCCCCCAGCACACCCACTCTGGAAGAGATGCTCAACCTGACCTATGCCACCCTTACTTCCGTTGATCAATTCAACCACCTAGCTGTTCCGCTCTTTGCTGACTATAAAGCACTCCACCGCGGCCGCCAGCCTTTCATCAACCCTGGCCCATTAGCGCGTTGGCAGTGGGGTCAAGCCAATGGTGGGAACACTTCCTACGAGGCAGCTCTGCGCAACATGACTACTTTCCGGGACTGGTGGGAGAAGTCCGGGTATGGTCAGTCCGACCAGGCCTCTTGCTCCAAGACGCTCTTCGTCAGTGTGTACTCGGTCGGCACGACCGACTACCGTAACCAATACTATGATGCGCCCACTACACCACCACTGGGATTCTCCATCGGACGGATTGCGGTACTAGGTGGGGCACCTGAGGTTGTTGTCCCTGTGGGAGAGTCTCCATACAACAGTACTATCTCTTTGCAGACCGAGTATTTGCCGGTAAGTGTGGCGCTGCAGATGGCGCGAGGGTGTGACCATGTCCTGGCTTCCTTGGTCACAGGGCTCGAGAAGAAGGGGGTCCTCCGGCCTGTGGGTACAGGCTCCCGGTTGTACTTTTAGTGAAGTATGCGGGGATGAAGACCATGTGGAGTGACTAGGACAATGTACATACTAGGTAGAGCAGACGGATATATAACGAAGGGTAATGACAATTCGAAGTTACTGCGGACCAAGTATGGGATATGAGAAAGCAAGTCTCTGATAGACTGACAACTGAAAATCATAGCAGCATGCAGAGAATCTCTTCATTTACAAATTATGTCCCACGATGATTAATATTTACCCAGCAACAAGTGACTTGACACGGCTAATGTTGCTGCCTGAGGCGGTCAACTGTACGCGCCAATATTGCTCTGACCGCCTCCATTCCCATGTTTGTTTCCACCCATGCGATTACTTGTTGAAGTCAACCGCCATTCGTCCTGTGGCCTGTCCCATTCGCAGCTTCTCTACTGCTTCAGGCAACCGGTCAATCGGATAGACTTCGCAAATTTGTTGAAGCTTCCCCCGCCGAGCAAAGTCCAACGCCGCCACCGTATCCTGTCGACTGCCCACCAAGGTCCCTTTGACTGTTAGGTTCTTGAAGATGAAGGCATTGGGATCTCCCCCGATATTCATCGCGCCAGTTGGACCCAGTCCGATACACATGACCACCGCTCCAATGCGATTACCGACATATGATAACGCTGTTCGGTAGGCCGCAGGAGCTGTGACGAATACTCCGTGGGCCCCTACACCATCTGTTGCTTTAATCACAGCTGCGGCAGGATCGGACGTTTCCATGAAATCGACGAAGACTTCTGCGCCCATCTCCAAAGCCAATGCTCGCTTTGATTCCCCTGCGTCTACGACAACTGGACGCATACCCATCGCCTTCGCGAGCTGCACGCCCTGAATACCAACCCCACCGCCGCCGCCAGGAAATACAGCCCAGTGTCCCGGCTTTAGCCCGGATTCCGTCAGAGAGCGATAGATGGTGGATGCGCTGCACATAATAGGGGCTGCAATCTCATCAGGAATGCCATCGGGGATGGGCGATGCGTATCGGGCGGGAGAAACAATATATTGTTGATAGGTCCCTATTCCGTCAGTGACCGACGTCGCGAAGCAATGCAATACGGCTATCAGGGAAAGGGAATAGTGCCCTACCAGGTGCCATCAAGCCAGCGTGGATAGCGGTCCGGCAATATGTCTCCTTATCTCCCCAGCACAATTCACACGCACCGCACGTATCGAGGAGTGGTTTGATGCCCGCCCGATCGCCTAGCTTGAAGTTCTTCACATTTGCGCCAACTTTCACCACGATCCCAGCACCTTCGTGACCCGGGGAGCGAACGCCAAACGTTGACATCGGTGGAGTTCCTAGGTCGCCTTGCATCATATGGAGGTCTGAGGAGCAGATACCGGTGATATTTAGGCGGATTAGTATGTCATCGGGTCCTGGAACAAAAGTTGTTACGAATGCGCTTCTACTGGCGCTGCATACGGCTTACCTGGCTCCGGGACCGGCACCATCTCGACTCTGACCTCAAAATTCGGACCTTCATTGACGACCACACCTGCCTTACAGTGGGAGGGGATTTCGTATTCTGGAGAGGGCATTTCACCAGACATTTTCGCGGCAAATGGCGATAATCACCACGTGTTGTACGAACAAGATGCGATCGGATTATAGTAGCCTAGCACTGCGCAATTGGAGATATAGGAAGACATGGCGAGTACGGGAGCATATATACTTCACTGCCCAGCGGAATGTCGCCGCGATGGCTGATTGTGCCCCAGCTTCCCCGCACAGTTGGGTGGAGTTCTCCATATTATGATATACCCGGATATCCGGACGCTACAGATCAATTGTGCTTTATTGTGCATGCCAAGTCGTGTTTAGTGTTTATACATTCACTCCAGTGGTATCGCTACGGGGACTTGTCTCGGTGGCTACGATGATTGGCGAACCGTCAAGATTCAACTCATATTTTAACCGTTTCAAGAGAAACATCTACATCACAAATGCTCGTCAACTTATTCACAGTCATCCCAGTCAGTGGGGTGCTACTCGTATATCCCCCACCAAACCGTATAGAAGATCAACAGCGACATTAGTATCGTCAGAATGCCTGCCCCCGCTCGATTAGCCGTGCTGGTAGTCATTCGACGGGTATGGGGTTGCGCATCTGCTGGTTTGATTCCACCACTAGGGTCTCCCTTGCTGGTACCCCCGTTGTCTGCTGTTAGCGGAGGATCTACACCCCCAACGAGGGTCGCTTGTATGACCTCCAATGAAGACATCTGGACGCCCACATCATCACTCTCATCCCATTGCCCTGAAGTCCATTTCATACCGCAGGTCGAGTGATCGGAGCCCCCAGTGCACGTCCGCGCTGCCGCACTTGCTGAAGTACGTAGCTTGGGCATCACTTGGTCAAAGATGAACGGAGCGACTTGAGCGGATGCTGCCATCCACCGGGCCAGGTACCCCTTGAACGACCGCTGATCAACTTGGCAAGTGTTGATGGGCTCACAGGCTCGTTCGTACAAGACATCATTATGAAAGTATACTTTCGTGGCGTCAAGGATGCGTTGCGTTCGTTCCTTCCAGATAGGATCGCCATCCGTCTGACTCGTTAGCCTGAGTTCTGGTTATCTTACAACAAGACATACGTACCAGGTTATACATGCTCGCGGCACCAAATAGATACACCCCGGAATTGTACGTCCACTGAAGGTAGTTGAACTCGGAACAATTCTTGAGTTCGTCCGCCCCATCCAAGAACAGATAATCATCGGTTATGAAGCCGACCGACTCAGTCCAGTCCCATGCTCGAATCGCCCAATCGGCGTATGTGTGGTTCCCTGTGTACCTTGCCAAGCGTGCGGCCAAATTGAAAAAGCAACCGTTGGCAATGGTGTTTTTGTAATGGTATCCGTTATTGAAGGTAAATATTTGCCACCTCAAACCTCCCCCGCACGTCTCAGGGCTCCATCGTGCGACCTGGGTGTTGAACACCGCTTGCACCATGGCTAACCACCCTGGCTGCCCTTCTGGTGGATTCGGAAAGTTTCGCTCGGCGGCGCTCATGGCTGCAAAGGCCCAGAAGGCCTGGTCGTCATTGCCTTCGGCGTGCGTCTGGTTGGCAGGCATAAACGTCGCATCGTCGCCTGCTTGAAAGGTCACAGCCTCCATGATCATGTCGTTCCACCTGTCGTCGCCCGTGTAATACCAGTAATCAATCAGAGAATTGAACATGGCGCCAGCTTCCCACCAATAATAAGGGGGAGGTAAGACGCCGGGTGTATCGCCTGGATATGTCGCGAACACGGGCCCAAGCCCGCCGCTTCTCGTCAATCTTCAAACGTCCGTACTGTACAATAACGTAGATTCACTGTACCTGGATTCATGCCAGTGTAGTGAGAGAGCATGTTATTAGCGATCGCATAACTGGCCTGTTTCACCGATTCTGCTAGTGTTAGCAGCGTTCCATCTCCACAGGGCCTGCAGCATCTTACCAGGATTATCTACATCCATATCGATAGCCTGGACGCTGGCAAGCAGCGCCAGGCTGAGACACCATGGTTTTCGCATTGTGAGTGGATTTTCAGACAACAGACTTGACGGGCACGATCAACGGAAGAGCCCATTGAGTCCACCGACATTATTATAAAGGTCGGCCAACATTCCAGGGATGGGAATGCAGTGGTTGCGTGGAAACACTCGTTGAATGCCGATGCGATACTTGATGGAGCTGAGCCACCCACATGAAACCCGTCGAGCGTTCCAGACAATTTAATACAAAACTTACGACTTCACAGGGTCAAATTCCATCCCCATTCCCGCCGAATGAGCCGAGGGGGTTCTTACAGATGTGGATCTATGCACAACATCAATTAATGAATACGGCAAGGCTACATTCCAGTACCACTTCCAAGCCACAACAACCTGGAACACCACGCGATGAGCGCCAATCTCCTGTCTAATGATGAGCAGTTACGCGGATAATGTCCGCCGCGCGCTCGGCTACTGCATATGTCATTGCTTGAATATTCCCCGACGTTTCTAGGGGAAAGATGCTGGCGTCGACCACTCTTAAATTGCGCGTGCCATGGACCTTCAGCCGGGGGTCCACTACTCCGCCCAGCTCTGCGGGCATCATGGCGCATGTGCCCACTGGATGGAAGTCGTGAAATAGACGATCTTTAACTACTTCCTTAGCCTTCTCCAGATCTGCCAGATCCATTGCCGCCTCAGGTACCCGAGCGCCGGGTTTGAGTAGCGAGCTAAAAGGCTCCGTACTAGCTATCCTGTCCAGGAACTGAGTGTGTCGGGCGAGGATTTCTAAATCTAAGGGGTGAGATAGATATTTGGGGTCGTAGACAGGCTTCTCGCCTGGGTTGGCAGATCGGATATGTATAGATCCACGCGAGAAGGGATGATTAAGTAGGACCATGATGCTGATGTAGTTCTCGGGCAACGCCTTCGACAGCGCATAGGTCATTGTATTTACCCCAGACTTTACATTAACTTGTGCATTGAGGAACATGTATTGTGCGGAGGCTGTCTGATCATCCTGGAGCATCTGTCGCAGGATGTTGTATTGTAGCTGCCGACTGCGCGAGACTTGTTCAGCCTGCAGGCTGTCCAGATACTGCGTCAACAGATCATCCACCCGCTCGCGTGGGATTTGTCCGCCGTGGTCAACAATTGGCAGATAGGCCACACTAACGGGCATGCCCGTCAAAGGACCAGCGCGTGTCTTTTCATAGAGCTCGATCAGAGACTGGACCACTCTTGGGTCCCGTGCGATGTCTGCAGAGCTCTGCCCGTCTGCGACTTCCAAGTTAATGGTAGTCATGCAATGATCCTGAAGATTCTCTCCGACTCCAGGTAGGTCGAGCACCACCGAGATATTGTGTTTTTGCAAGAGATCTGCGGCACCGATGCCAGACAGCTCCAGTAGCTGCGGGGAATTCAGACTTCCGGCACTGATAATAACTTCACGCGTGGCAGAGATCTCCAGTTGCTGACCATCTTTGGTCCGAATCTGAATCCCCGTAGCAGTCACCTGATTGTCGTCGGCTTTCGTCAGGGTCACTCGCTCTACCATGGTTTCAGTGAGCAGATGCAGGTTTTTGCGCTGGGCGACGTCCTGGGTGTAGTAAGCCCCAGCATATCCCCGTTGGCCTGTTTCCCTGTCAACTGACAGTGGCGGCGTAAACGGTCCCACGGTGCGGCCCGCGATCGGGTCTGCGTGAGTGTCCCAACCCAAGTGGGCAAATGTCTCATTCCAGGCCTGGTTGAACGGGGTATAGACATCAAGATGAGAGGTTGGGACTGGCCCTTGATTGCCCTGGTTCTCTGGCTCCATGTACTGGCCCAGGGAAAGTAACGCACTGGTGGTCTCGCTGGGCGGCGTGTACGTATGGAATTTACGCAGATACGGAGCCATTGCATCAGGTCCCCACCCGTCGTTGCCCAGGGATTCCCACGCTGCGAAGTCAGCGCGTGATGGATACGCCACCACAGAGAAATTCAAGGCTGAAGAGCCACCAACCATCCGGCCTCGTGGCTGGCCCATTTGACGGCTGTTTGCATGAACCTGGTGAGAGCGCTTGTCAGTAAGCGCCATGACCCAGCCACGTCAAACACGACTGACCTGCGGCTCGGTCAAGTAGTCCCAGTCGAAATCCGGATCTCCGAACATGGCGCCTAGCAGGCCTGGGGTGTCGATGCGCGGGTCTCCCATATGATTAGGCCCGGCTTCGACCAGGAGAACAGTGGCAGTGCCATCTTCGCTGAGACGCGAGGCTAGCACTAGACCGCCAATTCCTGCGCCGACGATGATATAGTCGTACGGTTGTTCGCTGACGATCATGGTTGAGGGGCGCTGGCCGATCTAGTAACAGACCGGGACTCGCAATTCAGAAGCTGACGGACGACCCTCTGGGCAACATGCGCCATTTTATAACCGCAGGAAACATGCACGAAACTTGGTTGCCTCGCTGGCAGACACTAGTCCGGCATAAGTAGAGGGTCCAATCAGATCAGCGGGATCCTGTCTTTTGTCGCCAGGAGAAGTCGATCCCCACCACCTGCCAGCGACCCAATGTCGATTAGTTCTAACGGCGGTATTTTATGATTGCATCGCATCGGGACGGGCGCCAGAGGACTCCGGGTGTTGAATTAATTCACTAGTGGCGACATAGTCCTTACACGGAACTGACTCTATCATGGCCTAGAGCCGTTTCCAGGGGTTCACGGAGTCTGAGATGAGAACAAAACGAGTGAAGATGTGGTAGTGAGCCCAGCTTCTATAAAAATATATGGATCGTCACGATCGGGTAGGTTCCGTAAGGGGCCACTGTTACCCCAGAATTCATGAAAGCTCGGGAAATTGTGACAATCCAGTATGGGGCTGCGGTGTTGCACTGGATATCTGTATCTCGTCTTGGCTAATGCTACCCAACGACACTTTGGCAGGCAAAGAATGGCGTTGTCTATGGTAACAGAATTCCCTCCAGGCACGCGGGTACTATCGGCAGGATAGCCGATTCTTCACCATGGTTCCATCGCTCTATCGGCATCGTGACATACTCTATGTAGTGTCACCGACGATCTCTCGGGATGACCCGAACACGATGTAACCATGCAGTGCACCAACACTGCTGCCTGTAAGATTCGAGTGGATCGTGGTCGCTTTCCGAATGGGCTGTTCTGTTAACATGAGTTTCGAAAGTCGGAGATTGTTTGCCAAGGGGAGGGTGTCTTAAACCTTTACGGAGTATGTAACTTCAGCCCTTGCATATATTTCCCGGCTCGCACACTGCCGGGTGCTCGTCCATGATCCTCAACCGACCTACCGTACATGGGTTTCGCCCGGTAATATGCATCTACGAGGTTTCCTCCCAGCGGTTGCTGTGCTGCCATTTGGCCTCGCTTCTGTCACCTCCCCTGGTGACACGGCTGTGATTCCTGGATGGCATCTGCAATCCGCCCTTCACGCATCGAGTAATCTGAATGAGCTCTCCCTTCCGACTGCTCAAAATGTTAGCTCCTGGTATCGAACCGGCGCCCGGGCTACTGTCATGGCAGGGCTGATTGAAAATGGCGTTTACAATGACACACACTTATTCTACTCCAATAATCTTGCAACGGTCGACCAGACTATCTTCCGCTCCCCGTGGCTATATCGCGAGGAGATCAGCCTTGTTACACCTCCGAAGGAACAGCATATATTCCTCGTCACTCACGGTATAACCTCCAAGGCCGACATTTACTTCAACGGAAAGCAAATTGCCTCCAATGCCACCCAACAGGGATCATACGGTGGTCATCGCTATGATATCACGCCGTTTGTGCAGACTGGAAAGAATGTCCTGCTGATCCAGGCTCATCCGACAAACTACCTCCGTGACTTTGCTCAGGGCTTCGTGGACTGGAACCCCTACCCGCCCGATAATGGAACGGGAGTCTGGCGGGATGTAGAACTCAAGCAGACCGGACCGGTGTCGATGTCCTCGCCACGGATTCTGACAGACTTCGTTGGAGTACATACCGAGAAAGTCACTGCCACCATTAACGTGGACATTGAAAACCACGAGAATCGCATTGTCAGTGGGGTTGTGCATGGTACCGTCCAGGAGAAGGACAATGCATCCCACACGGTCGCGTTTTCTAAGGAATTCAAATTAGAACCACACAACAGCACGACAATCTCAGTGAATGTACTGCTGAAGAATCCCAAGATATGGTGGCCAGCCTCGTGGGGGAAACAGCCACTGTACACGGTTCAGGCCAAGACCACTGTCGGTCAGAATGATGTCTCAGATATCGCACCACCAACGCAGTTCGGAATTCGACACGTTACGTCAAGGGTTAACTCGCATAATGATACCGAGTTCAGCGTCAATGGATACCCGTTCCACGTTAGGGGAGGCGGCTATAGTCCGGACATGTTCCTCCGGTTCGACGCCGAGCATCTGCGGAAGATCTTCCGTTACATGCTGGATATGGGCCTCAATACGGTGCGCTTGGAGGGGAAACAAGAACATCCGGAATTTTATGACCTTGCAGATCGGATGGGAATGATGGTGATATCGGGGTGGGAGTGCTGCGACAAATGGGAGGGATGGGACGTAAGTGGAACCCCTCGCCTATATTAACTGCAATGGCTAACTAGCGCAGTACAATGATGAGGCGGACGGAGTCAAATGGACAGAGAAAGACTATCCGGTTGCAGAAGCTATAATGCTGCATGAAGCAAACATGATGCAGGCTCATCCCTCGATGCTGGCCTTCCTGGTTGGATCAGACTTCTGGCCCAACGAGAGGGCCACAGATGTCTATGTCAACGCTCTGAATCGTATGGACTGGCCCAACCCGATCATTGCATCGGCAAGTAAGCGTGGCTATTCCAAGATCCTGGGGCCGTCTGGCATGAAGATGGACGGACCGTACGATTGGGTACCGCCCAATTACTGGTACCATGATAAGCTGGGGGCAGCATTTGGCTTCGGCTCAGAACAGGGGCCCGGCGTGGGAACACCCGAGCTGGGCAGTTTAAAGCAGTTCATGACTGACCAGGAATTGGCGAGTCTGTGGCTCAAGCCAGACGAGCCTCAATGGCACATGAGTAAGAATGACTCGCCTTTCGCAGACCGCGCCCTGTACAATAAGGGACTTTTTGCGCGGTACGGGCCACCGACCGGATTGGAAGACTATCTTCGCAAATCGCAGATGATGGATTATGAAGGGACTCGAGCGGAATTTGAAGCATTCGCCATACGCCAGAATGCAAGTCGCCCGGCCACGGGCGTGGTTTACTGGATGTTGAACAGCGTCTGGCCCAATCTACACTGGCAGCTATTTGATTATTACTTACGCCCGGCCGGATCCTATTTCGGGACCAAGGTGGGTGCCCGCTTGGAACATGTCGCTTATGACTATGAAGCGCACACTGTTCATATCATCAATCATTCTCTGGACAAATTCGGAAAGCGTACTGTCACAGTGGATCTAATTGATCTCGATGGCAAATCTATGCACCATGAAAAGGTCGCTACATATACCACCCCAACAACATCGAAAAAGGTAACAACAGTACGGGACATAAAGAAGATCAAGGATGTTGGCTTCCTCAGATTAACCCTTCAGGACGCGCAGAAGGGCACCACGCTCAGCCGCAATGTCTATTGGCTCCCACCCAATACTGAGAGCCTGGACTGGGACAACTCTAACTTCTACACCACACCCGTCACTAAATATACCAATCTCACGGCATTGAACCAGATGCGTACCGCATCTGTGTCCGCAAGCATGAGGACGACCGCATCGAAACAGGGCTCAACGCTGGCCGAGGTGACGCTCGAGAATACGTCCGATGTGCCCGCCTTTTTTATGCATTTGACGATTACCGACGAGAAAGAACAGGAGCTGGCCCCGGTATACTGGTCTGACAATTATGTTACTCTTTTCCCGAAAGAAAAGCTCACGTTGACGGTGGAGTTTGAGGGAAAGAAATGGGCAGCTACGTTGACTGGTGCGAATGTGGAGAAGAGAGAAATCGGGCGGAGCTAGGCTATGATTGTGATGAGTAGAGCTTGGATAGACAGTGCCTGACCTTTTGGCTATTATCTCACTAGCAATCATATATCTGGCACCTATAGCTCAAATGCTTATATATACTCAGTGGATCAAATCAACTACATGTCAATAATATATGGATTAAATTGCTTCGCACTGGTTCGTCCTCATCATCTCGTATCTAAAGCATCGCTGAGAGAATAGGTACGTTCGAATTGATGGTGTTCAATACAACTGCTCCCTACTCCAGCATCGATGTCACTCACTTACCCTTCAGCACACCCTCGACAACCTTACTATGCTGCACCAATAGTTCGTCTTTCAATCGTCTTCCAATGAGCTGGACATGGCATGGAGCGCCTTCGACCTCTTTCGGGGTATCTGTATCTCATCAGTACGATTGTTCTCAGATATGTGAAGGGGATCACATACACTTAGGAATGTATTCGATATCACGAACGAACTCGGCATCAGCCGCCTCATCAGCCGTCCCGAATGGAATAATACATGCCGGATACTGCAAGAATTAGAACCAGATAGCCTCAAATATACAGACGAAGAACATACATCTACCAAATTCGCCAGCATCGTATAGATCGGCAACCTAAACGTATCATGCACAGGCGCGCAGCTCTGATGCCCCGGTGCTAGTATCACGTCAAGCTGATTATCCAGGAACACCTTTCTTATCGCCGCGGTAGCACCCGCCTTCTGAACGTTCAGGTCATACAGCTGTCGCAATGTCGGCTCTGGACCGGCCCCGCTAGGATCATACGTGTATTTCAAAGATGGGACCCAGGGCTCCCCGCTGGCTGCGAGGTGGCCCAGTGCTGTCCTGTCAGGATCCATCTGGAAGAATCCCATGGCGATATCGCTTATCTCCTTCATCGAGGGACATTTCCCGGTTAAATCGACGATCCGATGGCCCGCGGCGGACAGCTTCTTCACTGCAGTTGAGAGTGTGCGCTGGATGTTAGGGTGATATGCCTCGACGGGTCCTCAGGAAGAAGACCGATCGTCAGCGACGACTTAAGCGGCGTGGTGGGACTCGACCACGGAAGCCCATGCACCTGGTCATCGACATCCTCGGGCCGTGAGTCGGCGACGACTTTGAAGAACAAGTCCGCATCGCGAACAGAATGGCACAACGGGCCAGCCACAGGCGCTATCCCCGCAAGACCAGGTCTGGCTGGACTCGTCTGTCCCACAAATGGAACTCTCCCTGCACTCGGCTTAAACCCAATCACCCCACAGCATAACGCGGGGATACGGATCGAGCCCCCGATATCAGTGCCCACGCCTAACAGCGACCCCCGCAGCGCGACTAACGCGCCTTCGCCACCTGAACTGCCCCCTGCTGCCAGATTGAGTCGGTGAGGATTCAACACCCGCCCGAAGACATTGTTATGCGACTCGGCGATCATTAACGTCTGCGGGATATTCGTCTTGACGTAGATCACGGCACCAGCAGCGAGGAGGATATCGACGAGGGGGGAGTTAGTCGTCGGGACCGGGTTATCTATGAAAGAGACGAAGCCCAACGTCGACGGGATGCCAGCTACATTGAACCCATCTTTGAGACTGATGGGTAGGCCGTGCAGAGGCCCGACTGTCTTGCCGGTTGAGGCAAGATGCTCATCGAGCGCTTTCGCGCGGGTGAGGGCCACATCGAAGAATGTCTCCGTGAGACAGCTGGTGAGTTGCTGCGCTATTGCTGCGCGTTTACTGAATGCTGTTGTGACTTCCACCGCGGTGTATTCTTGGTTGGCGATTTTGGCGAGGAGGGCAGTGGCGTCTTCTGTCGTGGTAATGGCGAGTTCGCGGGCCGTGAGGAGGCCGCTTTGGGCTGGGATGTCGAGACAGTTCAGACCAGGGTCGGAGGTGAGTTGGGCCTGGATTGACTCAGGGAGCCGCCATTCGGGGGGGATTTTGGATGCCGCGGTGGCTTGTTTGGCGAGGGCTTTTTCGTGCCAGGGTTGGATGGTCATTGCGTCGGATTTATCGATTGGCGATGGAAGCTTAGAACGGGGGTTTGGGGTTAAGGGCTAGGGGGTTGGTGCGAAAGCTTTATATCATGAGCTAGAGTGAGTTCCCCTCACCTTGGCTGTATGAAGAGGGGTTTGCTTGGTGGAGCGATTGCGAGCGATATGCATAGTCATAGGTGGATCTGGTGTTCTCTTGGGCGCTAACCGGAGAAGCTGCACTTATCCCGAGGTTCATGCATGCCAGAAGTGGTCAGCCCATAACGACATCTCTACATATGAACTTACGTTGTGTACGGTGTTTTGATTAGGCTCACGAGATGAGACTACGGTCTGGGGCATATTCAGTAGACTCATAGTAGTGTCGAACTTGTCAGTCCATTCTTCTCATCAAATACGATCACCAAGCGCCTGGGGTTTTGTTAACGATAATGACCCCTAATGCCAAGATCCAGTATCCTTCGAGCCTGTCGTATTCGGGGCCTGTCAGCGATTGCCATGGCCTGCAAGCAATCATGCGGTTGTTCAGGAGGGAGTAAGAAGAAAAGGAACAAGATCAAGAAGAGAAAGATCAACATACACATATGTCAGACGTAGCAACTACTGATCTCAACTTGGCCATCTGCAGTGTCCGGTGATGACCTCCGGAATGTATTGGTTGGCCCTGACGGCGCAGGCAAGATCGAAGATGCCGTTTGGTGCCCTTGTTATCTCAAACCCTCCCAATGATCTTGCATCCATCAATACATGAAAGCCTGGTGGTCGATAGAAATCCTGTAACGGCTGGGGATCCATCTTTCCACTCATAGATGAATAGCCGCTTAGATGTCGATGTTGAATTCGCGCGGCCATCTCCGTTTCTGTTCGCGTTTTGGCACCTGGGGTCTTATAGCCGAGGGACTTGCTGGAGCCGTCTTCGCTGTAGAACTCCAGTCCAGTGATAACTATATCTTCACCATCAGCTAGTATAGATACTCCGATCGTTGCGAGCTTGGGAGGTATATCCACGGTTTCAACCTTTGTCCTTTGTTCCCTCATAGCGTGTGTTGTGATAGTGCTGCAAGGCTCTACCTTGAAAGTCCAAGGGGGGGGGTCTGTCCTCTATTCTGGCAGAGGCATGTGTCTCATATCCACCGGAAGGTCTCCCAGATTCTCAACATCCTATCAAACTGGTCGTTCCAAGGTAGCATGGACGTGCTGTGATACAGATGTTGCCAGTCGATGCTATCACCTGTTCCTCTAGAAGACTCCCTTACAGCACGATACAGAAAGCCCCGTTCGCCATTGACCTCGAACCGTGTCCGCCAGAATCTAGAACTGAAGAAGACTCCTTCCATCGCACGCGAAACTGTCCGAAGTGTTAGGATGTCACGGGTGTTTAGTTGCTCCGCGATTATCTCTTTGATCTCCAAAGGCAGAACTGTGAACGGATCGGTGGCATTTCGCCCGCGGGCAAATTGGGTTGCCACCTCTGGTGTGCGATCTGGTATCCGAACTCCCCGTCGTAGCAACTGCTCAAGGGAGGGCTGATAAAACAGTGGCTCCGGTGGTAGGTCACGAACTCCTCTTGAAACATAGCGAAGGGAGTCCCTACCGCGACGTAGAGGACGTAATAGTATCCACCGAAGTGTGCCTAATTTAATCTCGCCAGGATTGAAGTGATCTTCCAACCGTTCCCAACATAACTCATGAAAGAACACCAGATTGTCTGTACACCTCCACGGTAAGGGTAATGTTATATAGTCATCGCCCACTGTATCCCATCGTTTGCGCCGGTCGCGTGGTACCCTAAACCTGTTGAATTGGTCCTGTATGCTCCGCAGACCAACCCCAGATAGCTCAATTTCACCAGTAGTTTCCCATACTGTGTCGCATATTATGTAGTAAGTAGTTTTCCGATACACACATTAGAAACTACTTACTAACGCGAAAGGTACATTTCCAAAGAGGAGCACTTTCTCGACGGCGGATCTTCCGGAGACACAACACACAACTGGAAGGGTCACAGTCGGCTGGGTCAAACGTGGCGACGATGACGGACATGCCTGGTTCCTGGCGTAACGAACGAGTTAATGGCGGTGGAATATATCTAAGGATCAATACGATTGTTTCGGTCATAAAGGTGAGTTAGTCTGTCGATATCATGACAACTAGACCTTTTGTGGATATTATCTATGACATTTAAATGGCGTTCTAAGGTTGTCATATCGTCCCAAGGTCAGGCTTCATGTTACCTCGGTTACAAGAGTAGATCACTCATTTCGCCTTTCATTCGCTAGAGTTGAAAAAGAACGTCAGAATTTCAGAATTACGTATTATAACCAACAGAGTTTGGCAGGCTGCCCGGTTGGGCTGGTTGACACCACTGCTGGTGTCTAGACAATTCTTTATGACCGAGTGGCTAGCCTTATTATTGCGTTCTTAGCAGGATAGTTCATGATCAATTCACTCTGACAAATAGGCAACAGAGTGGCGTACCCTCTGTGAATCTTATCAAAGAGTCGCGAAAGACCGAGGAAGCAATGCACCCGGTGTCTTCGAGTACACCTTCATCACATGGTTCTACAAAGAGAGCCATCCACGCATTGTATACAAATCTGAGCCAAAGCAAGGCAGGGAAGGCTTATGTGGTCAAAGTGCATCGGCATCAGTAACGAATTCCTGTAACCTGTGGGAGACTTTCGGAACTTTGAAAGGAAAAATGTACAATACTCGACCTGGTGCTGCAGGCCGCTTAGTCCAAGTCTACCGGAGAAGAGCGAAGATACAACTTGAACGCTCAGAGGAGAGCAATTCCAGAATCCGAGCTGGAAAGTATAGATAAAATCAATTTTACTCGTCATATGTCAGAAGGTCACAGCTCAATATTTATGTGCCTTCTATAGCTATTCCAAGCGCTTTTCTATCGTCAATCTTGAAATTGCTAGTAGCACACTCAAGGTTGTGAAAAGATCCAATTCCCTCTCTTTCACTTCGGGCCCTGAGTCTCTGAAGGCCAAAAAGCAGGGTGTATTCCTTCATCTTCTCACTCGCCACCAGCAAGCATACATCCCAGTCTGGCCTGCCTTGGCATAGTGACAGCTAGACCCTCCCGTTCATTTAGAACATTGCTTTAGTTGTTAACATGCTACGACCTACCACTTTAAAAACGTAGTGAGTTGGATATTGACATGTTTGACGTGCCTTACTATTTCTATACCTCTATGGTGAATTCCCATACAAACTCTGGATTGCAGCCGCAGGTTGATGGGGAACTTGCCTTCGTAGTAGGTAGAAGATTGTACGAAAATGGTTCAGTCCTGAATAAGCGGCCAATCAGAAGTATGTCTAACAGGACAATGGGAGATTACCTGCTTTCAAGGGGGGACCACGGACACCTGTTGTCTTTGAAAGGAAATCTCATACCTTAGCACTCTGCAGGGGGGAGCATACCCGGCATATAACCATTGTCCTGGCAGGTCCCAGCGCTGAATTGCCACCCAATGTAACTGATTGAATATATAAACCTCCAACCATATTCTGCCATCTGCTAGAGCAATAGATATTGGTCTTAGCCATCAGTTCTACCCTCAGAATCCTCTTTGATCTCTTTTCTCACCCCGATTGCACAACACAAAAACCTTCTTTGCCATCAACATGTGCAAAGAACACGAGTCATTCCAGGAGCGAAGGCACGAATGGTATTTAGCCTCGAAGTTCGAGCCATGCTCTAAGCCTCATAATTGCGGTCATCGCGAATATATTCCACCGTCCAACAATGAAGTGAGGAAAGAAGGTCTCAAACGTTGCCTGAAAACGGCGAAGAAGGAGAAGAAGCCCGACCACATCATACAGGAACTCCAAGATAAGTTGGATGAATGTACTCGTAACATGGGAAACAGAGCCGTGACGTAGACCGAGCCGGTCCTCTCTTTCCCTCAAGATACGAGGTCTGGACCATAGTGTGGAGCGTCAGTTGCCCCTTGTCAAGGTCATTCAGAAGGATTACTGTTTCGGGCGCTGGGAAGGTGATGCTTTATTCTTGATTTAGTCAACTTAACACGCATGAATCTGGAAATTGTTTTTACTTGTGCTTGAGCCAGTCATTCCATGTCCTGTTATCTAACAATGAGCTTGGAATGGCCTGTTTATTCCGTAATATACCATCGCGTCCATCAAGAGCTGCTTTGAACACGCTACATAAGAATATCGAACAGTACACATAACGTGCAGTTGCCTTCATTATAAGAATGGCTAAGTCAATGTTACCAGGTGCAGACTGAGATCCACCATCTGGATGGAGTGAAGAGATTGGATTAAGTGATCTTATCAGCCATTGAGCGTTAGGCCGGTAAGATGGAAGGTGAAATTGGACCTAAGAAGGCAGTTTCACTGTTGATTTGATGAATCCGGTATTCCAATTAAAGAGGGAGGGAACCTTGACGAATTGTGATCTTTTCAACCCGACATTGAGCTTCTCTATATTCCGTAGCAGGGGTTCGACTTGTTTGGATACGCTGCACGGACTAAGTGGATTCCTGCAGATATGCCTCATATTACTCGGGTTTTTGATGTTGCGACACTCGTGTGCCAATTGGGTGAAGCTGATCCCCTCAAAGCTTGAGAATGAATTCAGCGATAGAATTCCAGCTCGATGCATTCCTTTTGTCAGCACGCCTAGGAGCACACAATCACACAGCTCAGAACATCGTTCTGGGCCGTCCCGTAGTGTTGAGGAAAGACTATGCATACACTCCACGACTTTTGTCATCAGCGCTCGCCGGGAACGGTTGATCTCATCTGGAGTTGAGAAGGATATTGTAAGTGGTAAGGTACTTCAGAAATTAGGTGAAGCTCACCTTGTATCGTGCTGGGAACAGGGAGTCCACTGAAGCTAATCGTGCTTGTGCTCTTGGACTCTAAGTACTTGGAGGATTCTTGGAATGCGTTGGCCTCGTTAAATACCCAAGATATAGAAATCCATTTCCTGGCCTCATCATCCGATGAAGGGATATAATGAGGGGGGCTCAAAGATCTGATCTTCAGATGAATGAGCCATGAATTCGAGAACGGTTCCACTGCCTCATGACACTCATAGTAATCGACCAACTGCGCGATCTCCACCAGCCTGTCTAAGGACACCTCCCGAGGCACCAGTCGTGTTCGATGATGGATGATTAACATCAGGACCAAGAAGGGTACTGCCTCCCAATCTCGCACAGGGAACTTTAGACAGCCGGTGGCCCTGAGCTCGGTTCCCTCCTGAAATCCGTTTTGTAGCGTACGTTGGAATTGTGGGCAGGCCAATGTCAGATGTTTTGACGATGCACGAATCTGTAGACGGCGCTGTGGGGGAGACTTAGGGGTCTTGGCTGAATCAACAGCGTCGCCTGAGCTTCCATCATCTTCTTGCTTGATGGTTTTATTCCAATCGCTTGTTGGAGCTGGGGGGTTACTGAGTCCATCCGGCCACCCCGCCACAGTGGTAATATCTCGTAGGTTGTAGGGAAAATCCTTAGACACGTTATCCAGAATGAGGAAAATGTCACCTTTCGGATCTAGCTCGTATACCAAGTTATCCATGGTGGTCAACCGTTTACTGGTATGAGGGATGGTTTTTGATATAAAGAGATGTGGGCATTTCGCTTAGAGAAAGGAGTCAAAGGACAATGCGGCGCAGTGAACTTGCATATGGCGCCCCGCTAACAGACCACTATCTAATGCCTTATTGCCACGCATCTGCCAACAGGGCTCTCGCAGTATGACACATGTGCAGCATACATTATGTAGCCATAAACTCCTCTCTATCTAGTAGGCTCGTTGACACTGTGGCCTTCGAGATTGCAACGTATCCACTATATAGGAGTATTTTATCAATTTATACGCTCTGCCGGGGCAAGGGAGATGGAAATGGGCATATGCTGTGCAGGAAACCGCGAGTGAGTACTAGTGCACAAGAAGGTCTCAAAAACAAACTAAATGAAGCAGACTCGGAAATTCCATTAGAGTCCTGAGAGAAGCATATCAATATGATGGAATGCAGACATGGACGGTGATGATTTTTATGAGGTAGGATCACTGAACTCTCTAACATCGTAACACGATATCCTCTTAAGGTCTCTACAGCACCATCGTTTGAGCATTGTACCCTTACTCTACTGGACACTGGTAGCCTAGAAGAAAATGACCTAACACCAACCGCACAGCCTTCCCAGGTACACTGATATTAGCCCCATCGTCGATTCATCAATGGGGCTAAAGATTATTAGATCATTGTTGTAGACGTGGACACACGAAATAAAGATGGTTGAATGTGAACTCTAATTCTAGGTAATATTTAAATAAATAAAGCTATCGAGCCTAGCATGTGTACATAAATTTCTAACGCTATATGCCAAAATTCAAGGGGTCAAAAGAATATTCAACACAATATATGAGCAATGAGAATTCACCTGTAGCGCTGATGACAAGACTTATTCCTTATCCAAGAAGCCAATCTTAACCAGAACATCTTTCAATGAACCAGGCTCGAAAGGGGGATAATCCGGTTCGCACTTTGTCCCAGCAGCAGGAAGACTACCGTTGGTCCAGTAATCCCGGACTATCTTGGACGTGCATGAAGACCCGTGAGCCAAAGAAGCGTGCTACAATAGCATGTTAGTCCAGCCACAGCACAGACATAGCAAATAATAAAATGACTTACACCCCAGCCGCCATGCTCCAACATGACACTGCCCTCAAAGCTAGCACTGATGTTCCGGGCCGACACAAGTGGAGTGGCAGAGTCGTAAGTGTTGCCGATAACCATAATGGGATGTTTTGTCTTCGACTCGAAATTACCCACGTAGCGTTCTTTGGCGTCGATCTGCCACTGAGTGCACGTCATGGCGATGGAGTTTCCTACTTCTCCCAATAGCTTACTCGATGGTGGATTGAGATCAATATAAGGCAGTATCTCCTCCAAGGTATGTACTCCGGTTCTCTTCTCAGAGCAGGGAATGGCGAATGCCGCGTCGTTGCTCGCCGCCGCGGCCAGTAATCCACCTCCCAGTTGGGCTTCGAGCAGCTCCATGAACTTCGACATATTCCGGTCCAATAAGTAGTTAAACGCAGCGGCCAGAGTAGGATAGTTGTTAGGGCTGTATAGAGAGAATCGAATGAAAGTTTTGATGATGCTATGGTCAATGACAGTGTGTTCATAGACGATCGGCTCGCGTTTAACATCATCTAGCAACTGGTAAATGCTTCTCTCGAGCTGTTCGGCAGTCTCATTTCGGCTGGCAAGGGCGCATTGTTCCGGTGTCTGGAGGCACTGCTGGAAAAAGCTGGTGAAGACCTTGTCTACATCGGCCCACACTTCGGTGTCACTGTGCGTGGGAAGTCCAGTTAGTATCACCCACGCACGAAAAGGAGACTGTCGAATCATACTATGAATTGAAGTATTGGTGTGGATTCATAACACCGTCAATAATCAGCTTATCCACCCGGTCCGGGAACATCGCGGCAACAGTAGATCCCAACACCGTGCCATATGAGAAACCTGTAGTATACCGATTAGCCTTTGAACAGGTCGTGTGTCTTTCAATGAAATCACTTACCCCAATACTTCAGCAGACCATCGTCAGTGACTGCATCTACGATCTGCATCAAATCTCTTGCCGTGAATGCCGTGCTCATGTATTGTCCATTTTCTTTCAGCTCCCCCTCCGCGCAAACCTTGGCAAACAATCCACTGCCAGCCCACTGCCTTCCTAGTGCCATCGTGTCGGAGGCGTTTGGGAAGTCGCTAAATCGTGATTCCACACTAACTGTGAGCCGCTCTGTTTCGTTTCTAGAGCAGTATGCTGTGAGGGTGTTTGCCGTTCCTCTATAATGCAATGTTCCGTTAGTCTGCCCATGAGATGCATGACGAACATGCCACGCAAACATACCTTGGATCGTGAGCAATTAGGTCATAGTGGCCACCGGTCAAACTGGGCATCCGTCAGCATCTTTGAATCCTAGCTATCCTTGTTATCGCGACGTTGGTATCTTACGCTTGTAGTACTTCACCCTGTGCAAACAAGGTAAGTCTTGCCTCCAACCCCGGTCCACCGAAGTTGAACAAAATGCTTCCCTTCTTCGGCTCACGGGTAGCTGGAACTTTGAGTAGTTGGAGCTGGAGTGTTTTGTCGGACTCGGGTTCGGTGTAGTCCAACGGCACTGTCAGGTTGCCGCATTGAGCTGGCGCAGTGACGGTATCCTCTCCACAAGGGCCCCAGACTATCTTTTCAGCGCGGGCATGTTTTGGGAGCGGTGTGGCATAAGAGCCAACCAAGAGAGAGGTCAGAAGAAAGGTGGATTTCCAAGCCATTGTCGCTATAGTTGGAAATTATTGATTGTTGCTTGTGGTTGACTGTGGGGAAAAACCTCTCCTCGACAAGGGTTACATCTCCTTATATAGTGAGATCTTTCAACTACATCAGACAGATGGAGAGCGCTGGATAGGGCCACTTTGGGTAAGGGCCAAGAGAGTGATAGATTACATCCATGGCTACCACGGTGTTACCCACTCCGGGCAGGGCTGAGTCCAGTTCCTCCAATGAGCATACTATGTGCAAATAAGGCAACCAGAAGCTGAGGTATCCACCTTGTAGGGCTTTACTCAGCCTCAATCCAAGGCACTGGGGGTTGGTGTCGGGCTAAAACACGTTGACGCAGCCTCAGGCACCCAGGTGTCGATACTACCCGGTTTGGTGGTACGGAGCGCTGCCAAGAACAACACGGCGAAGAAGGCATTTGCAAGCCAAGACTTCGACCTCGTATTCTCGTCTCTGCTCATACGTCCAGCAAGAGCCTCGCTGGGTCATGACGATGCTCATCGACATTGTTGGCATCACTGGTCACATGATGCACCGGTGTTGCCTGTTCGAGTCAAAACCAGGGCTGACTCGGGACGATGGGGATGGTCATATTCGACTCTTGGGGGTGCCTCCTAGCCATGGAAAGCCAATCTCTCGTTCTATACGTAGCGCAAGGTAAAGACGTGACGTATGGTTCTACGAAGACGGTATACTAAGTTCTCCATAGCACTAAAGGCCAGTAGTGATTCTGTTCTCATTCTCTAGTACTATATTCGTCAAGGTCATTATATATTTCTGGCTACCCCGGCGGGCAGTCACGTAGGATCCGTACAGTAAGTGAAAGCAAAAGGGTATATACAGCAGTACTTTAGTCCATCGATCGGGCCAACCAAACACGCGATTCAACCATATCCATCCCCCTGATGTTTGATATATTCCGCCCATGATTCGCATATTCTCCGTAAATGTCATATCCTTCGATGTTTGCGCAATCAAATCCACGGCATAGAAATTTGTTTATCGTAATCGATATTGTCCTGGTAGCATTCAATCCGGTCTCCGCAGGTGCCGAAGATACGATCCCACAGACGGGTTTGTTTGCCGTAATTTGCGCTCTTCTTCCATCCCCGGCGGTGGTGGATATCATGGTCTTCAATGACCAGTTCAGAATTGAAGATCCGAAGGAGCCAAGTGAGGGTATTGGGCGGTACTGTGTGGAGGCGGAGGCCGCTGTGCCCTGCGATCTCGGCGAAAACAACGTATTGGTGACAGATCCACCACTCGTAGAAACCCATCGGGAAGCCCATGAACTTCATGGTGAAGTAGGTCATGAGCGGAATGCCGGCAATATCGAAGAACTCCTGTTCAGAATCGGCGTACAGCGTCAAGAGCGGATTAGGGTGCTTTGTCAGATGGTGAGTCCGATGGTATTTCCAGAGACCGTTGATTTCGTGCATCAAGCGGTGATACCAGTAGAACCAAAAGTCAAGAATGATGCCGTACAGCCCGGCTTCGAGGGGAAGCCAAAGCCAGTTCATGGACGAAGGAGGTTGGCTGGCGCGATAGCTGAAGAACACGGTGAACATCGGGCGAAAGGTGGATGTGGAGATCAGCGAGTGGGCGACCTTTGCCACGCCCACATCCGGCACTCCATCCCGCTCGTGTTGGTCGCCATCAAGGAATCCTAGGACATGGCCCAGCCGACGAAGAACGTGTATCTCATGAATGGCGATGGCTTTAAAAGCCAGGCTATAGAAGACGAAGGCAGCGAGGGGGCTTAAGTTGTGACCGGTATAAGACGTATAAACGTGATGGATGGCCAGAGGTATGAAGGAGTGGGTTAGCACCCAGCGGTGCAAATGCCATTCCGGCATGTAAGGCACCTTCTCTTGCTTATCATGGACGGGCACGTCTTTATCCAAAGCGACATGATGGATGTTGGTGATCTCATAGAACCAGTGGAAGATGGTCCATTCGGCGCGATCTGCCCGTCGCCATGTGGACTTCATCGAGTCCTTCGGATTCAGGTGGCCACTCATGAGGACTGTTTCTGCGATGTTATGATCCGTTGGAGAGGGAGTTGCACCCCATGGGGAGGGGGGGCGAGGCGTGGCTATTTAATCTCAGCTAAAGCCCGTCTTGCACGCTAGATCTTCGGTCGATCCAGACAGTCGGCATGTGAATGAGATTGTACTCTGGGTTGACAAGGGAATGGGGGGCGTGCCCACCGCAGATCAGGCCCAGAAAGGGGCCACTCGTTGGCCCCAGTAGCCAGTTCAAGAAGTTTAGTTCGGCCTTAGCGAGCGACTAACCTACAGAAGGAAAGCAGTTCGCCGGAGAATATCTTCTGCCGTGGCCCACTGTGACTGTTTCATGAGCCCGTTCATCATCCACATGATGTCAGTCACTAGTTCTCCCCGCATCAAGTGCCTCGGACGTTCGGAGTGTTGGGAATGGCCTGATGGTTTGGCTTTTAGGCCGCTGCGATCTTCCATTAGGGTCTTCTGGACGATGCCTAGCTTTCTTCTAAGGCACACTAGACCCTTGTCCAAAGCTCTGTAGTCCGTGATGAATCGCACCAAGATCCACGGCGCATGCAGAGAGTGCCAGACACTGTATGTATTGAATACCCCGCGACCAAGATTCGAGTGCCATGTAACCGTTAGTCCAACCCCTTATCCGTTCCATACTTTGTGGTGGGGCTAAGAAACATGGCTTGGGCTCGTTGCAGAACAGTTGAATAGACACCCATACGGTGCGGCTATGGCGAACGCAACGTGACTTATCACTTCTGATTATCTACTCCTGTCGTGACTGTTCTCTTGTGCAATTGTACTCTGACAAGGGGAAGCGTTACCCTATCATCAGGACAATCCTGCTCCATGTATGGTGAAGTGGACCTTCAGTCTGTGGCCAAATTTCCCAAACCGGAAAACGGGCGACGATCGCGCTCCACATTTGCATGTTGCCGAGACGAGTAAAAGTTGCGAATTTGCTAGACTAATGATCTGGCCCCTGACTATGCTGCCAGTCCCTCGTTATTAACATGATTTAGTATTATTTTCTTTTTGGCCGCCGCCAAGTGTTGTCAACCCCAATCAAGCGGATAACCCATTTTGGGTAAGCATTGCGATATGATATACTCTCGGTTAACCCTCCTTATAATGCATCAGTCACAGCTTTCTCAACATTCTTGTCAGGCTTCAACATAATGTCTGATAGCCATAAACATGTGCCGGAGTTGCAACATAAGCGTGTATATCCCAGGCAGAAATATCGCCGATCTGCGTGTTTCACCTCGAGTCTTGTGCAACAACAACATAACGATATCTATACTGGTAACATTAGATGGAAAAGGAAAAGCCCAAGGATTAAGATTTCCTATGGCTTCCGGATGAACTTGTCTGTTTCTTTTTTTTTTTTTTTTTCCATATTAGATACTACTTCTAGTAACCCTGTTTGTGTAGCCCTACCATACCGGGCTTCACTTTTGGATCATTATATACTGGCTGGCATTTAAATGTATGCAGAACTTAAGAACTTATTCCTTCTCAACGCTCTCGACTCCTGGCAAAATTACATCCCATCTAGTATAAAATAACAATTTGGATGGACACTACGACTCGGTCGCTGTCATGCATCCGCCCCCATGATGACACTGTGATGAAGATCAGTAATCTGCAGTGGCCAGGTTGTCCAGTTTTGAACTGGCCACGGGCGAGGCATCGTATTCACATGGTTTTCAACAAAGAATCGCCGCTGATACCTTCTTAATATCGATCTGTGATGTCACCAAAGCCTCGGCCAAGGCTTTGACATGATCACATCTGCCATCTAGTAGCCTGGGAGATATTGAAGCACATGAATGCTTACCCCGTACATGGATTCAGAACGTGGCGAGCAGCACAGGCACACATATGATTACTAAATGAGGATCCAACACGAGCACTGCATTGTCCTATGCTGAAGTATCTATCCGTAACGTTCTCGTTGCGCGTTCCTTTCTCTACACCCTCCTCGATACCGCTTCTCTACCACGAGTTTCCGACGACTTGAACTTCTGGTGATATCTTTGGTGGCCTTGATTCCGCCTGACTGAAATCTGTCGACAGTATGAGCTCTAAGGTATCTACACATATTTGACTAAAGCACTCTCCTAGCCCTTAAGGGTTGGTTCTCAGATTGCAAGGTAGACGCACTATGCCTTGGGGGCAAGCTAGACGGTGAAATGCCTGCGCTCGTATTCTTACTCATGCCTTTGTAGAAGAGGCCAAGGGCCGCACGTGCAGAAAGTTCCCATATCTTGACTTTCAACCGAAAGTAGACCCTGATGATGGGGCAGTCACAACTTATACTGGCTTATGCTGTCCTTCAGTCAGCTTCGTCCTGCACCATTCCCGACACGCACGATAATCGTCCGAGGCAACGTGTACCTTCTGTCTCACAACGTCTTGTATTAACAAGACTAAGGTCTCTGCACAAAGAGAAAAGAAAAAGCCGGAGAAGGATGTGGTCGTCGACAATGCGCAGAACATGCGTTGGCGTTGGGATACCTTGAACACTGCAGTGTCGGTCGAACATGCCTACCACAGACGACGACACCAATGCAAATTCCCTGAAAGCTATGTTTACCTCTTTTGGTGACTTCGGGGGATTTCTGTTCAACTGGTAGGCACGGGATTAAACGCGAATACTTACAAAAGAGGAAGGAGGGCGTTACACTAAAGGTCCGATGGGCTGCCATAAAATCCCCATCACCGGCTATGCCTCTTCACCTTCGTCTGCCTTCTCCTACAACAGCTAAAATACTAAGTCCTACATCTTCCATTACCAAATTCTCTACCCAGTACTACGTTGTGTATACTCACCCATCAACATGCTCCGTCAGGTAGTCTTGCTATTGATTGCTCTACACTGGTGCCTGATTCATACACTTGCCGCTCCGACATTGAGCGATCAGCTAGCGGTATCTGATACCTTGCTCGCCGACGGGCGGTTTGACTATGTTGTCGTTGGGGGTGGTACCGCAGGCATCGTCGTGGCTACTCGCCTAGCACAAAAGTCCTATACCGTTGCATTGATCGAGGCTGGGGGGTTCTACGAGTACCAATCACTTGCCGCTATTCCCTTAGCATGCTTGATTCCGGTTGGATCAGATCCGCGGAACAAGTTTCCCACTGATTGGGGCTTTGTAACCCACAACCAGCCAGGGGTAAACAATCGAGCTATCCGCTATGCCCGAGGAAAATGTCTCGGCGGATCGTATGTCCTTCAATGCGCTTCATACTTTGCTAATTCACTAAACAGAGATGCAGGTCGGCGTTGAACTTCATGATTTATCAACGGTATGCTTCACTTTCACTGGCGACAACAATACACATTGGAAGTTCAAATAGGCTAATTGTTCGGTCGATCCATAGACCCACTCGAGGTACCATGAAGCAGTGGGCAGCTGCTGTAGGTGATAGCAGCTACACCTTCGACCGCGTTTTGCCCTATTTCAAACGGAGTGTTCACTTTACGCCTCCCAACCAGCAGACTCGATTTCCCAATTCGACTCCGTCCTTCGATCCAGCCGCCTACGATCCCCAAGGAGGGCCATTGCAGGCGTCGTACTCTAACTACGCTATGCCATTCTCCTCATGGATGAGACTCGCAATGAACAGCATTGGAATCCAGGATCGGGATGAGTTTAACCTTGGGTCTTTGTTGGGGGCCCAGTATTGCACAAGCACGATCCGACCGCGGGACCAAAAAAGGAGCAGTGCTGAAAACTCATTCCTTGAGACAAGACCTCCTCGGCTGACTATTTATACTTATGTATTGGCAAAGAGGATCTTGTTCAACTCGCAGAAACGCGCCACAGGTGTTCTAGCGAAGGGTAAACTCGGCGAGTTCACGCTGCATGCCAACAAGGAGGTCATCATCTCTGCAGGTGCATTTCAATCACCGCAACTGCTTATGGTGTCTGGTATTGGCCCGGCAAAGACACTCGGAGATTATGGAATCCCTGTTCTGGCTGACCGTCCTGGGGTCGGTCAGAATATGTGGGATCATCCATTCTTCGCCCCTTCGTACCGGGTTCGTGTGCCAACGGTGCCAACGTTGTTGGCGAATCTTTTAAACCTCCTCACGCAAGCGGTCAATGCTGTTATCCTCCAACAAGGACCCTTTACTAGCCCTCTCACAGATTATCTCGCATGGGAAAAGATTCCCAGTAGCTTACGGGCAAACTTCTCCAGGAAAACTATTGAAGATCTCGCACGCTTTCCCAGGGACTGGCCAGAAGCAGAGGCATGTAATTCTCCCCCTTCCCTCTCCTATATCGCACATATGACAGGGCGTGAAGGAGACTGGACTAACTAGCACCCATAAAGTATCTATCTGCGGCAGCATATGTCGGTGATGTTTCCAAACCTCTCTTACTTCAACCCAGGGATGGCTATGACTACGCATCAATAGTCGGTGTCCTAGTCGCCCCAACATCCCGGGGCAACGTAACAATCCGGTCGGCAGACACTGTCGACCTTCCAACAATCAACCCAAACTGGCTATCCACTGAAACAGACCAGGAGGTAGCAATTGCGACATTCAAGCGAATACGGCAGGCGTTTGCGAGCGGTGGGATGGCGCCCATACTGATCGGAGGTGAATACTATCCAGGCGATCGCGTACAGTCCGATGCCGAGATCCTGGAGTTTATCAAAAATAATATGATGACCATCTGGCATGCCGCTTGCACTTGCAAGATGGGGACAGCCCAGGATGCAATGGCAGTGGTAGATTCACAGGCAAGGGTGTTTGGCGTTGATGGCTTGCGCGTTGTTGATGCGAGTGCATTCCCACTTCTTCCTCCAGGACACCCGCAGTCCGTTGTTTGTAAGTGACCATGTAGCATCGCTTGCGGTTTGAGTTAACAACTATTCGCAGACATGCTGGCCGAGAAGATCTCCGACGCATCGTGTTGGCAAACGGGACAAGTGAAAGGCGCTAATGCTGGGAGGCATCCATGGATGATATTTTAATGCTGTGTGATTCAAGATATATTAACATGAAAAGGGCAGTAGGTCTAGTAATGTCGTGGTACGTCGTGTTAATGGGGGTGAAAAGTAAACCAGGGGCGCGTGCCGAAACAAGACTGGGGATAACCGTCTTAAATTGGTTCTCTTTGACATTTTTATTTAGTACTCAACTTGTAATGCTTATCAAGCAAACAATCTTACGAAAATAGCCATTTTACTACTGCATCATTATGAGCAGATGTGACAGGCAGATTGCAATGACATGGCCCAAATTAAAAGTTCAATGTCTGCTGCGGTGATCGTGGCTATAGTTAGTGAATAGCATAATCGAGATGCATATCCAGTTAACCATAATACATCGAGATATGTGAGTTTATTTAAGAGATCGTCATTCCTTGGACTACATTCATGGAGAGAAGTATACATAAAGAACTACAGGTAGGGGGCCTGTAGACCATGCGGATATATATTCACACCTTGCAGTCACGCACAAGATGAAGCTGTGTCTCCCACCATGGGTGTTCAGGATTTACTATGGACTGACATCCATTTTACGTAGAAGATTATAGAGACAGCCCAAGCAGGACTTAATGTCCCGAAATAGACAAAATCCAGGCACAGAAAGTGAAATTGTAACCCAGCGGAGATCAGATCGGACATTCAACCGACATAACCGAGGCAGTGGGCGAGCTTATCTTATCGGATCATCTTATCGGCTATCACCGTGCATCATCAATCAACAATACTGGACTCTGGAGAGAACAAACCAATTCAACCCCCAAAGGCCTCCAAAATGTACAACCAACCAGTATACGCCGAGACAGAAACAGAAGCACTCTACAACTTCATCCGCACCAACCCCCTAGGCGTCCTCACAACGGCCATTCCCTCCGACCTCTACCCGCTCCTCCAATCCACCCACATCCCCTGGATCCTCGACCTCCCGAACCAGGCCAATGGAACCACCAAAGCAAGACTACGAGGCCACATCGCGCGCCAAACCCGCAATCCAAAGCCATAACCGCCTCCCTCACAACCTCCAACTCCCCGTCCGGCTCATGTTTATCCCAAGAAGTCATGATCCTCTTCACCTCCCCGCATCACCACTACGTGACGCCCAAATTCTACACGGAGACAAAACCGGTCACGGGCAAAGTAGCGCCCACGTGGAATTATAGTACAGTGCAGGTGTATGGTACCGCGACTGTGTATTTTGATCCAGAGGAACAAGCGACGGGGGCATTTCTGGATGCGCAGTTGCGTGATTTGTCGGCGCATTGTGAGGGCCAGGTTATGGGGTTTGAGGGGGAGGAGGCGTGGAGTGTGGATGAGGCGCCGGAGGGGTATCTACGGGTTTTGAAGAGGAATATTGTCGGGTTGAGTGTGGAGATTGACAGGATTGAGGGCAAGGTGAAGATGAGTCAGGAGAGGAAACCGGGGGATAGGGAGGGTGTTATCAAGGGGTTTGAGGCTTTGGGGACTGATACGGCGAAGGAGGTTGCCAGGTTGGTGAGGCAAAAGGGGGATAGGGTTGGGGGGTGAGTGTGCTTTGGTTTAGGTGGTGTAGAGAGCTTGAATGTGGTCCTTGGAATGGATTAGACTATTATATGAGTGAGGAAGAGAATACTAGGTCCGATCTTCTCTCTTCACCTCCTCTGCTGCTGTGTCGCTTATCGAAGGAGACGATGAGGTCTCATTTCCGACACCTTTCTTCGTCTCATTGCTCGCATGTAACCCTCGGTATACCTGTTTGATTTGCTGGATGCCCCCATCAAAGATAGGATAAAATATAGCCACCAGCATCGTGAGCCAGAGCCAAATAATAGCGACAATCACCCAGGCAGAAAAGAACTACAAAGTCAGCCCAGCCTCGAAAGCAGGCAAGAATTTCCAGAACAAGATACATACCCCCTTCCCAAAGACATACTTCGACCCATACATGGGCAACGGCCAAATAACCCAATGGCCGAGGAAAGTCGCGATAGACCAAAAGGCGGCAATGCGCCCCCATCGCTTCAATTCCTGCGCATCAAACGCGGAGGACTGCCGACGACCTTCTTCTAGTCTGCTTTCCGGTCGGGGACCTTTCTCGTGGCTGTGCACTGTTGTCAAATCACTCTCCAGCCGTTCTAGGGCAAGTTTCTCCTTTTTGAAGTCATTCCAATCGTAGTTCTGGGGCCGAACTAGCGTAATCACGACGGAGTACACAATGGGCGAGAATGCAGATGCGACGGTCCCATATACACATGGAAGGATCTGTCCCGTCGCAGAAACAGACACAGAGCCGTAGAAATGCTGCGCGGTTCCAAGCCAGACACCAATGCCAGTTGCCATCCCAAGAACGGGAGAGAGAATAGCAGCGGCTGTGCTCTGGCGGCGCCAGAGGATGGTGAATGCCATTGGGAAGATACCGGGACATGTGACGACGCCTAGATGGTGATGAGCGTTGAGTAAGATAGAGTGTATGGTGCTTTAAAGCTTACCAAGCATGTATAGAGTCCAACCAAGATCGATCCCGACATAATTCAGCATGGTACTAAACCCGGCGGAGAATGCGGCGAAGAAAATGACACCAAAGTGACTGGCACGAATAATATCACGATCGGATGCACCTCGGTTGAAATACTCGCGATATACATCGAAACTAAGAATGGAGCTGACTGCAATGACCTGTGCTGAAAGAGTGGACGTGACGGCCATGAATGTAATTAGGAGAATCGCGGCTGCTCCGCCTTTGCCTGCGATCGTCATGGCGGCGTATGGCAGTACGAGACCTCCACTGACCTCACTTGGGGTCATTCGCTATGTAATGGTTAGTACGGGGTAGTATATTGCAGTTGAGGTATACCCACCCTAGGATATGTGGGGAACGAAGCTTGGCTTTCGAGTCCGATGGCTACGGAGCTCATGATGGTTCCCAGTGCCCAGGGGATGGCGAAGTATGCGATGCCTCCAATTGTGTACCCCGGGACTACCGAAGAGGGGGCGGCGGAAAATGCCTTGATGAAATAGCTTGTATCCATCTGGTAGAATTAGAACCATGAGTAGCATAGGTAGGTTGTTGAACCTACAATGACCAGGCCAAAGTTGGAGCAAATGTGCAAGATCCCGAAGAGCATCGCCTAGAGATAGTGTCAGCGTCGCTGGTGTTGCGATATGCGGAAGGCTTACCCCTTTAGATGTCATCGTCAAATATGTACCATCATGGTTTCCTGACACAGGGTGTCTTTGTGCAGCAGCTTGAACCAGTTCGTACAACTTGCCGATCGAGCCGACCTCGTCGATGGTGAACGCTTTGATAGAGAAGTAGCATGCAATGATAAGGATTATTGCGGTGTGGAAGTAGTCGGTCAAGAATCTGCGTCACTATATAAGACTTAATCCCCTAGGGTGGTTACCCTTTTACTCACGTCGCCTTGATGCCACCAACAAAAGTATAGACAGTCACACCAACGGGCAGAAGGAATGTGGCAGCGATAATATGCATACCAGTTCTTGTTCAAGTGTTAGTATTGGACCATGAGCACCCTGCAACAAGAACAGCACATACACAGCAGATATGACAGCAGCCGCTCCGAGGAGCATGTTCGCACAGGCGAAAATATTGTTGACGAGGCAAAGCGTCATGAAGACAATATGGGCGGTCCGACCTGGCAGCGTCAGCATAGCTAGGAATCACAGCGGTGAAATGAACCCACCATATCGGATTCTGACCACCTCAAGGGAAGTGTGTGCCTCGGGAATTTTGCGCTTGCAGGATATTCCAATGAGGGCAAAAAATACAATCATCGGACTGCATCCAGCAGCAAACCAGAATGGGCCCGCTACGCCATAGTCGTATCCGACAAATGATGAGCCCAGCATAGCCGTTGTCCAAAGCCATGACTGTGTATGCTTTGGTTAGTGCTCATAATTCGACTTTCATTTGGGGAGAGACATACGGAAATCACGGCGGATGCGGTTAAGCCAGTCCGAACAGTTCGATTCGCAGTCATGAACCTGGATGTTATTAGCAAGTTAGGCCTATATAGAATTTATACCAAGTGAGCCCTACATTTCTGTCTTCTTATTGTCCTCTCCCGTTGTGCTCTTCAGTACTTTCGTGATAAGCATCATCACTAAGACGGAATTAGCAACACTAGAAAATAGGTGCGTAGTCGCAAGATGTACAGAAATGAACATACCCAAAGCGATGATTAGGCCAATGACCACTACAACGACATATCCAACCGCTTGCGACAAGGGTGGTTGCACAGAGCCATTGTCACTTCTGGTTGTCAGGTCTGTCATGGTCGCTGCAGGATGGAGCTAACAAAGACAGGCTCCCTATATCCGTTGGATGGCCGGCAATCCAGAAGGCGATAGTTTGACAGGCAGTCTCTAGTCCAGAAGTTTACTCCATGAGCACTGTGCGCAATAAGTACTTTCATATCCTTTCCAGGCCCCTCGACGGCTAAAATTCGCACAAATGGACATGCTCGCCAAACCTCGGGGCGCTGCATGATCGGCGCCCTTGCAGATATCGTGGACTATGAGAGGGTTAATGATATGATCCTGTTGGTGTATGAGGTGATTTGGCTTTTGGCTGATGGGATTGGCCCGTCCATTTATCAGATGGGCTCTGGACAGGGTACATGACTCAATTTATAGTCCAAGAAACCGATAATCTGGTATCCATGGAAAGTTAAAATAATTTTAATGGCACATATTTGGTTTGATACTTATGGTGTTGTTGTATTACGGAAATCAGTGTCACTTTATCACCCGCCAAACCTTGCATGATGTATCACTCTGAAAGTATTGAGGCCACTTCATAGGCGGTTCGAATAAGTATCTATTGCAAAGAGCACTGTCATTTCATTTGCTCTCTTCTCTCTTCTTTTTCACTTTCATTCCTTTTTATATTAGCATATGATTGGGTACTGGATTGCGTGATGCTTATTTTTGGTGACGAGTAGTGGCAGATCGTCTGGGTAGAGGAAGGCCCAGCGACCAAATTTTGGATCTCCCTTCCTGGCAATAACCCGACCATTATCAGGAACAGAATATGGACAGGGAAATTGTGATCTAAGCTTAAAACGACGTGATGGCCCATTTGTATGGCTGTCCTCTCACATCCCGCATGGTGTCATCACGACCCACTGTGATGCTATGCAGCACAACAACCCCTCGATCCCACTGAATATCAATAATGAGGGGAAATCTTGGGTGAACTCTGCTGGCCGATATTAATATTTGCCAGGTGACGGTACATCACATTGGCTTTCATCTCTCGTTGCTCTATCGCTTTCTATACGTAAGGGCAGCTAGAATTCAATGACATAGGGCCCTCACCTCTCCAAACCCTGGACTTCTTTCACACTCCAATTTATCATCAGAGTTGAAAGGCTGTACCCATCTTTCAATATGACTGCAACTAACGACCCATCCCCATCAAGTCGCCCGCGCAAATCACTTATCCTCAATGCCTTCGTTGAGATGTGTACAGTCAAGTTCTACATCACCAATTGATGCCATAAGTACCGCTAACCACGAGTATAGGCAGCGGCCACCAATCCCCAGGTCTATGGCGCCACCCAGAGGACGAGTCCTATCGCTTCAATGATATTGACCACTGGATCGAGTTAGCGAAACTCCTCGAATCGGCCAAATTCCACGGCATCTTCATCGCAGATGTTCTCGGTACGTCGCCCATGAACCTCGAGGGGAATGATATGCTGAGACAATTTTAGGGGGCTACGATGTATACAAAGGGCCCAAGAACCTGGAGCCGGCGATTATCTCGGGAGCCCAGTGGCCGGTTAATGAGCCCTTGGCTGTGGTGCCTGCTATGGCAGCTGCCACGAAGAATATCGGGTTCGGCGTGACGGTCACGACAACTTATGAGCAGCCGTATCACTTGGCTAGACGGCTTTCGACTATTGACCATCTGACTAAGGGGCGGTAAGTTGCCAGCGAAGAACTTCGATTGTTGACTGTCACTAATGTGTTTTCATAGTGTTGGTTGGAACGTGAGTGGGACTGCATATTTGCTTCGGCTATTTCTAATATAGATTGATCCATAGATCGTGACCGGATACCTTGACTCTGCTGCCCGAAACCTCGGTCATACCCAGCAACCACAGGTAGCATCCATATCCCCATCTGCGAAAGACTGTTCATTCTAACCATGGGTAGCACGACGACCGCTACGCAATCGCCGAAGAATACATCAAAGTGACATACAAACTCTGGGAATCATCCTGGAGATCCGACGCCGTCGTCCTCGACCGAGAACGGGGAATCTACACCGATCCATCCCGAGTCCGAGAAATCAACCACGTCGGAAAATACTTCAGCGTCCCCGGACCACATATCTGCCAACCCAGCCCACAGCGGACACCTGTCATTCTACAAGCCGGCACCTCGAAGTCCGGAAAGGCATTCGCGGCCCAACACGCCGAAGCGATCTTTGTGGCCGGACATAGCCCCGTGGTTGTGGCGAAGAACGTGGCGGAAATCCGCGAGTTGGCGAAGACGCAGTTCGGGCGTGATCCGCAGAGTATCAAATTCTTGGCTCTTCTTTGTCCCGTGCTGGGTCGGACTGAGGAAGAGGCTCAGGAGAAATTTAAGTATTATCGCAGTTTGGGGTCCATTGATGGGGCATTGGCTCTGTTTGGTGGATGGACTGGCATCAACCTGGATACGTATGGCGATGATGAGGAGCTACGCCATGTAGAGAGTAATGCTATTCGGTATGTACACAGAAGAATAGCTTCGCGATAGTGGCATGTCTAACTGTTTTATAGTTCTGCCGTCGAGGGGTGGTCCAAGGCCACGCCCGGTGTCGATAAATGGACCAAATCCACCGTTGGCCAACATATCACGGTGGGCGGCTTAGGGGCCACCCCCGTTGGTACACCCCAGCAAGTAGCCGACGAGATGGAGCGCTGGGTGGAAGAAGCGGATGTTGATGGATTTAATCTTGTCAGTTTGGAGCATATCCGGTTCCAATATTGCCGTATCCTACTAACTGTCAACAGGCATATGCGGTCAAGCCTGGTTCATTCAAAGATATCATCGAACTGCTCATCCCAGAACTTCGCCGTCGTGGGCTATTCTGGGATGAGTATGCGGTCAACAAGGGCACATATCGGGAGAACCTTTACGGCCAGCCGGGACAAAGTGGGCCACCAACCGATCACCCGGCTGCGAAATACCGTTGGAATGCGGGTGTGAAGGCAGAGGATCATAAGATTCCCGAGAATTAGTTTTCCTATTCTTGAACCGACAGGTATGTTCTTGATGGGGCGTTAATAATCAAATCACTACATTCGAATATACAAGTGAAGCTAGGATTATCGGCTGTACAAAATGAATCTCATTCGCTTGACTCCCGAATGTTATAAATAGTCATATACACATCTGTAACGACAAAATGAAGGACTCCAACCATACACTACTGCTGGATAGGATGTGCCCGGCGCCGATGATCCAACAGATTATCTCGCCGATTAAAGACCCTCCCACATCCTAACATCCGGCATTCATATGAACGCGGCGACACATGCAGGAGTTTAACATGTCGCATTAATTCGGCCTCCCGCCCAAATGTGCCGTCATATGTGCAGTCCTTCCAGCCACATCGGAATAGAGTGCTCCCGTTACCCCTGAGTTAAGAACCTCGTTAGATGATAAAAACAAATTCGCCGTAGATATCTAATATAAACATGCCAGGGGACTTACCCTGGTTGAAGAGACCTTCGAGGGGTTCGGGCTGTACGAGCATTGGCGGCTGCTCGGGGGTTCGCCAATTGTTCTGACGGCTGCTCAGCACGAGGAGCCAGTGTCATACTGTGTGGCTGATTGGATGCGTTGGGGAATAGGCTGTCTCCACCGATCGTGGCTTGATTGCTGAGCCCGGGATTATCATTGGTCGATGGAGCCATTAAGCTCGTACTATATAAATCTGGGGATGTCGCATCCACCGTCGGGAGATCATGTTGGGGGTCACTGGACATTGCATGCTGCTGGCTGGCAGGCTGCGGTATGTCGCGGAGGATGCTTTCGAAATCTTCCAGCTCTTGTTCGGTCCCTCGTGGCAGGTAGAAGCCAGTCCAATTCGGATCCGCGGGAAACCATGCCATTCTGGAGGGATGCTGTTTACAGTAGTCAGCTAAGGGAAAAGGGAACCAAAGGAATGAGAGGGAGAGTCGTCTCTTTGAGACTCTGTCAAAGTCTGTAGAAATACCATGAGCTCTCTGCTCACCCATTTATACATTTCCATCATTGTAGGGTAGGCTACATATGATACTGTCCCTGGGCTACGCCTAATGATAGTTATTTTCATGTCAGGTCAAAGGATCCCACCGGGAATATTCCCCGTTACTTGGCAGGGACTTGCACAGCCTACTGAGTATAAGCACCAACGGAGCCCCCCATCAAGTGGGTCTGGGATGTGGCTCTCCACCAATTGTGTACTGTGTATCCCTGAGCGATCATGATGGATTAGGATTAGCGCGCATACCTTCGTGCACACTTTCGCTGCGGTCACGGGCTCCAATGTACTCAGGAGCCTGGAAAAGTTCAGAACAGTCGAAATCCCGCGACCGTCAATGACCCATCCATGGCAGGGGGCGTGACACTCGCCTTGGCAAACAAAACATACGTCCAGGAATGATCTGAAGTTCAGAGCCCAAGATGATTGCGCAAGTATGCTTTGAACGCACTGTTTCAATTCCAGTTACTCTTTTCATCAAATCCTTTCCCTATGGCCGTTCCCTGGAATATTCGAGGGTCAGCATCCCAGCTTTTCTTCCAAGACAAAACATCACCCCAGTACAAAGCCTTGCTTGCCATCGCAGACGTGCCTCATCCAGATCGGTCTATACTAGGCTCTTTCATCAACGATGCGCTTGATCCGCAAGAAGCAGCGCGATACTTTCTTCGCATGACATCTATGGAAAACGGCTCCAAAGCACCTCCAGAGAGATCAATATCGGAGTTTCTATCCAACTGGAAAATCCTTATCGACAAATGTACGTACACATCCTCAGGGGAATGCCCGGCGCTGATTGTGACATTATTGATCTTTGAATCTGGGGTTTAGTTCGTCCGACATTAGTAACCTCGCTGTCTAGCGAGACGAAAAAGCTCCTCTATGAAAGGGATGGAGGTCGGTGTTGTCTTACGCGTACCCCGTTCAAGTCGGACTTGGATTACAACATAAATTATGCTCACATGATTTCGCCTCATGTGTTTGCAGGTCCAGATTTATCAGAAGGAGTACGTGTGATATTAATACAATACCGACCTAGCTAACCAATACGCAAGGCTGCTCTATCTGAAATGTTGGGCGCCTTTTTATCTAGAGAACGATTGGAGATTGTTCGTTCGCTTTTTGGGGGGGGCCCACTGTAAGCAACCAGAGAGGCTTGATAACATCTGGATGTTGTCTACGCAGGCCTTTAATGCCGTGAAGGAAGGGGAGGTGTTTTTAATCGTCGAAAGCCGGGCAAACCATCCCGATACGACTCAAAAGCAGACTGTACGTTACCCTTCACTGGAGAATGCAATTTTCATTGATGTTGACTTACCCGAGTACTACATCAATGCCAACTGGTTTAAACCCCAACATTGCGGTCGCCTTTCTTTGCCAACGGACAAAATACACCTTGAGAATAGGTCTCCTCAGCTAACCCCAATTCTAAACGAAGAGCTCATTGGTATTCACACACGTTTTTCAACGTCCTTAGCGTGGATGGAAGCACAGAAGTATATGAACATGTCACTCGATGATGCTAGTAGTAAGGCCGAATACCTTCATCGTCAACTAGATTGTAATAGTGTATAGGAAGAGAACCAATTCTTCCTTCGTTGGCGCCGCCATTTTTCCCACTTTTGCGAAAGCTCTGGATAGCATTACCGTCTTTTGTTCGAGCATCCGTTTACGATGGATTACTCTGGATTGGTTCTCGTATTTATGGTCCCTCCCTTTCGATGACCGTCTTTAAACTACCATTTGGCTTGTATTTGCGAAGAGGATCCCCAGTCTTGGCACCAAAATACCACGTTGAAGCTCGCACCCTCCGCATGGTAGAACAATCGACTCATATTCCTGCACCACGAGCAATGGACGTCTTAGAAACTCCTCGTTTTTCATACTTGCTCATGACCTGCGTTCCTGGACACCCGATCGGTCAAATGCTGCATACCATGACTGATGAGCAAGTGAAGCAAGCCGTGACTGACTTGAAACGATATATTTCTGAACTGCGGAAAATACCGAACACGATGACAGAATTTCAAATCTGCAATTCGCAAGGTGGCGGCATCTTGGACTGGCGAATTCCCGATAGTCAGCGTGAAGAGCTACGGTTCAAGACTGAGGCTGATTTCAACAAATATCTGACTGATCCTTTTTGGGAGGAAATTCGGATTCGCGCGGCCAAATCGCATGATATTCCTCACGAGATTGTTTTTACTCATGGTGACCTCAACCCAAGGAATATTCTCGCAGAGAACGGAAAGATAACGGGTATTGTCGATTGGGAAAATGCAGGTTGGTTTCCTGAGTATTGGGAGTATACTAAAGCGCATTACACCGTCCGAAGCGTGATCCGTTGGCTTGCTGATGTCGTCGACGAGGTATTTGAGGGCTATCGCGATGAATTCCTGGTGGAAAATATGCTTTCCGATCTTCTGGGTCCTTTTTAGTTCACATTCTGGTTTTGTTTTGTCTCTTGAGGTAGTATGTATAGTGCACCCTCTGACCCTTCTTTCACTTGTTGACCAGATTCTTGGTTTTTATACATAATCCCTTGCCACCGCCTGCATATATAGAAAGGCCACCGGGGGGGTCAAACGGCGGTATATGTCCGTGACTAAAAATTGACAAGTCAGAGGCTGATCAATAACCAGAGAGCATCACAGTACGACGTGAGGCATCCCCAGTACCTAGCTGATCAACGAATATCGACCATTCACGATTGCCGAAGGCTATATAAGTCCCGTCAGTAAGCAGGGGAAGCTGGTCCTAAGTATCGGCAACCAAGATACCCAGGCTGGCGGGCCTGACATTAAATCTACCCATATGTCAACCAGAAGCAACCATACCTTGAATCAAGGCACGCATTTTGGTATACAAGTGAAAGACAAGCAGGAAAAAGGACGAGGTTGAACCTAGCTTTTACCATAGCTTTATCTACTTCACCTGTACTGACACAGAGAGTTTCTTGATGCTCAGTATAAAGATTTATGGAGGTTAACAGACGAGGCGGGTAATTTAATCGGAGCACGCGGAGCACACTTCATATAGGCAGGAACTCTTGCTTGCAAGGCCGACGCGCCGTAGCTAATCATCTACAATCATGAACTTGCGTCCAATGTCCCATTGGGTATTTTGATCTTGTTTTACGATATTTAATATTTGATTATATACATCCATACCTCATTGAATCTCGTTGCTGTGCGTCCCAAACGTCATCTCTAGTCTAGAAACCCTCCATGGACGGAAATTCGTCCCATTGCACCTCCTCCTCGGGAGGTTCCTCGGAGACACATCTATCGCACTTGCAAACAAAGCGGAACGATCCCTGGAGATGCTCCCTGCGATCTTGGAGCTCAACCTTGCTCGACAGATCGAAGTACGATATACAGCACTCCTCACCCGTGGCGATGTCCTTTGAAGCGACAAAGACCATCCGACTTTGATTATCCGGTTTGTGTATTATCTGCATCAAAGGTTAGCAGACGAGCATAGATAGGATTGGAAAATAAATAGATCAGACATTCGGAGAGCAAGAGTGATTCGCCAGAGCTGCAGTCGGGTATACTCCAGCCCCGAACTGCTCTCCGCGATCGACTGCAGGCTCCGGGAGTGGAAACGCTCCGGTCTCCCTCGGGTACAGGCCAAACGAATTGGCCTCTTCCTGACAGATTAAATCCAGCACCTCGCTAGAAGTCATGCCATGTGGCAGGGATGAGCTGCTTCCCAGATACTTCTTGACCAACACGGCCCAATGTCGCACTTGGGAGTGAGCCCAGGTGTCTTGCGACCCGCAGAACGATCGGATCGCATTCCAACCCGTCTCGAACGAACTGGGGTTCACATCACCGGGACCGGTTTTGTCGCTTGAGGGTGTATTGTGAAATTCCACATGCCGGCTGGCAAGGATGCGCACGATTAACCACAACATGCCGAAGTCATACTCGCCCCATTTCGAGCGTATGGAGGTCGCATATTTCTTTAACCAGGTGCATTCGAACCCATGGCGGAGGGTGTCGGCTTCCCGACAGGATTGGTTGCACCAAACCACATCGGCCGAGCATCGGGTCGGGCAAGATACGCGCTCTACGGTCCGAGCAACACGTCTATGACACGCAGGATTGCTACAGCGAATGTCTTCACTTTGTTCCGGATGGTCCACGACTGGTATGAGCGCATAGGGCAGGTCCACGAGCAATAATTCACCCTTTCGCACGGGTTGGGACACCCGGAGCTGGCGGCCCTTGATCGGGTCCACGCTCTGGATTAATCGAGGGTGGATCCATGGCTGTTGACGATCGCTTAGGTTCTGCTGCGATCTGATAATGTGGTCTGTTGTCGCCAGTAATCGCTCCGTGGCTATGGGGGACTGCATCTTATCTTAGTTTATGTTGTGTTGTGTGTGTTTGATGACGGAGGATTGCTGGCGGTCCTCCATTTTTATTTTTTTTTTTTTTCGCTGCGGATCTGTCTCATGGGCTTTCTCTCCTCCCTTGCTGGGGTCCACTGGGTTCCAGAGCTATGCGAGGTTATCTGTGGGTGGTTAGCGAGTTTATTCGCCATAGTGGGGATTGCAGCGCAGAGCCAATTATTCGAGGCTATCGTGAAGAAAAGAAAAACTTGGCTTTCCAATTTAGGGTTCCGAGGTTCCGCGTATCACACCGAGCATCGAGGCACGTGGCTAGATCATTGTAGAGAGACTAGAAGACTACACAGAAACAGTGACAGGAAAGTATATATATAAATTAAATGAAATGAAGAAAAGAACAAGTACTGCATAAAAATACTAATGGAATTGAGGTACTCAAGGCTGGTAAGATGGTAGAGCAAGACTTGGAATGATCTCCAGAGTACTCAGTAGTTTGAAATATATATTTTCACATCCAACACCCTAAGAAAAAATCATGAGAAGGTGAAATTCTATCACCCCACAGTTCGCCCCGACTTTCAAATAACCCTGTTGGAACATATATATATAATGAGTCCACCTATTTGTGCAGTCGTTTCCATAAATCTAAAATCATTGTGCAGCGAACGTAATGCACATTGACGGGCACGAATCAAAGGAAGGGACGTGGAATGTGGCATTGGAATCCCCCGAATTCATGAACTTCAACCAATTCAAATCAGGGACAAGAGGAAGGCGACGGCATAACTATACCGATCACTCAATCTAGTATCGGACGCTGCCAGGTTATGTGGCAGTGATAATACTCCTATTTGAAACACTCAACTCCGCAAGATCATCGGGCGTTGACACATTGCGACACAGAACTTGGAAAAATATCATTTTTAACATAAAAACATTGCATCGTATAACCAAACGTGATATACAGGGGGTATAAGAAAAGTACGAGACACGCTAAATATTGACACCGACGACAAGAGCAATTATACAACAGGGGTTAGCTCGCGGTGACTGTCATAGGAATTAAGATGGAGATCGGAGCTGCCCTCCGACCGGGTGCGAACACGCTGGAACCCCGGCTTAGCATCTACAGATGGGTACTCTGCATGAAAACGTCCTGGATACGCTGAAGCGCGATTCTTGTCCTGTTTCACGAACAGCTGGCGGAAGGAGCCAACGCATGCGATGATATTGGCTGGTTGGGTTTTCGTTAGTATACACTTGGTCTAGTCATGACCGGGAGTCTGAAAAAGGAACACATACCGACAGTTGCTTCGATAAAACTCCACATCCACAGCCAGGACATGTCGGAGTTCTTCTCCTTTGTGGCAACGACGGCGACTCGCACGATCGCCACGATGATGATGAGCACCGCTAACGAAAGGATGCTCATGAGAATCATCTTGTGGCGGATGGGAAGTCTGACGTTCCATAAGAGGGTGATTGGGAGGCTGATGACTGTTTTGGGAGTTCAAGGTCAGTAAGTTAATTGCTATGGGTTATGGGGGTGAGACTATACTGGTGAGATCAGTGAGGACATCCAACACGAGGTTGATGATGAATGTATTGTATTGGAACAGAACGGCGGCTTTTTTCGGGCAGTTTTCTGTAGGGAAAAGTCCACGAGTTAGCCCAGTCTACAGAAGGAGCTGAAAGCGTTCGTGCTCATGAACATACCTAGGATATAGGCTTGGTCTCTCAGTAGACAGGGATACTGAATGTCCCCTATGCAGACGAAATACGCCGCAGTGACAAAGCCAACCACACACCAGAACCAGATAATCCACGAGCGATCTGTACCTCCGATGCGACGGAAGAAGATCAGGAACGAGGTTTTGATCGACCACAAAGACGAGTAGAACAGGATCAGAATGGCGCACTCGGCCCGCTCCAGTTGTGCCAGGCGATTCAGGATCTCGGGCGTCGGCATGAGCTTGCCAGCATCTAACTGAAAGAGAAGGTACATAGAATCCACCTGGGTCTGCCAGGTGATCGCCTGGACCAGCAGCATCAGCCATGCGCCGATGGCGAAGGCATCGTCGAGCCAGAGACGTCGGAAGGCATAGATACGAGCGAGCGTGCGCGCCAAAACGAACAGAAACGACAGCCCGGTTGCACCCCAAAGGACGCCCTACAGCTCAACACATGGGTACGTTAGTCAGACTGAAGCGCACATGAGCCGGTCAATCTGACTTACGATGAAGACCGGCCCTGTCACCTTGGCAGGAGTGTCTGTCTGGTAGTTTGTCATCGTGGAATGCAGACAACAAAGGTGTTGTAACACAGCAAAGCCCGATGTGTTATTCACATAAAAAGAATGACGAGCAGCCTATGCAGCCCCGCAGCATTAGATGGATGTTGTTTGGACTGTGGATGTCCGTGAAGAGGGCGGGGCCGGGTTAGATATGTCTGGTCTGTGAAACGCCATTAGGGGGCTGACGGGGTGAAGGAGGAAGATCCAATCCCCCCAGGGAATACATCGGGACGGAGGGGGCTGTACGCTGTGCAGCACTATAGACAGGCATTATGTACGGCCTGAGTAAACTGACCATGCCTTGGAAGCGATGTTTGGGGGCGGTTGCAAAAGTGATTCCTATCTGACCAACCTTGACGAGTAACATCGCCGCGCAACCCCGCTCGAGCGGTTGCAACATTGCTATTTTAAAATGCACGAAGTAAGCACTAAGCCACGAGTGGGTATCTCAATATAAGCGAGAGATTCGTCAGGCTGACAGTTTGCCATGGGGCGGGGTTTGCAGATGCGCTACTTTAGGGCTAAGTGTCGCCATTTTTCCTTCTTTCCGGTCAGGATCGGCGGCCCGATCCTAATCTAATCCATCCTGCACTGAGCAAGTACTCGCTTGGCGCGCGTGGTTTTTCTTGCTATCAAGGTTGGACATAATGGCTATGTATATACCCTACAGGGGAAAGCCTGGTTTCTTCAAGCGACGACCCACTGGGCTCGCAGGGATAAGAAATTACCTCTCTACTCATATACGCCAGATGATCAGACCACTCGCTATCATTGCTCGATAGTCAATT